GACTATGTTGAGAATGTAGAGGGAAAAGGGCTTCACTTTCGAGCCCCTTGTTGTCTATAAATACTGCAATCTGTGACATTATAAAGTGATGTATAGGTAGATATAATACTAATCTATAGATGTGAATCCATTTGATGATACATCTGTGAGGTTTAAGTTGATTTTAACAGCCCGGGCCAGGTCGGACCGAACATTTCTGACTTGGATTTTTTAAAGAAAATACAGTAAAAATGCTTCACTTTAGGACGCAGATTTCTTTAAATGCGACACACCTGGACATTATAAATTGGTGTATAGGTAGATATAACACTAATCTATAGATTTAATCACATTTGAAGATACATCTGTGTGTTTAAAGTTGATTTTGACCGCCCGGGCCAAGTCGGACCCAACACAAGCCAAACACTTCTGATAGAGACTATGTTGAGAATGTAGAGGGAAAAGGGCTTCACTTTCGAGCCCCTTGTTGTCTATAAATACTGCAATCTGTGACATTATAAAGTGGTGTATAGGTAGATATAATACTAATCTATAGATGTGAATCCATTTGATGATACATCTGTGAGGTTTAAGTTGATTTTAACAGCCCGGGCCAGGTCGGACCGAACATTTCTGAATTGGATTTTTTAAAGAAAATACAGTAAAAATGCTTCACTTTAAGGGCGCAGATTTCTTTAAATGCGATACACCTGGACATTATAAATTGGTGTATAGGTAGATATAACACTAATCTATAGATTTAATCACATTTGAAGTTACATCTGTGTGTTTAAAGTTGATTTTGACCGCCCGGGCCAAGTCGGACCCAACACAAGCCAAACACTTCTGATAGAGACTATGTTGAGAATGTAGAGGGAAAAGGGCTTCACTTTCGAGCCCCTTGTTGTCTATAAATACTGCAATCTGTGACATTATAAAGTGGTGTATAGGTAGATATAATACTAATCTATAGATGTGAATCCACTTGATGATACATCTGTGAGGTTTAAGTTGATTTTAACAGCCCGGGCCAGGTCGGACCGAACATTTCTGACTTGGATTTTTCAAAGAAAATACAGTAAAAATGCTTCACTTTAAGGGCGCAGATTTCTTTAAATGCGATACACCTGGACATTATAAATTGGTGTATAGGTAGATATAACACTAATCTATAGATTTAATCACATTTGAAGTTACATCTGTGTGTTTAAAGTTGATTTTGACCGCCCGGGCCAAGTCGGACCCAACACAAGCCAAACACTTCTGATAGAGACTATGTTGAGAATGTAGAGGGAAAAGGGCTTCACTTTCGAGCCCCTTGTTGTCTATAAATACTGCAATCTGTGACATTATAAAGTGGTGTATAGGTAGATATAATACTAATCTATAGATGTGAATCCATTTGATGATACATCTGTGAGGTTTAAGTTGATTTTAACAGCCCGGGCCAGGTCGGACCGAACATTTCTGACTTGGATTTTTTAAAGAAAATACAGTAAAAATGCTTCACTTTAAGGGCGCAGATTTCTTTAAATGCGATACACCTGGACATTATAAATTGGTGTATAGGTAGATATAACACTAATCTATAGATTTAATCACATTTGAAGTTACATCTGTGTGTTTAAAGTTGATTTTGACCGCCCGGGCCAAGTCGGACCCAACACAAGCCAAACACTTCTGATAGAGACTATGTTGAGAATGTAGAGGGAAAAGGGCTTCACTTTCGAGCCCCTTGTTGTCTATAAATACTGCAATCTGTGACATTATAAAGTGGTGTATAGGTAGATATAATACTAATCTATAGATGTGAATCCACTTAAAGATAGATCTGTGAGGTTTAAGTTGATTTTAACAGCCCGGGCCAGGTCGGACCGAACATTTCTGACTTGGATTTTTTAAAGAAAATACAGTAAAAATGCTTCACTTTAAGGGCGCAGATTTCTTTAAATGCGATACACCTGGACATTATAAATTGGTGTATAGGTAGATATAACACTAATCTATAGATTTAATCACATTTGAAGTTACATCTGTGTGTTTAAAGTTGATTTTGACCGCCCGGGCCAAGTCGGACCCAACACAAGCCAAACACTTCTGATAGAGACTATGTTGAGAATGTAGAGGGGAAAAGGGCTTCACTTTGAGTTCTGTGTTTTCTTTAACTACTGAAATATGAGACAATAAAGTGGTAAATAATTAGATAAAATACTAGTCTTTAGATATAAATAATGTTAGGAACTTTAGAAGTGCTTGGACAGTTATTAACACGTGTCGTGTCAGTCTTTTGACATTCGAGAATATCCATTTCCAGAAAACATCCTGTGTTGGTTTAACACGAATTAGTAAAGGTTAATTACCTAAACACGTTAATTAATGAAAGAAGAGTAGTCAAAACACTGTCGTTTCCTGCCCAGGACATCACACCCCTACACGCTAAGGTCGGTGAGAAGCATTCTAATCAAAGAATACACAGTCAAGACGCTGACTTTTCTACGAGACTCACGGTATGTAGTCATAATCATCAGTTAATTACATTGTTGAAGGTGCATTTTTATTCAAAATCAATTAAATGAGCAAAACTATACGTTTGTGGACATTTGAGATCTGCCTAGATATGCGCGTTTCGTTTTATTATTCTGCAATCCATTTTTAGTATTACCCGCTGGCCCGGCCCGGCCCGACTTTTCTTGGCCCGACTTTTAGGCAATCCCGATGGTAAGGCGTATACATGGTAAAGGGAAATGTAAATCTAGAGGCGTGCACTGTTGGTTAGGTTTAAGCCCCCTTTACACAGGGCTGCGACCTTTGTGCCACCTTTTGAGCAATCAAAAACTGGCCAGGACGCTCAATGGTCGCCTGAACCCAGAAAATCACGTTTCTATGTAACTGCTGCAGCAGTTGTTCAGCAGAAACTGCTCGAGTTGTTCAGCGTCTGCAACCACAATGAAACACTGCATTACTTACTTACTTACTTACTTACTTTGGAGATTTAACGTGCGCTTTCCGACTGATGCGTATTTCGCACACGGGAAACACTGCAGGTACAAGTCCTATATTTACAGGCGGGCTGAAGAGGCACTACAGGTAGCTCAAAGGAGGCAGACGCATTGCCATGGTGTTTCAAGGGTTGCCGTTGTCGCCGAATGGAGGCACGGCGGTCGCCACAGTCATCGTTCAATGCACGCTGATGATCGCCCAAAGGAGGCACAAGTGAGGCAGAAGCATCGCCCAGATTGACGGGAACAAATTGCAACAGAACGCATCTTTTACCTGGCGCCCATTGGGCGACCACTGTGTCTTCATTCTGCAACAACGGCAATGCTTGTGCCTCCCTTCTGCCTCCTTTGAGCCATCTTTGAGCAACCAACCTCCTCGCCGACCTTTGTGCGACTGTTTTGAACATGTTCAAAAATTCACGGCGACCATGGCGTCCATGGCGATGTCTGAACCTCCTGTGTACCACCTTGGAACGACCTAGGCAACCATTCTGCCTCCTTTGAGCCTCCAACGACGACCTGGCAATTTTTATGGTCGCACACGGGTGGCACAAAGGTCGCTATCCTGTGTAAAGGCCCCATTAGAGGTGTAATCACTGTAATGTTATGAGATGACAATAAACTTGTTGGAACATTTTTCACAAAAATAATTTGTACCAGGAAATAGTTGAAAAACAATTGCCTCAGCTTTTGCACACAAAATAATGTTTGATGGACGTGTTGCATGTTTTCAAAATATTGTGTTGTGAAAAAAAAATCGGATGTTTCTATCAGAGAAAAATCATTGTGTGTTTTGAAGGAATGTGGAAAAAATATGTTCATACTAATGAAAAAAAATATAAACTCATATTTAAGAGGTTGTTTACGATATTGGGAAATATTATACTATCTAAAATAAGAATAAAACAACAGACACGAACTAAATTTGCAGCTGGACATACAATTGCGAAACAATACACATACTTCTCAGCCTTTAAATATACACATTAAAATTCTCATATGTAAATATAGGTGAATTCGTAACCAAACTAATCCGTAGACATTCGTAGACACTCCCAACTCGTATACACAATTCGGGGTGAACTCGTAGAAAAAGAAATAAAATAGGGTAATAGACTTAAACATAGACTTATTACATGTACATTTTGAATTATGTGGTAAATGTATTTCAAAAAATAAATGTTAAATGACAATAAATATTATTGCTATCCTCTTGTCTTTCTCTGCTTGGATATATTTTCCGGATTAATTATTTTTACAGAGGATCCTGATAAGTCTTTCAAATCAAAACAATAGTACGGTAATCCCCTACTTGACTCACCACATACCGAACACTCCTCTTGTCCCCCTCACCATGGGTGTACTTACCGGATTATCAAATTATTTATACAGCGTCCTGCAAGAGAAATACTAATACTTACCATATCTTTTACTAAACCCGTGAACATCCGGGGTTGAATAGGTCTTCAGCAACCCATGCTTGCCGATAGAGGCGACTAACGGGATTACAAACTCGCTGACTTGATTGATTCATGTACCCCAATTGCGTGGATCGATCAATCACTGGATTGTCTGGTCCAGACTCGATTATATACTGGCCGCCTTCATAGAGCTGGAATATTGCTGAGTGCGCCGTTAAACAATTAACAAATGTATTAAACAAATACAAAAGAACATGCAAACGAAAAACTCAGAAACATAAGTTTTACGAGGTCAATATTCCGCTAAGTAATAATAATATTGATTAGATTACTAATCATGATTTAATTCCAATAGCTAAAACATGTGTCTTCGAATTCACTCATGGTTTGTCTACGATTTCACTGTAAATTGTGTCTACGAGTTGGCGGTGTCTACGAATTTACCGCATCCATATAAACATGTCTTTTTTGGCAGTCGACAGCGCATATGTATTTGCGGAGCGCACATAGAATAACAGTCAGACTGAGTTATACGCGCGACACGAAGGGCTGTACCACTCGATAACCGTGGTACGCTTCCGTAGTTTCGTAAACTGTGTACAAATAGCGAAGATCCGAAAGGTCGAACTTTGGACCTATTGCAAGTACTTTGCACCTGTTTTGCGACCTGGATCTGGATGACAGCGATGTGACAGTGTAGGGGCCACGCACAGGTACATCTGATGTGGATCCTCACTAGGGTGAGAATGGAAGGGGCAGGGAGGCGCCTCAAGCACCTGCAGGCGGTGCTGAGCCCCTCGGGAGCCAGAGCCGGTCTCAGGATACGTCTATCATCATCTACTGGAGGTAACAAAATTTAATAAGCAGGCTTAATTGAATAAAATTTTGCATATTTATTGCAGATATTGCAGTGACACAGCGAAAATAAGCTATTGAGGTCGTGGTAGTGTTGGAACGGTCCTGACCTGTCAAAGGTCATTATTGAGTCAGCCGTGTTTAATAAAAACAAAATAGATCTAGTCAAAAGCTCCGTGAATAAACTAGTAGCAGGCGACAACGTTTGTTTGTTTGTTTGTTGTTTAATACCGCACTCAGCAATATTCCAGCTATATGACGGCTGTCTGTAAATAATCGATTCTGGACCAGACAATCCAGTGATTGACACCATGAGCATTGATCCACATACATCAAGCAAGTCAGCGAGCCTGACCACCAATCCCGTTTGTCGCTTTTTACGACATGCATATTATAGTCTCCTTTTATGGCAAGCATGGGTTGCTGAAGACCTATTTATTTTATACTCTAGGTCTTCGCGGGTCTCATGCAACGACGAGAAGATTCGTCTTCACTCATATATAGGCTTAACAGATCAAGGTAGCTCAGTGCATGCAGAGACCACTCCCTTTTAAAAATCCTCGATCTGCACTGTCATTCCCAATGTCATGATCCCTATATATTGGTGGCTTAGCTCTGGTTACCATGGTTACTGGTACTCTAATGCCTGTATTTTACTGGTATTAAAGTGAGTGAGTGAGTGTGTATGGTTTTACGCCGCTTTTAGCAATATTCCAGCAACATCACTGCGGGGGACACCAGAAATGAGCTTCACACATTGTACCACTGGTATTAAAGGCGCACTGATCTCTGACAATTCACCGGGACTGTTTGATGCCTTTGTTTTTTTCCGTGGATACCGGGATGTTATCCCAAACATCTTAACTAGTTCGCAAGCTGTGCTGCGCCAACCGTAAGCGTATTTGTCACTTTTATTGATAGTATAAGGGCGTATTGTCACATTCATCAACAAGAATACAGTTTTGTCTTGGAAAAAATAAGGAAATGTAGGTATCTTTAGAGGTAGCAATGATAATGGTGAAAAAGTTTTGACAAGTCAATTGCTTTATTGTGCGATTTTCGTTTTCACTATTTTGACTTGCAAAACAAACTAAATATTTCACCTGAGCATTGTTTATTTTATCATGTGTATGTGTTAGAGTCATTGTGTAAAATGACTAATATTTTCACTTAGACAATTCATTAAATGCCTAAATATTCAGTTCCATCAAAGTGTTATGTTCATTACAGTGAAATAGCAAGTGTCATGTTCACTACAGTGAAATATCAAGTGTCATGTTCACTACAGTGAAATATCAAGTGTTATGTTCACTGCAATGAAAATATCATTTTTCTTAACCTTAGAAAACTCAGTCTCGTGACGGGCAAAGGAGATATTTCCTTTCCCCACGTGACTATGAGAGAAACATGATATTTCACTTGACACATGAAATATCGTCTATGTGTACATCATGTAAACCTCATCACTGTAAAATCAGCCATTACGTTGGACATTGGCAATTGATCGATCATCAGTTACAAATGCTGTTTTATTATGATGATATTTTCCAGTTGGTTATTTGTACTGATGCATTACCATGGTTACACATTCTTCTTTCTCCTGTAGATGGGACGAGGGCAAGTATAGGCGACATCAGCATCGTCCTGCGAGATGCCAAAAACGCAGAGCTTGTGCCACGGAAATACAGTAAGTTACTCTTCATCTTCCAGCGACTTACATGAGCTTGTCAGTAGGCAAGTAAAACACTTGAACATATATTTATTTTTTGGGACAGATTATAGAATGTGCCAAATGCTCTTTGATTAGACACTTCTGAGGGTCAGTGGATAATATTGAGAATTAAAACTTGAAATTTATGATCATCCGTTAAGAAAGCTGAGGGCAGTTGAAATAAGGCGATTATTTTCCATTTGATCTACTTTTAAGTTTGTTCTTTTATGCTGAAATAATTCAAACTCTTTTTTATTGATTAACATTTCGGGGAGTTTTTGTTGTCGTTTTACATTTCTGGGATGTTACAAGAATAAAGAAGTTGTTATCCATAAAAAAGTGTCATTTATTTATGTTCTTCCAACTTCTAAATGCCTATTAAAACTTTATATAGATTTGGCAGTAAGAAAAATAACTTACCAGAAATTCAAGTCTTTTTTAAATTTTAGTGTTGGCAGATATTTAAGCCACCAGTTAAGATTTTTGTTGGTTTGTTGTTTAACGCCGCACTCAGCAATATTCCAGCTATATGACGGCAGTCTGTTAATAATCGAGTCTGGACCAGACAATCCAGTGATTGATATCATGAGGATCAATCCACGTAATTGGGATCGATGACATGTATCAACCAAGTCAGCGAGCCTGACCACCCGATCCCGTTAGTCGCTTCTCACGACAAGCATAGTCGCCTTTGACGGCAAGCATGGGTTGCTGAAGACCTATTCTACCCCAGATCTTCATGGGCCAAGCATGGGTTGCTAAAGACCTATTCTACCCCGGATCTTCACGGGTCAGGCATGGGTTGCTGAAGACCTCTTATCCCGGATCTTCACGGGTCACGCATGGGTTGCTGAAGACCTCTTCTACCCCGGATCTTCACGGGTCACGCATGGGTTGCTGAAGACCTGTTCTATACCGGATCTTCACAGGCCCCACCAGTTAGGAAAGTGCCTGAGTTGTCCTGTCTTATTGTTGAAACGTTCCTACTTCCAGTGCCGGCCAATGTCTCCCAGTCCGTGCTGCGCCACCTGAGATGGATCATGCAAAAGGTTTGTACACATCAGAACGCTGAATATTGAAAAGAAAGTTGACTTCAAGTTACTAATGGTGTGGTCGGGTAGCCTAGTGGTTAAAGCGTTCGCTCGTCTCACAGGAGACCCGGTTCAATTCCTGACATGGGTACAATGTGTGAAGCCCATTTCTGGTGGCCCCACCGTGATGTTGATGGAATAGTGCTAATAGCGGCGTAAAACCGTACTCACTCACTCACTCAAGTTACTAACTGTTACGGACCGCCTCCATGGTCTTCTGGTGTTGCTTCTCAAAGGGAAGGGAAGTAATTGTAATCAGAAGTTGTCGTAATCCTTTATCAACGCACCGTGACAAGTCAGGTTTAAAATTTGACTGTAAAAACTGATTTAGTATTATATCTACCTATACACCACTTTATAATGTCACAGATTGCAGTATTTATAGACAACAAGGGGCTCGAAAGTGAAGCCCTTTTCCCTCTACATTCTCAACATAGTCTCTATCAGAAGTGTTTGGCTTGTGTTGGGTCCGACTTGGCCCGGGCGGTCAAAATCAACTTTAAACACACAGATGTATCTTCAAATGTGATTAAATCTATAGATTAGTGTTATATCTACCTATACACCAATTTATAATGTCCAGGTGTATCGCATTTAAAGAAATCTGCGCCCTTAAAGTGAAGCATTTTTACTGTATTTTCTTAAAAAAATCCAAGTCAGAAATGTTCGGTCCGACCTGGCCCGGGCTGTTAAAATCAACTTAAACCTCACAGATGTATCAAATGTATTAACATGTATACAAAGTGAAGCATTGTTTTGCCTGAGCCAAAATTCACCATAACCTTATAGATTTAAACGTTGTATATGTCATTTTAACTGTAACCTTTTGATTGAAATCCTATTCTTTTGAAAAGGAAAATAACTTACACGTTTAGAGGCCTCCCAATCGTAAATCCTTGGTAGAAAACGATTGACAAGGTAGACGTTACCCATAAAGTTGTGTCTACCTTGTCATCCGTGAACTTCAACAAAGAGAAACAAATGTTTCAACTGTTAGATGCATGGACGTAACACATCCTTCGATCATTGTAGTGGTCAGTTTACTGACCCGGTGTGTTGACATTTGTCATCAGCAGGTTGTCAGTTACTGACCATACCAAACCACACCACGTGTTTGTGTCTACGTAAACATACCAATTGTGTTTTTTAGATCACAGACCCCTACGTATGAAATGAGTCCTTTATAATTGAAAGAAACGCCGGAAAGGATTATTCCAAATAATTAGAAACTGGCAGGCTGCGTAGACGGGGCGTAGTTGTTGGCATCTTATTGTGTCACTATAAGTACGATGCATGTACTACATGCCATTCCACTTCCCGTTATTAGTTATACAATATTTATAATTCCAAAATAAGTGAGTAAATGCTTTTGACTTCCCCATTCTCGAGATTAATCTAAGCTTGTATACCTTGTTTGATCTCATTGTAGAGTAAGTTTTGCAGCTATGTTGCTGAATAAATTGTAACTTAAGCTGTTTATTCCAACAACAGATAACGCGTGTTGAAGTCTTGGCATGTTTATATGGTGTCATAAGCTATGATCTTTAGTCAAACGTGTTTTGAATTTATAAGAAATGTAAAAAAACACTATCTCAAGACTCACACATGTTCCTTTTTTATGCTGATTCAGAAAACGCAACATTCATATTCATATTTATTATCCCCCGCCGCGCGAAAGCGCGAAGCGGGGGATATAGTATTCACGACCGTCCGTACGTACGTCCGTACGTCCGTCCGTACGTCCCACCTGTTTGTTGCCGCGATATCTCAAGAACTAAACACTGGATTGTCTTCATATTTGGAACTATGGTGTATATACAGACTCCGCGGACACCAGTCGGTTTTGGTGACCTTGATCCCATTTTCAAGGTCACAGCAGGCAAATCTGCTTTTGGAGTTGGAAAACGGTGTTGCCGCGATATCTCAAGAACTAAACACTGGATTGTCTTCATATTTGGAACTATGGTGTATATACAGACTCCGCAGACACCAGTCGGTTTTGGTGACCTTGATCCCATTTTCAAGGTCACAGCAGGCAAATCTGCTTTTGGAGTTGGAAAACGGTGTTGCCGCGATATCTCAAGAACTAAACACTGGATTGTCTTCATATTTGGAACTATGGTGTATATACAGACACCGCAGACACCAGTCGGTTTTGGTGACCTTGACCCCATTTTCAAGGTCACAGCAGGTAAATCTGCTTTTGGAGTTAGAAAACGGTGTTGCCGCGATATCTCAAGAACTAATCGCTGGATTGTCTTCATATTTGGAACTATAGTGTATATACAGACACCGCATCCACCTGTCAGATTGGTGACCTTGACCCCATTTTCAAGGTCACAGCAGGCAAATCTGTTTTTGGAGTTGGAAAACGGTGTTGCCACAATATCTCAAGAACTAATCGCTGGATTGTCTTCATATTTGGTACTATGGTGTACAGGCGGGGGATATTTCGTCACTCTGTGACAAATACTTGTTGTAATGTGAATTTTAAACATGTGTTTTAACTTTCTCAATTATGTTTTGCCATTTTACGCAATATTTGTTCTTACATCAGGTGTAGACACTTACGGTTTCTTTCCCGAACGCAAACTAAACTGTAATTAGAAATATACCGATGCGGGTTGAGAATGCATTTACAAAACTGATTCACATGTACTCATAAAACATACGCATAATATTTCCAATTGAGAATTATTCGTAACGTACTACTGGTTAACACATGTGAACACATCTCAATGTTGAAGATTATCGTGAACTGTTAGTATTTGTACTTACATCTGAGGTACCACTTAGGGACCAGGTTTTCGTACCTATATGCACATGTACATCTTTTTTTGCAAGAAAAACACTTCCTGCACCCGAACTTGAGTTGATAACATTAATGTTTGGTTTCACAGTTCAAGCATCGTCTCACAATGCGCTAATTTGATTATTCGATTATACTGGAGAAACGTTTTTGCCTTACTTCAAGTCTTGTGTCTCATCGATCCTTCTCATTGCGTCCGTATATGCACGTTAAGTGTGGAATTAATCCAAATTACACCTGTACCCAGCTTGCTTAATTGCCCCTTGCTTAATTGCAATCAAGTAGGTGTTGCGTAATCAATCAACCATTTGCCCTTAATTAGCTGTCTTGAGCTGTAGTTAATAGCAGACCGTTTCATTGATAACTTATGCATTTGGTGAGGCTAATTAACAAAACCCATTTATTTTCTTTTGAACTTACGTTAACATGTTTGTCCTAAAATGCTTCCAGAATACTTTTGTAAGCTATGATAGTGTCGTGTCCCTCGCAAGTACGAAATAAAGTTATAACATATCACCATATTGGTATGAAAGATACTATTCCATAAAACATACTATCACTGGCCACTGACAAACATTAGCAGTATTAGAATAAGTTAGTGAGTGAGTGAGTACGGTTTTACGCCGCTTTCAGCAATATTCCAGCAATATCACGGCGGGGGACACCAGAAATGGGCTTCACACATTGTACCCATGTTGGGAATCGAACCCGGGTCTTCGGCGTGACGAGCGAACGCTTTAACCACTAGGCGACCCGACCGCCCTCTTAGAATAAGAAACATAATTAAATACAGTATGACGTATAAGCATACAGAAAACTAAGAGAGCCCAAATTACTTCAGTTTCTGTACTGTACTTGGGTTTACCTCGATACACCTGGACATTATAAATTGGTGTATAGGTAGATATAACACTAATCTATAGATTAAGTCACATTTGAAGATACATCTGTGTGTTTAAAGATGATTTTGACCGCCCGGGCCAAGTCGGACCCAACACAAGCCAAACACTTCTGATAGAGACTATGTTGAGAATGTAGAGGGGAAAAGGGCTTCACTTTAAGCCCCATGTCTTCTATAAATACTGCGATCTGTGACATTATAAATTGGTGTATAGGTAGATATAACACTAATCTATAGATTTAATCACATTTGAAGATACATCTGTGTGTTTAAAGTTGATTTTGACCGCCCGGGCCAAGTCGGACCCAACACAAGCCAAACACTTCTGATAGAGACTATGTTGAGAATGTAGAGGGAAAAGGGCTTCACTTTCGAGCCCCTTGTTGTCTATAAATACTGCAATCTGTGACATTATAAAGTGATGTATAGGTAGATATAATACTAATCTATAGATGTGAATCCATTTGATGATACATCTGTGAGGTTTAAGTTGATTTTAACAGCCCGGGCCAGGTCGGACCGAACATTTCTGACTTGGATTTTTTAAAGAAAATACAGTAAAAATGCTTCACTTTAAGGGCGCAGATTTCTTTAAATGCGACACACCTGGACATTATAAATTGGTGTATAGGTAGATATAACACTAATCTATAGATTTAATCACATTTGAAGATACATCTGTGTGTTTAAAGTTGATTTTGACCGCCCGGGCCAAGTCGGACCCAACACAAGCCAAACACTTCTGATAGAGACTATGTTGAGAATGTAGAGGGAAAAGGGCTTCACTTTCGAGCCCCTTGTTGTCTATAAATACTGCAATCTGTGACATTATAAAGTGGTGTATAGGTAGATATAATACTAATCTATAGATGTGAATCCATTTGATGATACATCTGTGAGGTTTAAGTTGATTTTAACAGCCCGGGCCAGGTCGGACCGAACATTTCTGAATTGGATTTTTTAAAGAAAATACAGTAAAAATGCTTCACTTTAAGGGCGCAGATTTCTTTAAATGCGATACACCTGGACATTATAAATTGGTGTATAGGTAGATATAACACTAATCTATAGATTTAATCACATTTGAAGATACATCTGTGTGTTTAAAGTTGATTTTGACCGCCCGGGCCAAGTCGGACCCAACACAAGCCAAACACTTCTGATAGAGACTATGTTGAGAATGTAGAGGGAAAAGGGCTTCACTTTCGAGCCCCTTGTTGTCTATAAATACTGCAATCTGTGACATTATAAAGTGGTGTATAGGTAGATATAATACTAATCTATAGATGTGAATCCACTTGATGATACATCTGTGAGGTTTAAGTTGATTTTAACAGCCCGGGCCAGGTCGGACCGAACATTTCTGACTTGGATTTTTCAAAGAAAATACAGTAAAAATGCTTCACTTTAAGGGCGCAGATTTCTTTAAATGCGATACACCTGGACATTATAAATTGGTGTATAGGTAGATATAACACTAATCTATAGATTTAATCACATTTGAAGTTACATCTGTGTGTTTAAAGTTGATTTTGACCGCCCGGGCCAAGTCGGACCCAACACAAGCCAAACACTTCTGATAGAGACTATGTTGAGAATGTAGAGGGAAAAGGGCTTCACTTTCGAGCCCCTTGTTGTCTATAAATACTGCAATCTGTGACATTATAAAGTGGTGTATAGGTAGATATAATACTAATCTATAGATGTGAATCCATTTGATGATACATCTGTGAGGTTTAAGTTGATTTTAACAGCCCGGGCCAGGTCGGACCGAACATTTCTGACTTGGATTTTTTAAAGAAAATACAGTAAAAATGCTTCACTTTAAGGGCGCAGATTTCTTTAAATGCGATACACCTGGACATTATAAATTGGTGTATAGGTAGATATAACACTAATCTATAGATTTAATCACATTTGAAGTTACATCTGTGTGTTTAAAGTTGATTTTGACCGCCCGGGCCAAGTCGGACCCAACACAAGCCAAACACTTCTGATAGAGACTATGTTGAGAATGTAGAGGGAAAAGGGCTTCACTTTCGAGCCCCTTGTTGTCTATAAATACTGCAATCTGTGACATTATAAAGTGGTGTATAGGTAGATATAATACTAATCTATAGATGTGAATCCACTTAAAGATAGATCTGTGAGGTTTAAGTTGATTTTAACAGCCCGGGCCAGGTCGGACCGAACATTTCTGACTTGGATTTTTTAAAGAAAATACAGTAAAAATGCTTCACTTTAAGGGCGCAGATTTCTTTAAATGCGATACACCTGGACATTATAAATTGGTGTATAGGTAGATATAACACTAATCTATAGATTTAATCACATTTGAAGTTACATCTGTGTGTTTAAAGTTGATTTTGACCGCCCGGGCCAAGTCGGACCCAACACAAGCCAAACACTTCTGATAGAGACTATGTTGAGAATGTAGAGGGGAAAAGGGCTTCACTTTGAGTTCTGTGTTTTCTTTAACTACTGAAATATGAGACAATAAAGTGGTAAATAATTAGATAAAATACTAGTCTTTAGATATAAATAATGTTAGGAACTTTAGAAGTGCTTGGACAGTTATTAACACGTGTCGTGTCAGTCTTTTGACATTCGAGAATATCCATTTCCAGAAAACATCCTGTGTTGGTTTAACACGAATTAGTAAAGGTTAATTACCTAAACACGTTAATTAATGAAAGAAGAGTAGTCAAAACACTGTCGTTTCCTGCCCAGGACATCACACCCCTACACGCTAAGGTCGGTGAGAAGCATTCTAATCAAAGAATACACAGTCAAGACGCTGACTTTTCTACGAGACTCACGGTATGTAGTCATAATCATCAGTTAATTACATTGTTGAAGGTGCATTTTTATTCAAAATCAATTAAATGAGCAAAACTATACGTTTGTGGACATTTGAGATCTGCCTAGATATGCGCGTTTCGTTTTATTATTCTGCAATCCATTTTTAGTATTACCCGCTGGCCCGGCCCGGCCCGACTTTTCTTGGCCCGACTTTTAGGCAATCCCGATGGTAAGGCGTATACATGGTAAAGGGAAATGTAAATCTAGAGGCGTGCACTGTTGGTTAGGTTTAAGCCCCCTTTACACAGGGCTGCGACCTTTGTGCCACCTTTTGAGCAATCAAAAACTGGCCAGGACGCTCAATGGTCGCCTGAACCCAGAAAATCACGTTTCTATGTAACTGCTGCAGCAGTTGTTCAGCAGAAACTGCTCGAGTTGTTCAGCGTCTGCAACCACAATGAAACACTGCATTACTTACTTACTTACTTACTTACTTTGGAGATTTAACGTGCGCTTTCCGACTGATGCGTATTTCGCACACGGGAAACACTGCAGGTACAAGTCCTATATTTACAGGCGGGCTGAAGAGGCACTACAGGTAGCTCAAAGGAGGCAGACGCATTGCCATGGTGTTTCAAGGGTTGCCGTTGTCGCCGAATGGAGGCACGGCGGTCGCCACAGTCATCGTTCAATGCACGCTGATGATCGCCCAAAGGAGGCACAAGTGAGGCAGAAGCATCGCCCAGATTGACGGGAACAAATTGCAACAGAACGCATCTTTTACCTGGCGCCCATTGGGCGACCACTGTGTCTTCATTCTGCAACAACGGCAATGCTTGTGCCTCCCTTCTGCCTCCTTTGAGCCATCTTTGAGCAACCAACCTCCTCGCCGACCTTTGTGCGACTGTTTTGAACATGTTCAAAAATTCACGGCGACCATGGCGTCCATGGCGATGTCTGAACCTCCTGTGTACCACCTTGGAACGACCTAGGCAACCATTCTGCCTCCTTTGAGCCTCCAACGACGACCTGGCAATTTTTATGGTCGCACACGGGTGGCACAAAGGTCGCTATCCTGTGTAAAGGCCCCATTAGAGGTGTAATCACTGTAATGTTATGAGATGACAATAAACTTGTTGGAACATTTTTCACAAAAATAATTTGTACCAGGAAATAGTTGAAAAACAATTGCCTCAGCTTTTGCACACAAAATAATGTTTGATGGACGTGTTGCATGTTTTCAAAATATTGTGTTGTGAAAAAAAAATCGGATGTTTCTATCAGAGAAAAATCATTGTGTGTTTTGAAGGAATGTGGAAAAAATATGTTCATACTAATGAAAAAAAATATAAACTCATATTTAAGAGGTTGTTTACGATATTGGGAAATATTATACTATCTAAAATAAGAATAAAACAACAGACACGAACTAAATTTGCAGCTGGACATACAATTGCGAAACAATACACATACTTCTCAGCCTTTAAATATACACATTAAAATTCTCATATGTAAATATAGGTGAATTCGTAACCAAACTAATCCGTAGACATTCGTAGACACTCCCAACTCGTATACACAATTCGGGGTGAACTCGTAGAAAAAGAAATAAAATAGGGTAATAGACTTAAACATAGACTTATTACATGTACATTTTGAATTATGTGGTAAATGTATTTCAAAAAATAAATGTTAAATGACAATAAATATTATTGCTATCCTCTTGTCTTTCTCTGCTTGGATATATTTTCCGGATTAATTATTTTTACAGAGGATCCTGATAAGTCTTTCAAATCAAAACAATAGTACGGTAATCCCCTACTTGACTCACCACATACCGAACACTCCTCTTGTCCCCCTCACCATGGGTGTACTTACCGGATTATCAAATTATTTATACAGCGTCCTGCAAGAGAAATACTAATACTTACCATATCTTTTACTAAACCCGTGAACATCCGGGGTTGAATAGGTCTTCAGCAACCCATGCTTGCCGATAGAGGCGACTAACGGGATTACAAACTCGCTGACTTGATTGATTCATGTACCCCAATTGCGTGGATCGATCAATCACTGGATTGTCTGGTCCAGACTCGATTATATACTGGCCGCCTTCATAGAGCTGGAATATTGCTGAGTGCGCCGTTAAACAATTAACAAATGTATTAAACAAATACAAAAGAACATGCAAACGAAAAACTCAGAAACATAAGTTTTACGAGGTCAATATTCCGCTAAGTAATAATAATATTGATTAGATTACTAATCATGATTTAATTCCAATAGCTAAAACATGTGTCTTCGAATTCACTCATGGTTTGTCTACGATTTCACTGTAAATTGTGTCTACGAGTTGGCGGTGTCTACGAATTTACCGCATCCATATAAACATGTCTTTTTTGGCAGTCGACAGCGCATATGTATTTGCGGAGCGCACATAGAATAACAGTCAGACTGAGTTATACGCGCGACACGAAGGGCTGTACCACTCGATAACCGTGGTACGCTTCCGTAGTTTCGTAAACTGTGTACAAATAGCGAAGATCCGAAAGGTCGAACTTTGGACCTATTGCAAGTACTTTGCACCTGTTTTGCGACCTGGATCTGGATGACAGCGATGTGACAGTGTAGGGGCCACGCACAGGTACATCTGATGTGGATCCTCACTAGGGTGAGAATGGAAGGGGCAGGGAGGCGCCTCAAGCACCTGCAGGCGGTGCTGAGCCCCTCGGGAGCCAGAGCCGGTCTCAGGATACGTCTATCATCATCTACTGGAGGTAACAAAATTTAATAAGCAGGCTTAATTGAATAAAATTTTGCATATTTATTGCAGATATTGCAGTGACACAGCGAAAATAAGCTATTGAGGTCGTGGTAGTGTTGGAACGGTCCTGACCTGTCAAAGGTCATTATTGAGTCAGCCGTGTTTAATAAAAACAAAATAGATCTAGTCAAAAGCTCCGTGAATAAACTAGTAGCAGGCGACAACGTTTGTTTGTTTGTTTGTTGTTTAATACCGCACTCAGCAATATTCCAGCTATATGACGGCTGTCTGTAAATAATCGATTCTGGACCAGACAATCCAGTGATTGACACCATGAGCATTGATCCACATACATCAAGCAAGTCAGCGAGCCTGACCACCAATCCCGTTTGTCGCTTTTTACGACATGCATATTATAGTCTCCTTTTATGGCAAGCATGGGTTGCTGAAGACCTATTTATTTTATACTCTAGGTCTTCGCGGGTCTCATGCAACGACGAGAAGATTCGTCTTCACTCATATATAGGCTTAACAGATCAAGGTAGCTCAGTGCATGCAGAGACCACTCCCTTTTAAAAATCCTCGATCTGCACTGTCATTCCCAATGTCATGATCCCTATATATTGGTGGCTTAGCTCTGGTTACCATGGTTACTGGTACTCTAATGCCTGTATTTTACTGGTATTAAAGTGAGTGAGTGAGTGTGTATGGTTTTACGCCGCTTTTAGCAATATTCCAGCAACATCACTGCGGGGGACACCAGAAATGAGCTTCACACATTGTACCACTGGTATTAAAGGCGCACTGATCTCTGACAATTCACCGGGACTGTTTGATGCCTTTGTTTTTTTCCGTGGATACCGGGATGTTATCCCAAACATCTTAACTAGTTCGCAAGCTGTGCTGCGCCAACCGTAAGCGTATTTGTCACTTTTATTGATAGTATAAGGGCGTATTGTCACATTCATCAACAAGAATACAGTTTTGTCTTGGAAAAAATAAGGAAATGTAGGTATCTTTAGAGGTAGCAATGATAATGGTGAAAAAGTTTTGACAAGTCAATTGCTTTATTGTGCGATTTTCGTTTTCACTATTTTGACTTGCAAAACAAACTAAATATTTCACCTGAGCATTGTTTAATTTATCATGTGTATGTGTTAGAGTCATTGTGTAAAATGACTAATATTTTCACTTAGACAATTCATTAAATGCCTAAATATTCAGTTCCATCAAAGTGTTATGTTCATTACAGTGAAATAGCAAGTGTCATGTTCACTACAGTGAAATATCAAGTGTCATGTTCACTACAGTGAAATATCAAGTGTTATGTTCACTGCAAAGAAAATATCATTTTTCTTAACCTTAGAAAACTCAGTCTCGTGACGGGCAAAGGAGATATTTCCTTTCCCCACGTGACTATGAGAGAAACATGATATTTCACTTGACACATGAAATATCGTCTATGTGTACATCATGTAAACCTCATCACTGTAAAATCAGCCATTACGTTGGACATTGGCAATTGATCGATCATCAGTTACAAATGCTGTTTTATTATGATGATATTTTCCAGTTGGTTATTTGTACTGATGCATTACCATGGTTACACATTCTTCTTTCTCCTGTAGATGGGACGAGGGCAAGTATAGGCGACATCAGCATCGTCCTGCGAGATGCCAAAAACGCAGAGCTTGTGCCACGGAAATACAGTAAGTTACTCTTCATCTTCCAGCGACTTACATGAGCTTGTCAGTAGGCAAGTAAAACACTTGAACATATATTTATTTTTTGGGACAGATTATAGAATGTGCCAAATGCTCTTTGATTAGACACTTCTGAGGGTCAGTGGATAATATTGAGAATTAAAACTTGAAATTTATGATCATCCGTTAAGAAAGCTGAGGGCAGTTGAAATAAGGCGATTATTTTCCATTTGATCTACTTTTAAGTTTGTTCTTTTATGCTGAAATAATTCAAACTCTTTTTTATTGATTAACATTTCGGGGAGTTTTTGTTGTCGTTTTACATTTCTGGGATGTTACAAGAATATAGAAGTTGTTATCCATAAAAAAGTGTCATTTATTTATGTTCTTCCAACTTCTAAATGCCTATTAAAACTTTATTTAGATTTGGCAGTAAGAAAAATGACTTACCAGAAATTCAAGTGTTTTCAAATTTTAGTGTTGCCAGATATTGAAGCCACCAGTTAAGATTTTTGTTTGTTTGTTGTTTAATGTCACACTCAGCAATATTACAGCTATATGACGGCAGTAAATAATCGAGTCTGGACCAGACAATCCAGTGATTGATATCATGAGCATCGATCCACGCAATTGGGATCGATGACATGTATCAACCAAGTCAGCGAGCCTGACTAACCGATCCCGTTTGTCGCCTTTTACGACAAGCATTGTCACCTTTTACGGCAAGCACAGGTTGCTGAAGACCTCTTCTATCCCGGATCTTCACGGGTCAAGCATGGGTTGCTGAAGACCTCTTCTATCCCGGATCTTCACGGGTCACGCATGGGTTGCTGAAGACCTCTTCTATCCCGGATCTTCACAGGCCCCACCAGTTAAGAAAATGCCTGAGTTTTCCTGTCTTATTGTTAAACGTTCCTCCTTCCAGTGCCGGCCAATGTCTCCCAGTCCGTGCTGCGCCACCTGAGATGGATCATGCAAAAGGTTTGTATGCATCAGAACGCTGCAAAGAAAGTTGACTTCCAAGTTACTTATGGGGCGGTTGGGTAGCCTTGTGGTTAAACATTTCACTCGTCTCACAGGAAAACTGGTTCAATTCCTTACATGGGCACAATGTGTGAAGCCCATTTCTGGTGGCCCCACCGTGATGTTGATGGAATATTGCTAATAGCGGCGTAAAACCATACTCACTCACTCACTCAAGTTACTAACTCTTACGGACCGCCTCCGTGGTCTAGTGGTAGAGCGTCCGCCCTTCGTCATACCAAAAGACGTTAAAAGATGGTACTTGTTGTTACCCTGTTTGGCGCTCAGCATTAAGGGGCTAAAACAAGGACTGGTCGGTTCGGAGTCAGTATACTGTGTCTGAGTGAGATATTCATGTTAAACTGTTGCATGGTATCTCAGTGAGCTAGCACTATAAATCGGCATCAGTCCGGACTAGTACAAGCAGCCACACAAACACACACACGTACATGCACGTCACTATATAAGTGCAATAATCTTGGAAGTGACGTTAAACCCCATTTCACCTCATCTCACCTCACCTCACCTCACTAACTCTTACGTACAAGTGAGTAAATGGAAGAGCTCCAACGACCTCGTCCATGCGTACCAGACATCTAGGAACTCACGGTCTGGTGACAAACTTCAGCTGGTCACTCCACATGGAAACTGAAATCCTTTGGTGCACGAACATTTCTAGTAACTGCTGCAGCTCATTAAATGCTCTTCCAATTGTCCTCAGAAAAGACCCATAACTTGATATTTTCAAGTCAAGACTTAAAACATATTTGTTTGATAACTCAGCCATTTAACTCTTGTTTACATATGTAGGTGTGTTGTCAGCGATTTGAGCATGCATTGTTGTATGGAAGTTAGTGCATTACATGAATTCTTATACCGTATTCGACATAAGAAGCGCCCTGCTCTAATAAGCGCCCACGTCGATATTTGCTAATATATTGGCTAGTGAACAATCTCAATTAGCACCTCTTCCAATTGATAAATGTACACAAGACTTATTTATTCGTGTATAATAAGCACTCGTATGTTACGGGCAATTAAATCCTGGAAAAATATATATGTCGTATATAAACATTTCAGGCTGTCAGCATAAACCACGAAATTTACGATCTTTCAACTCAAAATAATATTCTAATAAGAGCCCCCTATTTCTAATTTTGAGAGCGCCCTGGGTGCTTATTATGTCGAATACGGTTATTATTTTTACCTGACTGGCTGATCTATGGGTGACTGTTGGGGCTATTTTCACTTTTAGGATTGTAGTAAACCAACTTTAAGGCTTGATAATAATACGCTGTATTTATCAATGTATTTCCTGCGCTGAGGGCATTGTTTTATGTGCAGAGATTAAGATTACCATGTGTATTTTCTCGTAAACTAAGCCAGAAATAGCAATCAGCTGTGCACACGTTTCCTCCCAATCTACTGGTGATTCAGTTAAAACGTACCCAGTGATACCACTTTAAAGAAATTTGATGCAATGGTTGGAAGAAATTGTATCTGAAATTATTATTTTATCAGGAATAATATATTCCCATATCGTGATATTTTAGTTACAGCTTCCACCATTTATACTTAAAATTATAAGAACCACAAGCGTAGCACTTTGGTCAACAATGACGTCAACAATGCCGTCCGGATGACGGAAACAATACACTGTTGTCTCATGACGTAATACGACCCAAGGGCACATATGATTTTTATGAACCTCGATATGTTTGCCCTCGTAGGTAATAAATAAATTATGTAGAGTTGTTTGGACTGTATTAATCATGTAAACATTGTTTCAACAAGTTAAACGATAAGTAAAGGAGTCCTACTCAGAATAATACCCTGACATCTTTTCAATATGCCGTTTGATTAATTCTAAAATCATCAAAATGACAAGTTGTTGTTAACCATGTAACAGTTCAGTTAATCGCAAACTGGTATACCATGAATTTCTATTAATCTCATTATTATCCTGTTTACCTATAATTCTCCCAAATTGCAGTCTGTACAAACAAGATTGTATAATGGTTTATTTTCAACAGATTTTCGTGTTAGTTTATGGACTAGTATGTGCTGATCGTACCATGTTTCCAGACCAGGCATTCTACACCAGACTTGGACATAACTAGTGGCTTGTTGCAAACTGCTATTGTTTCCATGGTTACAGGACCTGCTGGGACAAGACGTGTTTCTGATAGGACCGCCCGGGCCGTTCCGCAGAGAGGTCGCCATGATGTATCTGGTAGGTTCTGTCTTTCTAATGTTATTTCACTTACCGGGGTACATTGGTTGGTTGGTTTGTTGTTTCACACTCAGCAATATTCCAGCTATATCACGGCCGTCTGTAAATAAATGAGGCTGGACCAGACAATCCAGTCATTAATATGATGAGCATCGATCCACGTAATTGGGATACGATGACATGCGTGGATTTCACTTACATTGATACATTGGCAGTGGTGTATCACCATGGAGTTTGTGTGTTAAACTCCTTTACGGTTTTACACGACACAGAAATATGCATCCATAACACACATTTGTGTAGAACGGATGCAGAACAAAATTTTGTTGCATCATGAGGGCTGTATAGTAATATTCTTGACAAGAGGGGACATGGGTGGCCCAGTTGTCTAAGGTGCCGAACTGTGAAACCAGTTCTTGATGTCATCTTGCTGGAAGTCGCATCAAGCACTGCTTGTCGTTCACTTGAGGAGCTAGCTTTCTACAGGAGTTGACAACTGGTTACATTGTGGAATGTTAGATTTGTCTAGCATTAAAACAAAATCTGATTGCAACATGCCCAATTCACCTGATGACTAATATTCTGGCTGTTCAGTAGCCAAGAGCCACAATTGGATGTGAAGAGTTGCATCCCATGCGTATTCCAGGATGCTATGAATGTGGTTTCACCCTGATTGTTTTATTTCTTGGGTTGTCTGCACCATATCTGTGATCATTGGTTTTACCAAAGTGGTAACTAACTAAGACCAACATCACTTTGGCTTTCTCCTCACACCCAGCTTACCTACCTGATTTAAGAAAGTTATACAAATGTCTGAAAGATGCAAATATGATGTTAAATACTAATCATCACTCTCACTCACTCACTCACTCACTCACTCACTCACTCACTCACTCACTCACTCACTCACTCACTCACTCACTCACTCACTCACTCACTCACTCACTCACTCACTCACTCACTGTTTCAGGAGCTCACCCAGCGGGAGTCGGAGTACATCTCATTATCTCGAGATACGACTGAGTCTGATCTCAAACAGCGGCGAGAGATCCAAGGCGGAACTGCCTTCTACATCGACCAGGTCGGTAATTCAGGAAATAGGCAGTGATATGTAGTAATATGTATTAAAGGAATTTTAGTTTTAATCGTTCACAGATATTAATGCGATATTCTCAAAATATTTATAAATTGATAAATAATACCTATTTCAAAAATAAAACTAAGTAAAATATCTCAAGCATGTTTGGTCATTGGGTAAAATGTTGAAATTTTTATTATAGATCAGTGATGATGATGATGATGATGATGATGATGATGCTTAAAGTGCATGACATTATAGTCCAATTACTTTCTCAGCTCCCTGTGAAGTATACAAGCCAAGCTGCCAATAAGGTGCTGAAAGGTTGTCATTCACATTACCATTTCATCCTACCAGGAACAATTTTGAACTAAGTCACTGAACCAGACCACCTGAAACATTTGGTCACCTCACCCCAGCACAGGTTCTAACCCAGAATCCCCACGGTACGACCAGCATAGGTTGCTAGGGAGCTGTTCTAACCCGGAATCCCCACAATACGACCAGCATAGGTTGCTAGAGAGCTGTTCTAACCCGGAACCCCCACAATACGACCAGCATAAGTTGCTAGAGAGCTGTTCTAACCCAGAGTCCCCATGGTACGACCAGCATAGGTTGCTAGGGAGCTGTTCTAACCCAAAATCCCCACGGTACGACCAGCATAGGTTGCTAGGGAGCTGTTCTAACCCGGAATCCCCACCATACGGCTTACAAAGGCTGCTGGGGACCTGTTCTAACTTCACAGTGAGCTTGATGTGACTTGGAGAGGTGACTAAGCTTTCTGGGTCCTGAGACTTTGTTAATTATGTGCCAACTGTGAGATTGAGCAACTTCTTGTCCCCCTTTCAATTGTTCTGAACACAATGTTTTACATTTCAGTGTGCAGTAAGGGCTGCTTTAGAGGGAAGAATTCTGGTTTTGGAGGGAATTGAAAAAGCCGAGAGGAATGTGCTCCCGGTGTTGAATAACCTTCTTGAAAATCGTGAAATGCAGCTCGACGATGGCCGCTTTCTTGTAGCTGCTGACCGATACGATAAACTGCTCAACGATCATACCAAGGAGGAACTTGACTCTCTCAATCTTGTACGAGTTAGTGAACGATTTAGGGTCATTGCTCTTGGTTTGCCAATTCCACGTTACCAAGGCAACCCACTAGATCCACCATTACGTTCCCGGTTTCAGGCCAGAGATGTACATTCCCTGCCTTTTAAGGTAATCTTGAAATGATTGAAAAACTAAATGTTTTTTACATGGTTCTTTAAGGATTGCAGTTTTTTAATTTTTTTATGTTAATTAAATACATTTCCCGACACATAAATGAATTTTAATAATTTGGTCCTGGTGATATTTTGGAACTATGTTTATAAACCTATTCATTGGGATCGCTATTAAGTAAGAGACTTCTTTCTATAGGCATTAAGACCTATTGTGAGGTTTTTACTTTCCAGTTGGGTTAAATCTCATAAACAGGGACGTTGTAATGTCCCTGAGATTTTATATAATATCCCAGGGATTTTATATAATGTCCTGGGTATTTTATTAATATAACTTCCGTTCAGATTGTAACATGTAATGAAATGTAAAATCAAATGACAAATGTTTTCTTCAATTCCCGAGGATCGAACTTGCAACCTTCATATCTGTAGCCCAGTAAGTGTACCACGAGGCTACAGAGGTGTTGATAAGCCTCGCTGGTTTTTAGAATGTCCTTTTCAAGATCTGTACGCCAGCAACAGATATTTTACGAGCGTTTCCTAAGGTTCATGGAAAGTATGTTCGAAACATAAAAATGTTGATAAATGTTGTTTTAAGTTTCTTTTTTCGGTTTATAAGCATGGAAAAACACTTTCCCTCGGTTTTGGTAGACAGAGCATGCCCTGGGGGTCGGGAAAAAAGGCGGGGGCTTCGCCCTCTTGGTTTTTCCCTCTCCCCAGGGCATGCTCTGTCTACCAAAACCTCGTGAGCGTGTTTTCTCCAATACTTCATGACTACTGTTGCTTGGTCTAACTACATGTTTGACAGATGTAATACTTTTATGCCAAAGTTTCGCCTGTCAGATGACTATGATTCCGACTTGCCTGCAGAGATATTTTCATATTTCAGGAAGTTTTAGAAGCCCTGCAAGAAAACACCAGGACTGTGGCTCCAGAACGGTAGGAACATACTGTCCATTTGTAATTTTGTTTTATTTAGTGTGTTTTTTAATAATGCACTCAGTAATTTTCCACTAATTGAGTCCAGTCCAGTGATTGACATGCATGAACCAAGTCAGGGAGCTTAACCATCTGATCCCGTTAGTCTCCTCTTAGGACAAGTATACTAACCCAGATCTTCATTGGTAAGCCATCATTTCGGGAGCCTCATTGGTATAAGCAGGCTGTGTGAATTACAATCTCATTAAAATCAGATCTTAGTTCTCACTACTGCTAGACAAAGATCTAAGGACATCCCATTAAGGGTCACGTCAGAACGACCTTTCATCCGACCAATCAGACCGTTGCTTACCAGATCATGAAAGTGACAGTCGGAATGTGATTTCTTATCATGCAACCTCGAAAACTTTAAAACGGGGTATTCCAAACGATACTTACGGGCTTAACGACTGAATCCATACAATCTAGAGGATATAATTGCCATTCAAGAATGTTCTTTTGTTCAGGTTTCAAATTTTTCATCGATAATGTGTCAAAATATGTTTCGAAGCGTAGTCGCCAATTTGAAATTAGTGCCGTAAAGCACGAGAAAGCTGCCTTCTGATTGGCTAATGTCGACATCTTGTCAGTCATTCCATTGGTCGGTCAGAGTGACGTGACCCATAATGGGATGTCCTCAGATCTTTGTTTAGCGGTAGCGAGAACTAAGATCTGATTTTAATGAGATTGTGTGGATTCCAGGTTAGAGTTGCTCCACAGCAATCTATGCTGATCGTAAGAGGCGGCCATATGAATCGGGAGGTCAGGACTTGGTTGATTGTCGTCATACCCTGATGGTGTGGATTGTTGCTCACAATATTAATCACTGGATTTTCTGGTCCAGAGTAGATTAATTTCACGTAATGCAATGGTATGAAGTTATGCTTGTTCTAGTCCTGTCTAGAAAAATGAAAAAATAACAGTCAGGAAGTGTTTCTATTGTTCCAGGGGCGGTCGGGTAGCCTAGTGGTTAAAGCGTTCGCTCGTCACGCCGAAGACCCGGGTTCGATTCCCGACATGGGTACAATGTGTGAAGCCCATTTGTGGTGTCCTCCGCCGTAATATTGCTGGAATATTGCTAAAAGCGGCGTAAAACCATACTCACTCACTCAATTCTATTGTTCGGTGATCATGTTGGATTTTCCTGCACGTATGTTTATCTAAGAGAAATCTGGTTCCAGGATATCCCAGCTGTTGTCATTTGCGTCCACCATGTTGACGACCGAGTCCACCTCCCTCGGGTTGCCGGACTTCCCCCTCGACAATCTCGTGCATCTAGTCAGGATTATGGTAGGTACTCAGAGTAATCATTCTGTGAAGGAGTTTCTTTGTTCATTGTACATGTAGCAGGGCATTTGGTCATCCCACAGATGATAGTCTTACCTTGTCAGCCTGCCCTTGTTAATCTCAGTTTCTGACACAGGACATGGGTTGTCTCTCCTTGTTTAGTGGTGGCGCATCTGCTCAGAGAGCGGGTTGTCGGGTTCGTTCCACAGCCACATCATACCAAAAGACGGTAAAAGATGGTACTTGTTTCTACCCTGTCTGGCGTTCTGTATATGAGACTGGTCGGCAGAGTCAATATAGGTGTGTGAGAGGGGTGTTCATGTTAAACTGCGACAGTGGCCTAGCACTTTAAAAAAACAACTGTTATTAATCCAGAGTAGTACACTCACGTGCTTGCCTGTCACACAATATAAGTACAATATGAACTCGACGTTAAACCCCATTTCACCTCACCTAAACCTGTTTATTGGAGCGTTTCTGTCACTGGGCACAGGAGTTGTCTGCCCTTGTTTATCGATGTGTTTTTGTTCCAGGACTCAGGAGTTGTCTGCCCTTCTTTATCGATGTGTTTATGTTCCAGGACACAGGAGTTGTCTGCCCTTCTTTATCGATGTGTTTATGTTCCAGGACACAGGAGTTGTCTGCCCTTGTTTATCAATGTGTTTATGTTCCAGGACACAGGAGTTGTCCGCCCTTGTTTATCAATGTGTTTATGTTCCAGGACACAGGAGTTGTCCGCCCTTGTTTATCAATGTGTTTATGTTCCAGGACACAGGAGTTGTCTGCCCTTGTTTATCGATGTGTTTATGTTCCAGGACACAGGAGTTGTCTGCCCTTGTTTATCGATGTGTTTTTGTTCCAGGACACAGGAGTTGTCTGCCCTTGTTTATCGATGTGTTTTTGTTCCAGGACACAGGAGTTGTCTGCCCTTGTTTACCGATGTGTTTTTGTTCCAGGACACAGGAGTTGTCTGCCCTTGTTTATCAATGTGTTTATGTTCCAGGACACAGGAGTTGTCTGCCCTTGTTTATCGATGTGTTTTTGTTCCAGGACAGGAGTTGTCTGCCCTTGTTTATCAATGTCTTTATGTTCCAGGATGTTGTACCGTCTGTATCCTCCCTGGAGCTGATACAGAGGCTGTACCCTTACAACATCATGCTGGGCAAGGAGGGGAAGACGGCCGTGGAGGACACGCTCACTGTAAGTTCACACATCAGTTAATAGCCGTGGAAGCACTTGTACATCACACACCAAAGATCAGGGGGTAGATACACAACGTTCAACTCCTTTATTTGGGGCACGGGTAGCCCAGTCGTCTAAGGCGCCGCGATTCGCTGTGCAGAGTTGCATCCCTTGGGCACGCCAGAAACCTATGATTGTGGGTTCGAATCCCGGTTCGCCCCGATTATGTTTCTAGGTTTGTCAGCACCATACCCGTGCTTGTGGGTTTCACCGAAGTGGTAAACGTCCGAGACGTGCATCACTTCGGGCTTTCCTCCCACATTAAGCTGACACGCCGTGATATAACTGGAATACTGTTAAAAGCGGCGTTAAACCCAACTCACTCACTCAACTCCTTTATCCCTTGATGTGTGTCTGTACTTTGCTCTCCACCCCATATGACAGCAATCAGTCAATCTGTATCTGACCCGTGAAGATCCAAGGTAGAATATGTCTTCAACAACCATTCTTGCCATAAAAGGGGACTATGTTTGTCGTAAGAGGCGACTAACGGGATCGGGTCGTCAGGCTCGCTGACTTGGTTGATGCATGTCATCGTATCCCAATTGCACGGATCGATGCTCATGATATTAATCACTGGATTGTCTGGTCCAGACTCGATTATTTACAGACTGCTGTCATATAGCGGGAATATTGCTGAGAGCAGTTTTAAACAACAAATAAACAAGCAAAGAAACAATCTGTATCTTCGCACTGAAAAGACATCCCGTTTTTGGAGAGATCAGCATTGTCTTGCCTCAACTGACGCAATGTTTCATTTTGTTTCATCATGATGTCATAACGTCATATTTGAATTTAAACCAATACATAATGCAGTTATTGGAAGTTTTTTATGTTAATTCTGAAATATTTACTAATTGTGTGGAACAAGGATCTGGGATTAAATCACTGATTATTTTACTGCTCATAGCTCACCTTAATATAGTTACATCAGTGTATGAATTGTATGTCAGATATCCTCTAAACATTGCTGTCCTTGACCATGACCTTGACCTTGACCTTTCAGAAATTTGAGTTGATTGGGTCAACCCCTGTGTACAGTGTAGGGAGCGTGGATAAGCAGGGTAACGAAGCCATGGTGACGCTGTCTCAAGGCCGAGATGTGCACCCAATACAGGTGAGTGGCACACACGTCTTGGGTAGTAGAATTACCTGTCATCTGTACCGGTGAGATGGATTGACGCTTGTGACCTAGGGAGTAGACATACCTGTCATCAGGGCTTGAAAAATCCACTTGTCCGCTTGTATTGACAAGTGGCAGCATGTGCTGGGCGAGAAGGAATTGAAGAAACTCTCGTCCTCCCGGGCGAGGACATATTTTAATCGTATTCAATTCATCTCTAATCATTTTCAATACTATATGCAGAATATGTTCGAACCTAAAGTATGTTTTCATCTCTCCCACGTTCTACGTAATAACAAAATACATGTCTCTCCTCTCATGAACAGACGACATATTCAGCAACTGTCAAAAAAACAGTAAGCGATTGCGCAGCAGGTATTGAATCTTTTTGGGAGATATAATGATGTTTTTTTTTATTTTTGTAGTTAGCGATTCGTTACTGATGCTCAAATGTCAAATTGATAGTGAACAGCTAATGTTTGATTTTGTGATCGAATTGGCCGACATACAGAAGTTTTTGATCAGGGATGGTGTGGTTGACATAATTAACAAACAGGCCAAGAAAAGGAAACTTTCTAAAAAAACAGTATGTCTGTAAAAAACAACCAACAACTGTGGAAGATGTATGGTTCAGTGAGTTTGAATGGGCGGAGATGAGCGTAGATGGCGGGGACTTCTATAAAATATAACAGGGCAAGTAAAAATATTACAGGACAAGTACAAAATATTATGTACTTGCCCTGCAGGACAAGTTGGGATTAAGAAAGTTTTCGAGCCCTGTGTCAAGTATAGTAATTTGGACGATTTAATTTAGAGATGGACTGATGTTTGTGTCTCAGGTAGTAGACGTACCTGTCAGGTATAGTGATTTAGTTACAGCTGTACAGGTGAGATGGACTGATGTTTGTGTCTCAGGTAGTAGACGTACCTGTCAGGTATAGTAATTTAGTTACAGCTGTACAGGTGAGATGGACTGATGCTTGTGTCTCAGGTAGTAGACGTACCTGTCAGGTATAGTGATTTAGTTACAGCTGTACATTTGAGATGGATTGATGCTTGTGTCTCAGGTAGTAGACGTACCTGTCAGGTATAGTGATTTAGTTACAGCTGTACAGGTGAGATGGACTGAGGCTTGTGTCTCAGGTAGTAGACATACCTGTCAGGTATAGTAATTTAGTTACAGCTGTACATGTGAGATGGATTGATGCTTGTGTCTCAGGTAGTAGACGTACCTGTCAGGTATAGTGATTTAGTTACAGCTGTACAGGTGAGATGGATTGATGCTTGTGTCTCAGGGAGTAGACGTACCTGTCAGGTATAGTGATTTAGTTACAGCTGTACAGGTGAGATGGATTGATGCTTGTGTCTCAGGTAGTAGACGTACCTGTCAGGTATAGTGATTTAGTTACAGCTGTACAGGTGAGATGGACTGATGCTTATGTCTCCGGTAGTAGACATACCTGTCAGGTATAGTGATTTAGTTACAGCTGTACAGGTGAGATGGACTGATGCTTGTGTCTCAGGTAGTAGACGTGCCTGTCAGGTATAGTGATTTAGTTACAGCTGTACAGGTGAGATGGACTGATGCTTATGTCTCAGGTAGTAGACGTACCTGTCAGGTATAGTAATTTAGTTACAGCTGTACAGGTGAGATGGACTGATGCTTGTGTCTCAGGTAGTAGACGTACCTGTCAGGTATTGTGATTTAGTTACAGCTGTACAGGTGAGATGGACTGATGCTTATGTCTCAGGTAGTAGACGTACCTGTCAGGTATAGTAATTTAGTTACAGCTGTACAGGTGAGATGGATTTATGCTTGTGTCTCAGGTAGTAGATGTACCTGTCAGGTATAGTGATTTAGGTACAGCTGTACAGGTGAGATGGACTGAGGCTTGTGTCTCAGGTAGTAGACATACCTGTCAGGTATAGTAATTTAGTTACAGCTGTACATGTGAGATGGATTGATGCTTGTGTCTCAGGTAGTAGACGTACCTGTCAGGTATAGTGATTTAGTTACAGCTGTACAGGTGAGATGGATTGATGCTTGTGTCTCAGGTAGTAGACGTACCTGTCAGGTATAGTGATTTAGTTACAGCTGTACAGGTGAGATGGATTGATGCTTGTGTCTCAGGTAGTAGACGTACCTGTCAGGTATAGTGATTTAGTTACAGCTGTACAGGTGAGATGGACTGATGCTTGTGTCTCAGGTAGTAGACGTACCTGTCAGGTATAGTGATTTAGTTACAGCTGTACAGGTGAGATGGACTGATGCTTATGTCTCAGGTAGTAGACGTACCTGTCAGGTATAGTAATTTAGTTACAGCTGTACAGGTGAGATGGACTGATGCTTGTGTCTCAGGTAGTAGACGTACCTGTCAGGTATAGTGATTTAGTTACAGCTGTACAGGTGAGATGGACTGATGCTTATGTCTCAGGTAGTAGACGTACCTGTCAGGTATAGTAATTTAGTTACAGCTGTACAGGTGAGATGGATTTATGCTTGTGTCTCAGGTAGTAGATGTACCTGTCAGGTATAGTGATTTAGGTACAGCTGTACAGGTGAGATGGATTTATGCTTATGTCTTAGGTAGTAGACGTACCTGTCAGGTATAGTGATTTAGTTACAGCTGTACAGGTGAGATGGACTGATGCTTGTGTCTCAGGTAGAAGACGTACCTGTCAGGTATAGTGATTTAGTTACAGCTGTACAGGTGAGATGGATTTATGCTTGTGTCTCAGGTAGTAGACATACCTGTCAGGTATAGTAATTTAGTCACAGCTGTACAGGTGAGATGGATTGATGCTTGTGTCTCAGGTAGTAGACGTACCTGTCAGGTATAGTGATTTAGTTACAGCTGTACAGGTGAGATGGAGAGATGCTTGTGTCTCAGGTAGTAGACGTACCTGTCAGGTATAGTAATTTAGTTACAGCTGTACAGGTGAGATGGATTTATGCTTGTGTCTCAGGTAGTAGACGTACCTGTCAGGTATAGTGATTTAGTTACAGCTGTACAGGTGAGATGGATAGATGCTTGTGTCTCAGGTAGTAGACGTACCTGTCAGGTATAGTAATTTAGTCACAGCTGTACAGGTGAGATGGATTGATGCTTGTGTCTCAGGTAGTAGACGTACCTGTCAGGTATAGTGATTTAGTTACAGCTGTACAGGTGAGATGGATAGATGCTTGTGACTCAGGTAGTAGACATACCTGTCAGGTATAGTAATTTAGTCACAGCTGTACAGGTGAGATGGATTGATGCTTGTGTCTCAGGTAGTAGACGTACCTGTCAGGTATAGTGATTTAGTTACAGCTGTACAGGTGAGATGGATTGATGCTTGTGTCTCAGGTAGTAGACGTACCTGTCAGGTATAGTGATTTAGTTACAGCTGTACAGGTGAGATGGACTGATGCTTATGTCTCAGGTAGTAGACGTACCTGTCAGGTATAGTAATTTAGTTACAGCTGTACAGGTGAGATTGACTGATGCTTGTGTCTCAGGTAGTAGACGTACCTGTCAGGTATAGTGATTTAGTTACAGCTGTACAGGTGAGATGGACTGATGCTTATGTCTCAGGTAGTAGACGTACCTGTCAGGTATAGTAATTTAGTTACAGCTGTACAGGTGAGATGGATTTATGCTTGTGTCTCAGGTAGTAGATGTACCTGTCAGGTATAGTGATTTAGGTACAGCTGTACAGGTGAGATGGATTTATGCTTATGTCTCAGGTAGTAGACGTACCTGTCAGGTATAGTGATTTAGTTACAGCTGTACAGGTGAGATGGACTGATGCTTGTGTCTCAGGTAGAAGACGTACCTGTCAGGTATAGTGATTTAGTTACAGCTGTACAGGTGAGATGGATTGATGCTTGTGTCTCAGGTAGTAGACATACCTGTCAGGTATAGTAATTTAGTCACAGCTGTACAGGTGAGATGGATTGATGCTTGTGTCTCAGGTAGTAGACGTACCTGTCAGGTATAGTGATTTAGTTACAGCTGTACAGGTGAGATGGAGAGATGCTTGTGTCTCAGGTAGTAGACGTACCTGTCAGGTATAGTAATTTAGTTACAGCTGTACAGGTGAGATGGATTTATGCTTGTGTCTCAGGTAGTAGACGTACCTGTCAGGTATAGTGATTTAGTTACAGCTGTACAGGTGAGATGGATTGATGCTTGTGTCGCAGGTAGTAGACGTACCTGTCAGGTATAGTAATTTAGTCACAGCTGTACAGGTGAGATGGATTGATGCTTGTGTCTCAGGTAGTAGACGTACCTGTCAGGTATAGTGATTTAGTTACAGCTGTACAGGTGAGATGGATAGATGCTTGTGACTCAGGTAGTAGACATACCTGTCAGGTATAGTAATTTAGTCACAGCTGTACAGGTGAGATGGACTGATGCTTGTGTCTCAGGTAGTAGACGTACCTGTCAGGTATAGTGATTTAGTTACAGCTGTACAGGTGAGATGGACTGATGCTTATGTCTCAGGTAGTAGACGTACCTGTCAGGTATAGTAATTTAGTTACAGCTGTACAGGTGAGATGGATTTATGCTTGTGTCTCAGGTAGTAGATGTACCTGTCAGGTATAGTGATTTAGGTACAGCTGTACAGGTGAGATGGATTTATGCTTATGTCTCAGGTAGTAGACGTACCTGTCAGGTATAGTGATTTAGTTACAGCTGTACAGGTGAGATGGACTGATGCTTGTGTCTCAGGTAGAAGACGTACCTGTCAGGTATAGTGATTTAGTTACAGCTGTACAGGTGAGATGGATTTATGCTTGTGTCTCAGGTAGTAGACATACCTGTCAGGTATAGTAATTTAGTCACAGCTGTACAGGTGAGATGGATTGATGCTTGTGTCTCAGGTAGTAGACGTACCTGTCAGGTATAGTGATTTAGTTACAGCTGTACAGGTGAGATGGAGAGATGCTTGTGTCTCAGGTAGTAGACGTACCTGTCAGGTATAGTAATTTAGTTACAGCTGTACAGGTGAGATGGATTTATGCTTGTGTCTCAGGTAGTAGACGTACCTGTCAGGTATAGTGATTTAGTTACAGCTGTACAGGTGAGATGGATAGATGCTTGTGTCTCAGGTAGTAGACGTACCTGTCAGGTATAGTAATTTAGTCACAGCTGTACAGGTGAGATGGATTGATGCTTGTGTCTCAGGTAGTAGACGTACCTGTCAGGTATAGTGATTTAGTTACAGCTGTACAGGTGAGATGGATAGATGCTTGTGACTCAGGTAGTAGACATACCTGTCAGGTATAGTAATTTAGTCACAGCTGTACAGGTGAGATGGATTGATGCTTGTGTCTCAGGTAGTAGACGTACCTGTCAGGTATAGTGATTTAGTTACAGCTGTACAGGTGAGATGGAGAGATGCTTGTGTCTCAGGTAGTAGACGTACCTGTCAGGTATAGTAATTTAGTTACAGCTGTACAGGTGAGATGGATTTATGCTTGTGTCTCAGGTAGTAGACGTACCTGTCAGGTATAGTGATTTAGTTACAGCTGTACAGGTGAGATGGATAGATGCTTGTGTCTCAGGTAGTAGACGTACCTGTCAGGTATAGTAATTTAGTCACAGCTGTACAGGTGAGATGGATTGATGCTTGTGTCTCAGGTAGTAGACGTACCTGTCAGGTATAGTGATTTAGTTACAGCTGTACAGGTGAGATGGATAGATGCTTGTGACTCAGGTAGTAGATGTACCTGTCAGGTATAGTAATTTAGTTACAGCTGTACAGGTGAGATGGATTGATGCTTGTGTCTCAGGTAGTAGACATACCTGTCAGGTATAGTGATTTAGTCACAGCTGTACAGGTGAGATGGATTGATGCTTGTGTCTCAGGGACCGCCTCCGTGGTCTGGTGGTAGAACGTCCGCCCGGAGAGCGGAAGGTTCGGGTTTCGATCGGCATTAAGGGGCTAAAACAAGGACTGGTCGGCTTGGAGTCAGTATACTGTGTCTGAGTAGGGTATTCATATTAAACTGAGGCATGGTATTTCAGTGAGCTAGCACTATAAATCGGCATCAGTCCGGACTAGTACAAGCTGACACACACACACATACACGTGCATGCACGTCGCTATATAAGTGCAATAATCTTGGACGCGACGTTAAACCCAATTTCACCTCACCTCACCTTGTGTCTCAGGTAGAAAACATACCTGTCAGGATTTAGTCATGATGTAAAATGAGATGTTTTTTCCAGGTGTCGGCCGGCATGCTCCCCTCGTCAGCTGGTGACAAGGACTCGCCCTTCATCAGGACCGGCTACCATGATGCTCTGCTGTCCGAGATGCTGCAGTCTCACGTCACAACAGACTTCTGTCTCGTGGGGCCAAGGGTAGGGAAGCTCACCCTGGTATACTCATGCAAAAAAATAATGGAACAGACATGACGATCGGATCATGATAAAGAATTGACAATTGTGTTGTTATTCATGGACATGGACACACTTTGGAACTCCCACAAGTCTGCTGGTCCACTAGATCGAGACAACTAATTTATTCTGAGGACAAGTAAAGATCCAATGATGGTAGTCCTCATTCACTGGTAGCATTTGAGGTCTATAGTATTTAATGCTTTAATTTTGCTACTTATTGGAACTGAATATTATGACAGAAAATTTTAACACAGCGAACCTTTTTGTCTTGTTCAAGCAGGACTAGCTACAAACTCTGAGGACTTGTGAAATAAGGTGTACACAAGTCCGTTTGGACTAGTCTTAAAAAATGAGTTTTTGAAGCTGATGGATCATTTCAAAAGTTGAGCGTTTTGTAGAAGCTGTTTTAGTCATCTCATTGTGAGTGGGAGATGCCATGTGTATTTCAGTCATTGTGATTGCTGTGGTGTTTGGTTGCAGGGCTGTGGCAAGAGTGTATTGGTCAAGCAGTTTGCAGATCTGCTAGGCTACCACACAGAACCCATCATGTTGTATCAGGTAATCATTGCTCGTAAAGGAAAGTAGCAATGCGTTGGCTTGTCACCGTCTATAAAGAACATTCCAAAATGTTTCACTAAAAGATCAAAGGAGACAATAATGACTTTATTACTGTGATAAAGTGCACATTTTGAGCAACGTTTCATCGGTTGACATCATGAGGCTGTTCAAATTACCCCCCCCCCCCCCCTTGATCTAGCGTATCCTTAGCAACATTGTCCTGTCATTCCTATCAATCGATATAATCGATTGGTGGAATAGTTTAACACTACATGATTTTAACAATCGTGAGAAGGAAACAACAGCCACAGATTTATCAAACAACAGTAACATCAACACGGGTTCCTCGACTGAGTGAGTGAGTGAGTGAGTGAGTGAGCGAGTGAGTGAGTATGGTTTTATGCTGCTCCAGCAATATCACGGCGGTGGCCACCAGAAATGGGCTTCACACATTGTACCCATGTCGGGAATTGAACCCACCGCCCCTTCCTCAACATTAAGGACTTCTGAATTCTGTTTTCATGAAGATTTCTCATTTGAATTTATTTCTTTGTTATCATAACTCCTAGCTCCAACTCAGAAAATAAAATCTGACAAATAAATAATCAGTTTGTTTTTGCCTTAGGCTAAAAAAAAAAGTCTTGGTTCTCAGGCACCGCCCCCTTCATCATGAAGTTCGCTGCACGTTTCGTTTTTATTTCCATTTTAAAAAAACCCCCAAAAATCCTTAAATATTCTAGGTCCAACAGTAGTCAAATACTGCATTCCAGTATACTGCATTTACTCATTAAGGCATACATTTATGTAGGGAGGCCCTTTCCCCAGTTAATTGTACAAAATTGTTTATTTGGTTACACAACTGTTTATTTGGTTACATTCTAGTTTGAACAACCAATAAGAAAAAAGATACCGCCCGCCGGCACTATATTTGCAAAAAACATTGCCTGAGAACCATTTTTTAAATACTTTTAAGCCATATATGGATGTGTGACTTTAGACAAGGGGACATAACTCTATACCATATTTTGTTAATCTGGTCATGTATTTTGTCTGGACTATATGCAGTGGACCCATCATGAGAATAATAATTGAAGAATGTGTTATATTCTCTGGAATCTAGGATATGACGTCACGAGACTTACTTCAGCAGAGGACGACGTTACCGAATGGCGACACCACATGGCGACACTCTCCGCTCGTCACGGCAGCCCTGGAGGGAAGCCTGGCTGTACTTGACGGGGTTCATCGAATAAACCCAGGGTCTTTCTCTGTGCTGCATAGGTTAGTACAGGTGGGACCCGTGAAGATTCCGGGGTAGAATAGGTCTTCAGCCACCCATTCTTGCCTCAAAAGGTGATTTAGCTTATTGTAAAAGGCGACCAACGGGATCAGGTGGTCAGGCTCGCTGGTTTGGTTGATGCATGTCATCGATCTCAATTGCGTGGATCGATGCTCATGATATTAATCACTGGATTGTCTGGTCCAGACTCGATTATTTACAGACCGCCGTCATACAGCTGGAATATTGCTGAGTGTGGCGTTAAACAACAAACAAATAGTACAGGTGGGAAAGACAAGTGGGTGAAGTGTTTGCTTGTCACACTGAAAGCCTGGGTTCCATTCCCAACTTGCGTACGTTCCGTAAAGCCTATTCGTTGTGTCCCCTGCCGATGTGTTGCTGGAATACTATCAGATTAGCACACCTGTGTCCAAAATGATTGTTACTTCCCGAGAAATTATTTGTCTTTTTGACATCCAATTCTTATACATTGTTAATGGGCATGTGTCATTTGTCACAGATCTGCCGCACCTGTTTACCATCTTCCCAAGGCAAGGGAGTTAACTGACTGTAAAAGTCCAGTTTCCACCCTTGCCGAATTAGGCTGGAATTCCGGAGTTACATTTTGGCTGGACTAACGAATCTATTCATAGTCCAATCAAAATTGGACCCGTGAAGATCCGGGGTAGAATAGGTCTTCAGCAACCCATGCTTGCCGTAAAAGGCCACTAATAGTGACTATGCTTGTCGTAAAAGGCGACTAACGGGATCGGGTGGTCAGGCTCGCTGACTTGTTTTATACATGTCATCGGTCCCAATTGCGTGGATCGATGCTCATGATATTAATCACTGGATTGTCTGGTTCAGACTCGATTATTTACAGACCGCCGTCATATAGCTGGAATATTGCTGAGTGCGGCGTTAAACAAAAAATATAAAAATATAATCAAAATTGTGCAACAAACTAGACATTCAATTTGCAACAAAATGGAATTCAGCGTTCAGATTTGGATTTGCAAACCATGTGTACCATCAATTTGGCGTCGACAGATATTTTCCAAATCTTTTCATGTTTTTGATCAAGGTGCTCAAACGATTTGGTGCACTCTGTGAAGTAAAGTCTGATTTAATTACAAAATATAGATCTTGATAATCGATCAGATTGTCTTGACTGGGTGCGGCCATTTTATTGGAACCAATTGCAAGTGATATGAGAGGTGGAATCTGATTGGTCAATGGGAGGGACATAGAAGGGACATAACTTGTAATTGCCAATTGCTACGATCTAGCTACGAAATTCAAGTATAGTTCGGCAAGGGTTGAAAGAGGACTTTTAATGTCAAGTAATTCCCTTGCCTCGGGAAGATTGTAATGAACATGTGCAGTGACATCTTTGACTACATCTTCCCCATTGGAATCTCGGTCCTAGTATCCCAGGCTTGTCGTAGCCTTCTGATATGAGGATCTTGTGGTTGGATGTCATTGTATCCCAATTGCGTGGATCGATGCTCATGATGTCAATCACTGGATTGTCTGTCCAGACTCGATTATTTACAGACCGCCGTCATATAGCTGGAATATTGCTGAATGTAGCGTTAAACAACAAACAAACTAACCAAACACACTCTTGAATTCATTTTCTTGAGATTTACATCTGTGATTGTAATTGTCCCCCGCCGCGCGAAAGCGCGAAGCGGGGGATATCGTATTCACGACCGTCCGTACGTCCCACCTGTTTGTTGCCGCGATATCTCAAGAACTAAACACTGGATTGTTCATATTTGGAACTTTGGTGTATATACAGACTCCGCAGACACCAGTCGGTTTTGGTGACCTTGACCCCATTTTCAAGGTCACAGCAGGCAAATCTGCTTTTGGAGTTGGAAAACGCTGTTGCCACAATATCTCAAAAACTAAACACTGGATTGTCTTCATATTTGGTTCTATGGTGTATATACAGGCGTGGGACATTTCGTCACTTTGTGACAAATACTTGTTATTTTTAGATTTTACATCTAAATCATCAATATCACTAATTACTTTCAAGTTCATTGTCTTGAGATTTTTCATTTCTGATTTTATATTGCTTGAGATATTACACCTCTTGTTTCAATTATCTTGATTTTCATATATAATTGTATTGGATTTGGTTTGGATTTTGTGTCTCCAGATTGGTCCACGAGCGGGACCTGCAGCTGTATGACGGGACTCGGCTGGTGCGACACGACAGATACCAGGACATTCAGGAGAAGACAGGGCTGTCCCAACCACAACTGGAGGAGCGGTGAGCTGAGAACCACTCCTGGGTTTGGGGGTTCTTGTAGTAATTGGGTTATTCCAGTATTTGTGTTTCTGGGTTCTTGGGTTTCTGGGATTCTGGGTTCTTGGATACTTGAGTTTCTGGGTTCTTGGATTCTGGAATCTTGGGTTTCTATGATTCTGGGTTCTTTGAGTTCTTTTATTTCTGAGATTCTGGGTTCTTGGGATTCTTGGGCTACCATGTTTTTGGAATTCTTGGGTTCTGGAATTATGATGTTCTTAGTCTTCTGGGATTCAACATTCATGGAGTTCTTGTGTTTTGGGGATTCTAAGTTAATGTAATTCTTGGGTGTTTCGGGATTCTTGGAGTTCTTGGGTTCTGGGATTCTGGTGTTCTGGGGGTTCATGGGGAATCCGCTGTTCAGCTACCCTGCTGCTCCACATTAATGTCCTCACTGTTCTGTATCCAGGAGGATTTTCCCCATCCATCCATCCTTCCGCCTCATCGCTCTCGGGGAGCCCCCAGTTGTCGGGAGCAGCAAGCAGCAGTGGATGTCGCCGGAGATGTTGACGATGTTCCTGTACCACCACATGCGGCCGCTGTCACGGACGGAGGAGACAGATGTTATACACAAACTGGTGGGTGCTTATTGTAGGGTAATCACCATCTACCGAAGCACTGACTTTAAAAGTCTAGTTACCAACCTTGCCAAACTAGCCTGGAATTTCTGAGTTATGGTTTGGCTGTTGAGTCTTTGCATAATCCGAGTCAAAATCGCGTAACGAAATAGACATCCTGTTTCGAAAACTGCCGTGCATATTTAGGTTGATTGCAGGATTTCCAAACCAATTGCACTGTCAACTGGGCATCTACAGATATTTTCCAAATCTATCATGTTTTAAATTAAGGTCCTCAAGTAATTTGATGCATTTCGCAAGGTAAGATCCATTTTATAACAATGACGATCTTTATTACTGATCGGACAATCTTGACCAGGCGCCACCATTTTCTTTGAAGCATATGCAGGTAAAATGATAGATGTGATCTGATTAGTAAGTAGGAGGGACATAGAAGAGACTGGTGGTTCTACGATCGAGCAACAGAATTCCAGCCTAGTTCGGCAAGGGTGGAAACTGGACTTTTATAGTCAGTTAACTCTCTTGCCTCGGGAAGAGGGGCGATCACCTATGTAACAAGGAGTAATTATTTCTGAAAGGTTGAGACGTTTGTCTACAATATTTTATGACCAGTATAATAACAATGGTGTTTCTTTGATTTCAGGTTCCTAATGCTGATAATTTGAGTAAATTGTTTGATTTCGTCCACAAGCTAAGAGATTCAACAGACCCCACTGTAAGTAAAGCATGGACCACTTTCTACAATATACAGCTGTGTCGTGCACACAATGATGGCACAACAACGTTTTTTGTCTAAAGCGAAAATATAACTGACATGTAATCCTGGAAATAGTAGGAAATTGTTAGAATAGACTTATTATCAAATGAGGCTTCTTGATCAAACTTGAAAGCACATGATACATGATACACGATACATGATACAGCCCTGTTGGAATCCCTGGTTAAATTAGGTTCCTAGCTACCTGTGCTTGTTTTGAAAGGCTACTGAATTGATTGGATTGTCAGACTTGATGAAGTGGTTGATTACATGGCATCGAACCCAGACACTAGGACTTATTTAATAATGCAGTTTATAATAAAATAACAAAAACAAGTACAGCGGTGTACATCAATTCAGGATTTGTTTTATGTATTTGCTATTTTGTTTGAATTTTTTTTATTTCAGAAAATATTATGTGTAACATTGCTATCAAATTAACAATCTGTCTGTTGAGGATTACTTAAGGAGTGTATTGAACTCACAAGATTTAGGATGACAATTTTGGGGTATGATGAAGTATATGACATACTTCATGGATTTTATGCCTTTTCTTCTTCTTTCAACATTGCCTCATTGTTGTGTCATTGTTTCGACATTGTCTCATTGTTTCATCATTGTCTCATTGTTTCATCATTGTTTCATTGTTTCATCATTGTCTCATTGTTTCATCATTGTCTCATTGTTTCATCATTGTCTCATTGTTTCACCATTGTCTCATTTTTTCATCATTGTTTCATCATTGTCTCATTGTTTCATCATTGTCTCATTGTTTCATCATTGTCTCATCATTGTCTCATTGTTTCATCATTGTCTCATCATTGTCTCATTGTTTCATCATTGTCTCATTGTTGTCTCAATGTTACTTAAAGTGGCTCATTGTTTCATCATTGTTTCTTTGTTTCATCATCGTTTCTTTGTTTCATCATTGTCTCATTGTTTCTTCATTGTGACATCATTGTTTCATCATTGTCTCATTGATGTCTCAATGTTTCTTAGACTGGCTCATTGTTTCATCATTCTTTCATCATTGTTTCATTGTTGTCTTAATGTTTCATCATAGTTTCATCATTGTCTCATTGTTTAATCATTGTTTCATCATTTTCTCAATGTTTCATCATTGTCTCATTGTTTCATCATTGTTTAATCATTGTTTCATCATTGTCTCATTGTTTCATCATTGTCTCATTGTTTCATCATTGTCTCATTGTTTCATCATTGTCTCATTGATGTCTCAATGTTTCTTAGACTGGCTCATTGTTTCATCATTGTTTCTTTGTTTCATCATTGTCTCATTGTTTCTTCATTCTTTCATCATTGTTTCATTGTTGTCTTAATGTTTCATCATAGTTTCATCATTGTCTCATTGTTTCATCATTGCCTCATTGTTTCATCATTGTCTCATTGTTGTCTCAATGTTACTTAAAATGGCTCATTGTTTCATCATTGTTTCTTTGTTTCATCATCGTTTCTTTGTTTCATCATTGTCTCATTGTTTCTTCATTGTGACATCATTGTTTCATCATTGTCTCATTGATGTCTCAATGTTTCTTAGACTGGCTCATTGTTTCATCATTGTTTCTTTGTTTCATCATTGTCTCATTGTTTCTTCATTCGTTCATCATTGTTTCATTGTTGTCTCATTGTTGTCCCCCGCCGCGCGAAAGCGCGAAGTGGGGGATATAGTATTCACGACCGTCCGTCCGTACGTCTGTACGTCCGTACGTCCGTACGTCCCACCAGTTTGTTGCCGCGATATCTCAAGAACTAAACACTGGATTGTCTTCATATTTGGAAATATGGTGTATATACAGACTCCGCAGACACCAGTCGGTTTTGGTGACCTTGACCCCATTTTCAAGGTCACAGCCGGCAAATCTGCTTTTGGAGTTGGAAAACGGTGTTGCCGCAATATCTCAAGAACTAATCGCAGGATTGTCTTCATATTTGGAACTATGGTGTATATACAGACACCGCAGACACCAGTCGGTTTTGGTGACCTTGACCCCATTTTCAAGGTCACAGCCGGCAAATCTGCTTTTGGAGTTGGAAAACGGTGTTGCCGCGGTATCTCAAGAACTAATCGCAGGATTGTCTTCATATTTGGTACTATGGTGTATATACAGGCGGGGGACATTTCGTCACTTTGTGACAAATACTTGTTTAATCATTGTTTCATCATTTTCTCAATGTTTCATCATTGTCTCATTGTTTCATTATTGTTTCATCATTGTCTCATCATTGTCTCATTGATTCATCATTGTTTCATCATTGTCTCATTGTTTCATCATTGTTTCATCATTGTCTCATTGTTTCATCATTGTTTCATCATTGTCCTAATGTTTCATCATTGTCTCATTGTCTCAGTATTTCATCATTGCCTCATTGTTTGATCATTGTCTCATTGTCTCAGTATTTCATCATTGTCCCATTGTTTCATCAATGTCTCATTGTCTCAGTATTTCATCATTGTTTCATTGTCAACCATTGTCTCATTGTTCTATTCCCTCAATCACCAGACAACTTCATGTTTCAGATACAATCTATAGCTGCCTCCATGTCCACCCGCCAACTGCTCCGTATTGCCCGGAGTCTAGCTCAGTACCCCAATGAGGACTTGTATGGCATTGTACAGAAGGCCTGTCTGTCTAGGTGAGGGTGTAGATGCCTTAGGATTGCGAGAAAAATATGTTCCCAGTGTCACCTTCAGGAGTACATAACATTAGCAATTTGTAACCACAGTGCTATCTGCGTGTGGAAGGCTTTAGGCACTGTCAAGAATTGGTATTCAACAACCAATGCTTGTCGTAATGCCCCCATTTCACTGCGACCACGAATATCCCGAATCGGTCAAAGTTCTCAAAAGGAAGTTCCGACGTGACCTTTAATGGGATGTCCTCAGATCTCTGTTTAGCGATAGCGAGAACTAAGATCTGTTTTTAATGAGATTGGTCATAAGAGGCAACAAACGGGATCTTGGTTGTTGCTTGTTATCATATCCCAATTGTGTGGATCGATGCTCATGATGTCAGTCACTGGATTGTCTGGTCCAGGCTTGATTATTTATAGACCGCTTTCATAAAGCTGGAATATTGCTGAGTGCGGCGTTAAACAACAAACATAGAAACAAAACCCCACATAAACACTAATACTTTTAATGTCTATCCAACAAGTAATGATGTTTCTGTCACAACACAAGATGTCTAGGAGATATGCTTATGCTGTTTGTTGTCTGACGCCACACTCAGCAATATTTTAGCTGTATGACGGTGGCTTGTGAATAATGACCAGACAAACCAGTGATTGATATTGTGAGCAGTGTCCCATATCGTCGGGCTATGATGACACACAATGAATTCAAAGAGCCTGGATACCCCGATTAATTGTCTCTTACGACAAGCATAGATCGCTCGGTATGTTTCTAGGTTTGTCAGCACCATACCCATGCTCTTGGGTTTCACCAAAGTGGTAAACGTCTGAGACCTGCATCACTTTGAGCTTTCCTCCCACATTAACCTGACACGCCGCGATATAACTGGAATACTGTTAAAAGCGGCGTAAAACCCAACTCACTCACTCACTCACTCACACACTTTTACAGGTTTCTGGGGACCAATTTCGTTTCATGACAAGCATAGGTTGCTGGGGTCAGTTCTAACCCACATGGTTTGTTTAGGTTCCTGCCTCGTCTCGCCCGCCAAGCCCTGGATCAGACTCTGGACTCAGCGGGGATACAGCCACTGAAGCCCGACCACTCCGTGGCATCCTTCGAGACGTCGGTGACGTGCGAGGTGCAGGGGGACACGCTGCGTATTGGCAGCACCACGGTGCCGGTGTATAACCCACAGAACAGGACCAAAGTCCCCGACATCCTCTTCTATGAAAATCAACAGGTAGGAAGGACCACTGTTTGAGATTTGACCACAATATTTATCATTAAGACCACAAGCATATCTGACAAGACAAGTGTGTTACAAGCTTGACCAGATTACAATTTAACGTTCAAATATGTTTTAGTCATACATGTTGAAGACATGCTAAATGAGTAATGTACATGTCAGTTTCTAGCAAGGATTCTTTGACATTACTACAATGAGCTAGATTTTGAATCGTTTGAGTATAAGTACCCCCCAATTTTTGTCTAAATACATGTAAAAACACTCTGTGAGATCCAAACATGAGAAAATCCACATGTTTCTAGGTTTGTCAGCACCATACCCGTGCTCTCTTGGGTTTCACTGAAGTGGTAAACGTCTGAGACCTGCATCACTTCGGGCTTTCCTCCCACATTAAGCTGACATGCCGTGATATAACTGGAATACTGTTAAAAGCGGCGTTAAACCCAATTCACTCACTCACTCACTCATGGCAACATACCTGAGGTCATTTTGGCCTTCAAATCAACATTAAACCCACCTGATTGTTTTGGACTATCTCCATGGCAACCATCTCCATGGTAACATGATGTTGCAGCACCTGTCTGTGATGGAGGACATGTTGAAGGACTTCACCCTGGGGGAGCACCTGCTGTTGGTGGGGAACCAGGGCGTCGGCAAGAACAAGATCGTGGACCGCTTCCTCCAGATGCTGAGTCGGCCGAGGGAGTACATCCAGCTACACAGGTACGGAAGGAGGCGACACATCAACACAGGACCCGTGAAGATTCCTGGGTAGACTAGGTCTTCAGCAACCCAAACTTGCCGTAAAAGGCGACTATGCGTGTCGTTAAAGGCGATCGGGTGGTCAGGGTCGCTGACTTGGTTGATGCATGTCATCGAATCCGGATTGCATGGATCAATGTTCATGATGTCAATCACTGGATTGTCTGGTCCAGACTCGATTATTTTACAGACCGCCGTCATATAGCTGGAATATTGCTGAGTGCTGCGTTAAACAACAAACAAACAAAAACATCAACACAGATTAGTAGCCGAGTGTGTTACTGTATCATAAAAAATATAAGAATCGGTTCTCAGGCATCTTTTGAAAATAAAGTGTAAACAGGCGGTGTTATTTTTTGTTGCTTGTTCAAACTAGGAAAAATATATCTGTCGTACATAAACATTTCAGGCTGTCAGCATAAACCACGAAATTTATCTTTCAACTCTGTTTTTTTTCACCAAAATAATATTCTAATAAGAGACCCTTATTCCTTATTTTGACAGCGCCCTGGGCGCTTATTACGTCGAATACGGTATGTTGATTATTATTTTTGACAGAGACACGACTGTTCAGACGCTCACGCTGCAGCCCACTGTTCAGGATGGCATCATTATATATGAAGACTCTCCACTGGTAAGTAGGCAGCCCTGGCATGGGTCTTCCAGATGTTTAGAGGGGGCGCGGGTGGCCCACTCGTCTAAGGCGCCGCGATTCACTGTGCAGAGTTGCGTCCCTTGGGCACGCCAGAAACCTATGATTTTAGGTTCGAATCCCGGTTCGACCCAATTATGTTTCTAAGTTTGTCAGCACCACACCCGTGCTCCTGGGTTTCACCGAAGTGGTAAACGTCTGAGACCTGCATCACTTCGGGCTTTCCTCTCACATTAAGCTGACTCGCCGTGATATGACTGGAATATTGTTAAAAGTGGCGTTAAACCCAACTCACTCACTCACTCATTCAGATGTTCAGACACTCTGTTTATGTAACAATGAGATAATAATTAAACACTCAGACAATGGTTAAGAAATAATAACATATTTTTATAATGATTGAACAATAAAGACCACGTCCATGGTCTCGTGGTAATGCATCCGCCCGGAGAGCGGAAGGTCCGGGGTTCATTCCCTGGCTACCTCATACCAAAAGATGTTAAAGATGTTACTTGTTGTTACCCTGCCTGGCGCTTGGCATAAAGGGGTTAAAACAAGGACTGGTCGGCTCTGAGTCAGTGTACTGTGTCTGAGTGGGGTATTCATGTTAAACAGTGGCATGGTATCTCAGTGGGCTAGCACTATAAATGAACATTAGACTTGACTAGTACAAGCAGCCACACAGACACACATGTACATGCACATCGCTATATAAGTGCAAAAATCTTGAACGCAACATAAAACCCCATTTCACCTGCACCTTTGAACAATAGTGAGTGAGTGAGTTTGGTTTGACGCCGTTTTTAGCAATATTCTAGCAATATCACGGCGGGGGACACCAGAAATGGGCTTCACACATTGTACCCATGTCAGGATTCGAACCCGGGTCTTCGGCGTGACGAGCAAACGCTTTAACCATTAGGCTACCCGACTTCCACCTTTGAACAATAAGTCAATGAGTAAACGAGACATGGATTCAGCATAAGGACAATGTTAAACAATAAGGCAATGATAAAATATTGAGACAATGGTTAAACAGTGAGTCTGATAAAACAATGAGACAATGGTAAAATATTGAGACAATGGTTAAACAGTGAGTCTGATAAAACAATGAGACAATGGTAAAATATTGAGACAATGGTTAAACAGTGAGTCTGATAAAACAATGAGACAATGTTAAAATATTGAGACAATGGTTAAACAGTGAGTCTGATAAAACAATGAGACAATGATAAAATATTGAGACAATGGTTAAACAGTGAGTCTGATAAAACAATGAGACAATGATAAAATATTGAGACAATGGTTAAACAGTGAGTCTGATAAAACAATGAGACAATGATAAAATATTGAGACAATGGTTAAACAGTGAGTCTGATAAAACAATGAGACAATGATAAAATATTGAGACAATGGTTAAACAGTGAGTCTGATAAAACAATGAGACAATGATAAAATATTGAGACAATGGTTAAACAGTGAGTCTGATAAAACAATGAGACAATGATAAAATAACCAGACAATGATTTAATGATTACCAAAAAATATTCATGTATTGTTATTCTTCCTTTAAAATGGTGGTTTTCACTTTCATCATATTTACGCAGGACTATTCTCTGAACTTTAAAAGTAATACCCAGAAAAAAACATCAAACATGTCACATGTTCTAAACTGTTGTATGTATGCTGTAATAGAATGACACTAATAGAGTCTAATATTACGTTACGGAGGCATGGGTGGCCCAGTCATCTAAGGCGCCACGATTCGCTGTGTTGAGTTGCGTCCCTTGGGCACGCCAGAAACCTATGATTGTGGGTTCGAATCCTGGTTCGCCCCGATTATGTTTCTAGGTTTGTCAGCATCATACCCGTGCTCGTGGGTTTCACTGAAGTGGTAAACGTCTGAGACCTGCATCACTTCGGGCTTTCCTCCCACATTAAGCTGACACGCCGCGAAATAACTGGAATGATGTTAAAAGCGGTGTTAAACCCAACTCACTCACTCACTCACTAATATTATGTTACAGAGCTCCACATAAGGTCCATTTGTGTAAAATATGCCAAATAAGGTCATGGTTTTCAGCATTGGGCACAAATCTTGAGAACATTTTATATCACGCGTTGTAGGTCAAGGCCGTGAAGCAAGGTCATGTGTTTGAGCATTGGGCGCAAATCTTGAGAACATTTTATATCACGTGTTGTAGGTCAAGGCCGTGAAGCAAGGTCATGTGTTTTAGCATTGGGCACAAATCTTGAGAACATTTTATATCACGTGTTGTAGGTCAAGGCCGTGAAGCAAGGTCATGTGTTGGTTGTGGATGAGGCAGACAAGGCTCCCACGCATGTGACGTGTGTGCTGAAGACACTGGTGGAGTCCGGGGAGATGCATTTGGCCGATGGCAGGAGGATTTTGTCGGGTGAGACATCAAATGATCAGACTTGTCACCGCAATCCTCTCTTTCAATATATTTGCGAACCAGAAGTCTGCACTTATCTTCCAATTTAACCCTTGACTCACTTCAACTCACTCACTGAAGTGACTCACTCTACCTGTTGTCTGCACAGCCAGGACAGGAATGGCCCCCTCCAGCAACGTGATCGTGGCTCACCCAGACTTCCGGATGATTGTCCTGGCAAACAGACCTGGCTTCCCCTTCCTGGGAAACGACTTCTTCGGTGCTATGGGTAAGTTTGTTTGTTTGTTTGTTTGTTTGTTGTTTAACGCTGCACTCAGCAATATTTCAGCTATATGACAGCTGTCTGTAAGTAATCGATTCTGGACCAGACAATCCAGTTATTGACATCATGAGCATCGATCCATGCAATTGGGATATGATTACATGCATAAACCAAGTCAGCGAGCCTGACCACCCGAAACATATTTTGACAAATTCTCGATTACAAATTTGAAACCTGAACAAAAAAAACATTCTGGAATGTCTAATAGATGGTCTAGAATGTAAGGATTCAGTCGTTAAACCCGTAACTATCGTTCAGAATACCCCGTGTTAAAGTTTTAGAGATTGCATGATTAGAAATCACATTCCGACTGTCATGTTCATATTCTGGTAAGCGACGCACTGATTGGTCGAATGAGAGGTCGTTCTGACGTGACCCCTAATGGCATGTCTTCAGATCTTTGTTTAGAGGTAGCGAAAACAAGGATCTGATTTTAATGAGATTTGGCTTTTTTTCGCATCACATAATTTCAAAAAAGATTTGGTGGCGATTGGGTCTAGCATATATAATACTGAAGAATGAACATCCTGGATTATTAAGGATAGATTAATTTCCCTGTTTCCTCTCTGTTTTGCGCAGGTGACATCTTTAGCTGTCACGCCATCGACAATCCAGACATCGAGTCGGAGATGGCGATGTTGAGACAGTACGGGCCGAGCGTGTCGGAGGGGACGCTGCGGAAGTTGGTGATGGCGTTCGGGGAACTACGTGACATGGCGGACCAAGGTCTTATATCGTATCCCTACTCCACCCGAGAAGTTGTCAACATGGTTCGGCATATACAGGTAACTTCTAGACTTACTTCAGCCTCCTGGGTGGTGGGGTAGCCGAGTGGTTCAAGCGTTTGCTCGTCATGCCGAATACCTGGGTTCGATTCCCCACATGCAGAACTCCAGATGCAGAGCTGCGTTTCTGCGTAAAATACGCATCAGAAATGCAGAAATACGCATTAAGTAAAATCCAAGCGTACCAAATACGCAATGAATATTACAGATAAGCTACAAAAATAAAACTTGTGGGTATCATCAAAATATTGTGAAGTAACCCTGCGTATTCGAATAGCAAATCAGCAACTTATTTTGAAATTATAAATGGGCATTCCGTCAACCTTGCCAAACTCCACGATGACAGTTACATCATGATCATTTGCCATCACACTTTCTTGTGGAAGTATTGTGGTATTTTTTAGTCTCGAACCCACACGACACCAGTTTGCAGGGACTAGATGAATAGTGTTTTTTAATATTTCACTTAAATACCCACATGTATAAAAACTAGTGGGTAACAGAAATTTGAATACCCAGATAGAATTACTGATACCCAATGATTTTAAAATGCATGGGTAAAATACCCACAACAGCAAAAGCTTATCTGGAGCTCTGCACATGGGTACAATGTGTGAAGCCCATTTCTTGTGTCCCCCATCGTGACATTGCTGGAATTAAACCAAACTCACTCACTTCAGCCTCCTGTTGCAGGTTGATTTACCTAAAACATTAAGAATGTGTGATACTTACTTGGAACCTGAGAGCAAGCAGCTGTCGCAAACCAAGGAACCATATTTTGTCCTGTGGGTACCCGGGTCCTACTCAGAACCCACCAGACCCGAGTACCCGAGTTATCCATCCCAGCCCTAGTTCAATCCCATTAATTCCACTTACTGGCTACATAATTTTATGAGTGAGTGAGTGAGTGAGTTGAGTTTAACGCCGCTTTTAACAGTATTCCAGTTATATTGCGGCGTGTCAGCTTAATGTGGGAGGAAAGCCTGAAGTGATGCAGGTCTCAGACGTTTACCGCTTCAGTGAAACCCACGAGCACGGGTATGGTGCTGACAAACCTAGACACATAATGGGGGCAAACCGGGATTCGAGCCCACAATCATAGGTTTCTGGCGTGCCCAAGGGACGCAACTCTGCACAGCAAATCGCGGCGCCTATACTGGGCCACCCATGCCCCCCATAATTTTATGATGCGTTTGTACTAATTCACAACTTGCAAATGTGGCACTTATGTAGCTTTGAGAATAGAGGTGAATAGTGTTGTGATTACAAAACACATGAATGGTGAGGTCAGATTATGGAAGCCATTTTTGTACAGTTATGAGAACATTGTGATATAAAGTCTGAATGCCACCTACAGTTTTGTTTGTTTGTTGTTTAACACCTCACTCGGCAATATTCCAGCTATATGACGGCGGTCTGTAAATAATAATAATTAAGTGGGTCGGACAATCCAGTGACTGACATCATGAGCATACAATTGGGATACCATGACATGCATCAGCCAAGTCAGCGAGCCTGACCACCCGATCCTGTTAGTCGCTCACGACAAGCATGGGCTGCTGAAAACACATATCTTCACGGGGGTCCAACTGAACACACTATTCAGTCTTAGACATTTGTTTGTTAAAGATTTGGGAATAGGTCTTCAGCAACCCATGTTTGTTGTAAGAGGCGACTAAAGGCTCGCTGACTTGGTTGATGCATGTCATCGTATCCCAATTGCGTGTATCGATGCTGATGATGTCTATAACTGTATTGTCTGGTCATATAGCTGGAATATTCCTGAAAGCATAGTATAACAAAAAACGAAGATCATGAGTTTGTTACCGACTACTCCAAATGACTTGTGTAAGCCTTATTTCACTGTACCTCAGAGTGTGTAGCTAATCCTGCTTGAACAGGACAAACATGTTTACTATGTTTACATCTTCTGTCAGTTTTAAACAGTTCCAGACCGCCTCCGTGGTCTAGTGGTAGAGGTCCGCCCGGAGTGAGGAAGGTCCTGGGTTCGATCCCCGGCCGCGTCATACCAAAAGACGTTAAAAGATGGTACTTGTTGTTACCCTGTCTGGTGCTCGGCATTAAGGGGCTAAAACAAGGACTGGCCGGCTCGGAGTCAGTATACTGTGTCCGAGTGAGGTATTCATGTTTAACTGCGGCATGGTATCTCAGTGAGCTAGCACTATAAATCGGCATCAGGCCAGACTAGTACAAGCAGCCACACACACACATACACGTGCATGTTGTAATCTTGGACGCGATGTTAAACCCAATTTCACTTCACCTTAAACAGTTCCAATTTTTGAGTCAATACTAATCCAATCACTGATGCCCCTAGACTGTAAGACCCGTGAAGATTCCGGGGTAGAATGGGTCTTCAGCAACCCATGCCTGCCGTAAAAGGCGACTATGCTTGTCGTAAAAGGCGACTTACGGGATCGGGTGGTCAGACTCGCTGACTTGGTTGATGCATGTCCCAATTGCGTGGATCTATGTTCATTATCTCAATCACTGGATTGTCTGGTCCAGACTCGATTATTTACAGACCACCATCATATAGCTGGAATATTGCTGAGTGCGGCGTAAAACAACGAAACAACGAACCAACCTACCTAGACTGTAAAACAACATTCACACACTCGCTCAATTCCTGTTTCAGAAATTCCCCAGCGAGGGCCTGACGACCGTGGTGAAGAACGTGTTTGACTTCGACTCGTACAACCAGGAGTTGCAGGAGACCATCGTGCAGACCATGGAGAAGCATGGCATCCCCCTCGGCGCCCGAGAAGCCAGAATCAGCCTCGCTAAAGAGTAAGATCTGGTTGTTACAAGATGTAGAACTAGTAGAGTGATGCCGAGCTGGGAGACCAGTATTCCTTGCTTGGTACTGTTACCGGTATATTTAAACTCAGGGTTTGTCTTAGATCTTGACCGTAACAATGTGATATGGTTGTGTTCAAGTCCATCTTCCCGAGACGAGGGAGTTAACTGGCTATAAAAGTCCAGTTTCCATCCTTGCCGAACTAGGCTGGTATTATGGAGTTACATTTTGGCTGGACTAATGAGTCTATTCATAGTCCAATCAAAAACGCGCACCGAAATCGAAATCCGGTTCGTAAAGTGTCATGCAGATTTCAGTTGACTGCAGGATTTGCAAAGCATGTGCACCGCTAACTCGTCAACAGATATTTTCTAAATCTTTTCATGTTTTTTACCAAAGTGCCTGCGTGATTTGATGCACTTCGCGATGTAAGACTTGTTTTATCACAATATAGATCTTGATTATCAATCAGATCGTCTTGACTGGGCGTCACCGTTTTGTTTGAAGCAAATGCAAGTAATACGAGAGGTTGAATCTAATTAGTCAATAGGAGAGGCATAGAAAGGACATAACTCGTAATAGCCACTGGTGGCGCTACGATCGGGCCCAGGAATTCCAGCCTAGTTCGGCACGGATGGAAACTGGACTTTTAAAGTCTGTTAACTCCTCTGCCTCGGAAGATGGTTGAAGTCTGTACTATTTGACAAACTTTTAGAAAATTAATGTGAGCGAAATTCGGAGAAATGTGTGATATGCTACTCAACTTTTGATACAGATGCTGAGATATTTACTTAGCAGTGTTCACAATAAAGCCAAGTAGCCCTTGTCAAAACTACTCAAAAGAAATTCAAGATTCTTTCATATTTCTATAGTTAATCTGACAACTAGGAGATGATATACGCTTGTTTGGTTCCAGATTCTATTTAGCGCGGTTAAGTCTACAGGTAACCTAGCTCTACATTGAAAACACAGTATGTTTATCTCCTTTCTGCCATATTAAATAAACAGCTAACTCTTTTGTGTTAGGAAATATTTTTAGTGTATTGGCATGGGTTGGGTCCATTTTTTGAGGGGGTTGTCAATCTGAATTACGGAAGTACGGAATCACCGACAAAAGCCTTTAAACTATATATGGCCTGTATATGATCAAGCACATCCCCATTTTGATGTCATGTCACTGATTGTCACACAAAAGATGATGATGTCACAGTGGTATATGAAGCTCTCTGTTCTCCCCAAAACTTAGAATACATTCTCTTTGCAGATTTCGTGTTTACTGCACGAAATGTATTGCCACACATCCTTTGAATGCTCTAGTAACTGCAACTTTGCATTTGGTAACCTGTAATTGCAGATATAATTATTTATATATGCCTACCAACAATGACTGAAGAAGTACTATTCTATGAGTATTACCTTCCTTCCGCGGTGATGTGGCCGTCAAATCGGCCATTTCAATACGAGGGGATTTATTGTGATTTGACAACCTCTGATTGACCAATCAGAATCGAGTCATTTCTAAATTCATGGTAGAATGGTAGAATTAACTACAGCAATATGATAGAGTGGTATATTAAATTTAGGGGGCTCTTGAATCAAATGCTGCCCTCAGGACCACAGGACCCCCTTTAATTTCGGACACTGCTGAGGTATTAATATTTACTTGTAATATTTATTTAGTAAGGTAGGAGAGGAATATCACAACATAAAGTTGAGTAGTATTGTAGTTATTTTGAATGATTTGTTTTTAACACAATCTTGTAACAACCAAATCTTTATTCTTGTTGATGTATCTGATTTCTGAGAATTTTCCCAGTTTAAGATTGTTATGTTTGTTTGTCATGTAGTACAGCCACTTCAGTTGTTTATTGACAAATGGGTTTTATGAATATTTTCAGAATATTTTAAGGATCAGCCCGCTACAGGACTAAACTGATCTTTTAGACTGTGTCTTTATTTAATATGAGTGTACATGGTGTAGGCCGTGGGTGTCCTGTCATGGCTTGCATTTTTATTTTAAGGTGATTTTAGACTGTGAATCAATTGGGAGTTAGGCGACATGCTTGAGAGGATGTTTTTTGTGATCCAGTATTGAAGGATGAGGAGTGATGAGAGGAGAGCTCCAGATAACTTTTTGAGCAATTGAGTTTTTACTCTAGGGTTTCTATTTAAATTGGGTTACCGTGTTCAACGTAATAAGCGCCCAGGGCGCTCTCAAAATTAGCAATAGGGGGCTCTTATTAGAATATAATTTTGGTGAGAGAAAAAAAAGAGTTGAAAGATTGTAAATTTTGTGGTTTATGCTGACAGCCTGAAATGATACAAAAGAAAAGTCTGTGCGTATTATACACGACAGATATATTTTCCAGAACTTAACTGCCCATCATTAAGGGTGAATATAACACACGAGTGCGTATTATACACGAATAAATAAGTGTACATTGATCAATCGGAAGGGGATTGTTCACTAGTTGAATATATTAGCAAATATCGCCGTGGGCGCTTATTAGGGGGGGGGCGCTTATTACGTCGAATACGGTAATACATGTTTTATTGGGTAACCAATATTTTTTCACTCATCTATTCATCACTCTATTGAGTTTTCCCCCAAATTAGTGAACATTTTAAGATGTAAAAAAAATGAAATGATGTTTTAGATGAATATAACTGTTCTAAATATATAGGCTTGACTCGGAAAGTAAATTAGCTCGTAATTGTGTTTCAGAAATTAGTTCATTTGTACGCATGATGAAAAAGCTACGAGAGCTGTTTTTATACATTTGAGTTTTTCATTTAATGCATGCGTTTCTGCACGCAAGTTTGAAAGTAATTGGGTTTTGAATATTTTGGGGGGGTATGTTACACAAAAACGCTGCTTATCTGTAGCTCTGCGAGAGACTATTTTTTATAGTTAGCCCAGACATAATTTATGGAATGAGGAAAAAAACTCATCAAGGATTTTACCTGCCATAGTCATATATTTCAATGTCAATAATTAAACTTTTTCGGAACCTGTACTTTTACAGTTTGACATTTCCCAGAGTTTTTTTTGGGCCAATGTCACACCTCATATTTGATAATGATATTCACTGTTGATGAAAGTTTATTGAAGTTTCAAAATATCACTTGGTTGGAGTAAATAACTCAGGTCATGTGAACGGGAAGTGTATATGTGGAAGAATGTTTACATACAAGTGTGAATAAATTTTTCATCCTATAAAGTGTTTATGATAGTTTGGACATATCTATGAAATATGCTGTTGGAGCATTCTGTACTGCTGATCACTGTCAGTACATTCAACCTGTGATACGGGTGTGATGCTACACTAGTGCAGCCAGGCTACTGATTTGTTTTGGCATCACAGTGGGATAAGCATCATTTCTGTCCTGGTCGTGTCCTGGTCGTGTCCTGGTCAATGTTCACTCTTTCGACATTGTCCTAATTCTTCATGATGCGCTGGAGACCTGATGACCCGGTGACCTGATGACCCGGTGACCTGATGACCCGGTGACCTGATGACCCGATGACCTGATGACCCGATGACCCGATTATGTTGAAGCTACAGAAAACTGAATGACAACGGGAATCTACTCAGACATTTAGCAAGGGAGAAACCATTTGATTTTGGCTGGGACAATTTTGCAAATTATGCAGTTCTTTATTTTTAATTAAAAAAACATAATTGAGCACCTATTTGTCATGGTAAAATAATTGGGCTCCTAAAAATAGTGATCTCAAACCAAAATCCTGCCTCTCTCCCCTTGAAAATCAAATGGTTTCTGCCTAACTCACAGGATCAGACAAACATCAAAGCAAAGATTAAAACCAACAAGTTCAGAAGGATGTGAAAGCAGACACAAACCACAGTGGTACCGTATTCGACGCAATAAGCACCCACAGCGATATTTCCTAACATATTGGCTAGTGAACAATCCCACCCCTTCCGATTGATCAATGTACACAAGACTTATTTATTTGTGTATAAGACGTACTCCTGTGTTATATGCACCCTTCATTATGGGCAATTAAATTCTGGAAAAATATATCTGTCGTGTATAATACACACAGACTTTTCTTTTGTATCTTTTCAGACTGTCAGCATAAACTAAGAAATTTACGATCTTTCAACTCTTTCACCAAAATAATATTCCAATAAGAGCCCCCTATTTCTAATTTTGAGAGCTCCCTGGGTGCTTATTATGTCGAATACGGTATATGTAAATGTGTCCATGTGCATAAGGACTGAGAGAAAGATACTGTCACTGGACGTGCCACTAGTCTACAAGATATACTTGACTGACATTTTGTGAACCGATTCTCCTTTGCTGATCCCGCGGCTTTTCCAGAACTATGACAAGTGTGCATGGTAGGGGGCACTGCTCTCCTTGGCAACGCTGGGACCCGCGAAGATTCCGGGGTAGAATAGGTCTTCAGCAATCCATGCTTGCCATAAAAGGCGACTATGCTTGTCGTAAGAGGTGACTAACGGGATCCGGTGGTCAGGCTTGCTGACTTGGTTGATGCATGTCATCGATCCCAATTGCGTGGATCGATGCTCATGATGTCGATCACTCGATTGTCTGGTCCAGACTCGATTATTTTACAGACCGCCGTCATATAGCTGGAATATTGCTGTGTGCGGTGTTAAACAACAAACAAACAAAACTGTAGGTGGCACTCAGACTTTGTATCACAATGTTCTCCTAACTGTACAGAAATGGCTTCTATAATCTGACCTCACTATTCATGTGTTTTCTAATTCACAACACTATTCACCTCTATTCTCAAAGCTACTCAAGTGCAACATTTGTAAGTTGTGAATTAGTACAATCACATCATAAACTTATGGGGGGCACGCGTGGCCCAGTCTTCTAAGGCACCGCGATTCGCTGTGCAGAGTCGGTCCCTTGGGCACGCCAGAAACCTATGATTGTGGGTTCGAATCCCGGTTTGCCCCAATTATGTTTCTAGGTTTGTCAGCACCATACCCATGCTCTTGGGTTTCACCGAAGTGGTAAACGTCTGAGACCTGCATCACTTCAGGCCTTCCTCCCACATTAAGCTGACACACCATGATATAACTGTAATACTGTTAAAAGTGGCGTTAAACCAAACTTACTCACTCACTCACTCATAAAATTATGTAGCCAGTAAGTGAATTAATGGGATTGAACTAGGGCTGAGACGAGTAACTCGGGTACCCGGGTCGGATGGGTTCTGAGTAGGACCCGTGGTTATTCACGTGATACATTGTTTAACTGCAAAAATTATCTAGAACTCTATGGCTACACAATAAGTGACAAATGTTCACCTTTCTTTCCGACTATGCACCCATTCCTTCTGACTTTATATGTTTGCATAAAGATAAAACTTCAGTCAACTTCAGTGCATGTGTAAGAGTGAATATTATCCTACCCTATTTTTTATCCCGAGGATGAAATTCTCTAGTGTCAGGATGATTCTCCATAGTGAATTTGAACCCATACCAGTTTGTTTAATCCTATCCTATACTATACTCTAGAGTAAAACTTCCCCCAGGATGATATTTAGGTAGGAAATAATCCTTGCTTACATATGCATGACCAGAACATTTTATACGTGTATCTAAATACATTTTGACAGTACGGTCAAATGTTTCCCAATCGGATATTTTGTACCTATCTCTTGAGACCAACAGCAGGTACCCGGGTAGGGTCGGGTAATGGGGTGGGTGGGTACCCGGGCAGTAAATTTGGACTCGTCCCAGCCTCAGATTGAACTGTGCATGACATACATGGTATTCCAGATGGTAAAGTTGGCAACATGCACTTCAGAGTTGTGTCCCTTAGGCATGCCAGAATCCTATATATTGTGCATTTCCCCCAATTGTAAAATGAATGTGTGCAGCAATCTGATTGGTTGAAAATGAAAAATGGGATCCAAGGAATCTTCGGACTTTTCACTGTGTATGAATACCTTTATTGATACATACTATTCGTGTTTGTGAAGTGGATACCACTCTAATATCAATAGGTTTCATCAATAGTTATCAGAACAACATTGAGTCAGTCACTTTTGTCAAACAGGTACTTTTGTATTATACATTGTCAATAAACAAGTGTTAACAAAGTTGTGTTTTTCAATGCTCGGATGTTGATGCATGTCATTGTATCCCAATTACATGGATCGATGCTTGTGTCAATCACTGGACTGTCTGGTCCAGATTCATTTATTTCCAGACCGCCGCCATATAGCTGGAATATTGCTGAGGGAGGCGTTAAACAACAAACAAACAAACAAACAAACAAACTATAATGCTCGGACATTTTAACGCAATGAGTTCCAAATGAAACTACATGTATATCTCGTAATTTAACCTGATCGCGATTTTTAGTTTGTCAGCACCATACAGCATGTCCTCATGGGTTTCACCAAAGTGGTAAATGTCTAAATGTACTTCACTTCGGGCTTTCCTCGGACACCAAGCTGACAGGCTGAAACGTAACTAAAATTCTGTTTAAGGCCTTACTTTGTTAAGATGTTCATGACTGAATTTTCCTCAAGTGAGTCATGAAAAACTTACTTTTCTTGTCATTTTCATATTGTTGTGATAGGGTCAGTCTTGAAAACACATCTTCCCGAGGCAAGGGAGTTATCTGACTATAAAAGTCCAGTTTCCAGCCTTGCCGAACTAGGCTGGAATTTATGGGCTCGACCGTAGCGTCACCAGTGACTATTATGAGTTATGTCCCTTCTATGTCCCTACTAGTGACCAATCGGATTCCATCTCTCATATCACTTGCATTTGTTTCAAACAAATTAGCTAAGCTCAATCAAGGCGATCTGATCAATAATCAAAATCTATATTTCAATAAAACGGGTCTTACCTCGCGATGTGCATCAAATCATGTGAGCACCTTGATTAAAAACATGGAAAGATTTGCAAACTATCTGTCGACGTCCAGGGGGCAGTACACATGCTTTGCAAATTCTACAACCGACCGAAATCTGCACGTTGAAATCCATGTTGTTTATGATCCAGATATCTTCGTTACGCGATTTTGATTGGACTATGCATAAACTCGTTCGTCCAGCCAAAATGTAACTCTGGAATTCTAGCCTAGTTCCGCAAGGGTGGAAACTGGACTTTATAGTCAGTTTACTCCCTAAAATGTTTGCTCGTCACGCTGAAGACACGGGTTCAATTCCCAATGTCTGAAGCCCATTTCTGGTGTCTGCCGCTGTGACATTGCTGGAGTATAAAGCGGCGTAATACCATACTCACTCACGCACTCACTGTCCCCTCTCAGAAGTAATGACCATTCCCCAGTCTGTGATGTTGTGTGGTCTTCTTGCAGGTTTCCGCTGCCGAACTTCGAGGTGATCGGTCAGTGGAAGACGTCGAGTCAGGGGATGAGACAGAAGACGTCACTCATGAGTCTGCCAGTTGACACCTCACAGATCGGAGTCAAGGTAAACCGAGAGTGAGAAAATACTGCACACTTCACATATAGTTTGTCACTGAAATCAAAACTTTAAGAACATGATTGAGAAAACAATATCCTACTTAAAAACGAATGTATCATTTTTTTAAATTATTAATATTTTGTATCAATATACTATCCATATCTAAAGCAAGGAGAGTGGTTGAGTGGTTTCATTATTGCATAGACAGTCTCCCTGTTGGCCCCAGGGAACCTCGTTGTTGTTAGAGCCCCCAACAATGGCGATCGTAAGTCTATGTTAAGATCAGGGAGTTCCGATCGTCTTAGCGCTGTGATCATAGTAAATCTATGTTAAGATAAGGGTGTTACAATCGTCTTAGCACTACGATCAGCGTAAGTTTATGTTAAGATAAGGCAGTTATGATAATCTTAGTGCTATGATCATCCTAAGTCTGTGTTAAGATAAGGGAGTTCCGATCGTCTTAGCGCTACGATCATCGCAGGTCTATGTTAAGAAAAGGCAGTTACGATTGTTCCTAGATGAGGAACCTCTCTGAGAACCTATGTTTATCTGTCAGGGTCCTGTTGGAATGTATCTGGAGACCAAGCCTCTCGACAGAACGGAAGCCCGATCGTCCATGTTCACTGAACAGGAAGCGTACTGGCAGTTGCCTATGGAAGAGATGAACATTATTTGTGATGTTGCCGTCAGCAAAGGTACGTAAATACGACACAAATTTGACAGTATCTTTTCTATAGAGTTGCTGCAGTTATTTATAGTTTAATCTGAGTGCCAAAAAACTTCATCATCATCAAATGATATTTCAAGTTGGTGGGTCACTGGTGGCCAAGTCACCTGAGGCATTGTATCCCAAAAGAGTGAGTGAGTGAGTGAGTGAGTGAGTGAATTGGGTTTAGCGCCGCTGGAACAGTATTCCAGTTACAATGTATATGTCATCTTAATCTAGGAGGAAAGCCTGAAGTGATGCAGGTCTCAGACGTTAACCACTTCGGTGAAACCCACGAGCACGGGTATGGTGCTGACAAACCTAGAAACATAATCGGGGTGACCTGGGATTCGAACCCACGATCAGAGGTTTCTGGCATGCCCAAGGGACGCAACTCTGCACAGCAAATCGCGGCGCCTTAGACGACTGGGCCACTCGTGCCCCCATATCCCAAAAGATCTTATGTTGCAACAACCCAGACTTGCCCTGATTGGGATTCTTGATTTGTCGACACCATATCGATGTAAATAAGACCTGTATCCCTCTCCTCCCATAGCCAATCTCATTAAAATCAGATCTTAGTTTTCGCTACCGCTACACGAAGATCTGAGGACATCCCATTACGGGTCAAGTCAGAACGACCTTTGGCAAATTTTGACCGACCAATGAAATGACTGACAAGATGTCAACATTAGCCAGTCAGAAGGCAGCTTTCTCGAGCTTTACGACACTAGTTTCAAACTGGCGAATCCCCTTTGAAACATATTTTGACGTATTCTCGATTAAAAATTAAAACTGATAGGAACATTCTTGAATGGCTTATAGATGGCCTAGATTTTATGCATATAATCATAAAACCCGTAACTTTCGTTCGGAATACCCTGTGTTAAATATTTCGTGGTTGCATGATTAGAAAACACATTCCGACTGTCACTTTCATGATCTGGTAAGCGACCCTCTGATTGGTTGGATGAAAGGTCATTCTGGTGTGACCCTTATTGGGATGTCCTCAGATCTTTGTTTAGCAGTAGCGAGATCTGGTTTTAATGAGATTGCTCCCATAGCAGGCTGACATGCCTTGATTTACACAGTAAACTACGTTTATAAGGAACATGCTTATAATGAACTGATGGATAAAACAAACTCCTTTTTTTGTCTCTGACTTTGCTGTATATATGTTCTTTGCTTATAACGAACTACGGTTTTAACAAACTAAAATTAGTGATGCCTTTTAGTTTGTTATAGTTTGTTTACTGTAAGTGGTATTAACCAAACGTGTCACTCACATATACTACTCAACTTTTGAGAGGGACACGGTGCTATTTTATGTTGTTACGTAGCTTGAGGACAGCGACTGGTGGACTTGAACTGCGTGTTAATTTTACTGATCTTAAATGAGGGGGGGCACGGGTGGCCCAGTCGTCTAAGGCGCCGCGATTTGCTGTGCAGAGTTGCGACCCTTGGCCACGCCAGAAATCTATGATTGTGGGTTTGAATCCTGGTTCGGCCAGATTATGTTTCTAGGTTTGTCAGCATCATACCCGTGCTCGTGGGTTTCACCGAAGTGGTAAACGTCTGAGACCTGCATCACTTCGGGCTTTCCTCCCACATTAAGCTGACACGCCGTGATATAACTGGAATACTGTTAAAAGTGGCGTTAAACCCAACTCACTCACTCACTCTTAAATGAGGCTGAGCTTGCTTCATGGCAATATGGGATGCAGGCAAGCAACCAGTCACACATATGCAGGTCCCTCGTGGACACTCAGAATAACCCTTTCAAATTTTGGGTACTATATTATTGCTTTCGACCTGTGAAGATCCGGGGTAGAATAGGTCTTCAGCAACCCATGCTTCCCGTTAGAGGTAACTATGCTTGTTGAAAGAAGCGACTAACGGGATTGGATGGTCAGGCTCGCTGACTTGGTTGTTGCATGTCATTTATCCTAATTGCGTGGATCGATGCTCATGATATCAATCACTGGATTGTCTGGTCCAGACACGATTATTAACAGACCGCCGTCTTATAGCTGGAGTGTGGCACTAAACAAACAAACAAACAAATATCATTGCTTTCATTTCATTTCATTTTCATCTCAGCGTCACACCGGAGTCCTAGCCAGAACAAGACCGACATGATCTACGTGGCCACAGCCAACCCTATCGGTCTGTACGCCATGAACACCAAGACCAAGACCTGCAACTTTGTGGATCTGTACGATGTCTTCCCCTCCACGTCCGGCTCCTACAAGCCCCGCGTGAAGATACAGGCACTCTCAGCTCCCTTAGACGACTCCGTCATCCTGCATGAAGAAGTGGTGCGTGTTTCATGTTAACAACTCTTCGAATTCTTTATTCAGTACAGTACAGGCCACAGGCCCTTTGTACAAAATGTATGGCATATTTATGGCAACAGTCACAATGATAAAATACGTGTTCTCTCTTCTTTACTGTGATACAGATATTAAGCGATATTAATAATCATCTTTGTGTTGGTTGTAGATAAAATAATATTAAACTTATGGACATTTGGGTGTAGATAATATTTTGAAGGAATATAGAGATGGCATAGGTGAGTGTATGCTCATTGCTGCCAAAGTGGTGGAATGTCTGATATTCCTGTATGGGTTATAGGCTAGACAATGTCCCCAGCAACCTATGCTGGTCATAAGAATGACAGGTGGTCGGGCACTGTGGCTTGGATGATTGGTGTCGTCCTAGATGTGGATCGTTGCTCACAATATCAATCACTGGATTGTCTAGTCCAGATTCAATTAGGTGTTGTCTTACCCGGATGATGTGGATCGTTGCTCACAATATCAATCACTGGGATGTCTGGTCCAGACTCCATTAGGTGTCGTCTTACACGGATGATGTGGATCTTTGCTCACAATATCAATCACTGGATTGTCTGGTCCAGACTAGATTATTTACAGACAGCCATCATATAGCTGGAATATTGCTGAGTGCGGCGTTAAACAACAAACAAATGTCTGAAAACTATAGGTGGACAAGTCTTGAACCCATTCCAATCTAGATTTAGTTGAAGCATTGCTCATAATACCGATTCATGGACGATTCTCCACACATGTACAATTTATGAAGCCCTTTTCTGGTGTCCCGGCTGTAAAATACTGGACTGTTGTGTTTCAGACTAATGTGGTTCTGTTGGTGAACATTGAGAATGGCGAGGTGACGAGGTTGATGAGTGATGTGCTTCCTGAAACACCCCCGGAGAAAAGACGTTTCCCGACATCAACACCGAAAGTTGTGGTATGTATTCAACATGGAGCAATTATGCACTTACCGATTTGTCCATGTTAATCTTCTCCTGACTAACTGGAATAAATTAAACTTGATTCCTTCAAATATCCTACCTCTGTTATATCACACTCGTAAATTGCTGTTTAGGCTGAGAATTACACACATATGTAAGACAAATTTTAACAGACATCCTCTTTACTGCCGTCATATCTAATAGTTGTGAGGAAAACCCTATCCTTCGCAGGAAATGCAACTGCATGTGACTAACTGTAATAACGTGAACTATACTTCTCTGGTCGCTCTTGTGAACTTTGGTAGTTTTGCACATCATTAAAACTGAAATTTTATGATCACCTAGTGAAGGTGAGCTTCTGGTTCTCCAGATTTTCTTTTTTACAATTGTTTACAAGCAGAAGTATAAACTAAAATTTAAATTGCGATTTATTTCCTTAAAGAATATATTAAATAATAAGTTTTGACAACATTTATTTTCCTTTTATTTGCGTTTTCAAAATTCAGGTAAGACTTGTCGGTAAACATGATGGAAGTTCTGAATGTGAAGTATGCTCTTTTTAGAGACACATTGATCCTAGATAGATGTGTTGATTTACCAAGATAGACATTAGAACATGCATTAGAAGATGCCTTTCTAGTGTTTCCTTCATTATTGCCTATTTTACTAAGTTTTTAACTCGCTAACTCTTTCCTCCAGAATCCATTTCGCCTGTGTCCATCGTTTGCCCCCGATGGCTACAACACTGCTGTGTTCTACAAACAGAATGGGTAAGACTCTCTATGTTTGTTTGTTTGTTTGTTTGTTTGTTGTTAAACGCCCCACTCAGCAATATTCCAGCTATCTGATGGCGGTCTGTAAATAATCAAGTCTGGACCAGATGATCCAGTGATTGACATAATGAGCATCGACCAATGCAATTGGGATGCGATGACATGCATCAACCAAGTCAGTAAGCCTGACCACCCGATCCCGTTAGTCGCCTCTTACGACAAGCATTGTCGCCTTTTACGGGAAGCATGGGTTGCTGACGACCTATTCTACCCTGGATCTTCACGGGTCACTTGTTCTGTCATGAGGACAGTGGAGGATGATATAATTATTTACGTATTGTCGCCCAATGAAGGGTTCCAGGGAAGGATACAGTTAGTGTGGATTATTTGCCAACAACTGGCATATGGGTCGTCTGACACTAACTCAATTAGCAAAATTCTGCATCGATTATTGTTTATTTGTTTTTCTTGTCAGTGCTCATATAGGATTAGTATTTTAGGCAGAGTATAAATTTTAATTATTAGTTATTGATTTTTTTTTTCCTAAAAAATATGAAGTAAGAAATAGATATGAAATATATAGATATCTTTTTTAATTCACTGAATGCAAACAAACATGGAAGTCTTGCTGAAAGTGTATTTCACAAAGCAAGTAGCATTGACAAATTGATGCTTATCACTGGATTGTCTTTTATCTTATATTTCAGTGGCATTGTGGACTTCATTAGTGTATTAGAAGGGCTGTCCCACTCTGTTTCACTGCCAGTCAACATCCACTCCATACACCAGATAGACTCGAACCGATGGCTGGTCACTGAGTCCAGTGTATATGGGTAGGTATCACAGATGGCTTGTCACAGAGTCCAGTGTATATGTGTAGGTATTACAGATGGCTTGTCACAGAGTCTAGTGTATATGAGTAGGTATAACAGATGGCTATCACAGAGTCTAGTGTATATGAGTAGGTATTACAGATCGCTGTCACAGAGTCCAGTGTATATGTGTAGGTATAACAGATAGCTGTCACAGAGTCCAGTGTATATGTGTAGGTATTACAGATGGCTATCACAGAGTCCAGTGTATATGAGTAGGTATTACAGATGGCTGTCACAGAGTCCAGTGTATATGGGTAGGTATTACAGATAGCTGTCACAGAGTTCTGTGTATATGGGTAGGTATTACAGATGGCTTGTCACAGAGTCTAGTGTATATGAGTAGGTATAACAGGTAGCTGTCACAGAGTTCTGTGTATATGGGTAGGTATAACAGATAGCTGTCACAGAGTCCAGTGTATATGTGTAGGTATTACAGATGGCTATCACAGAGTCCAGTGTATATGAGTAGGTATTACAGATCGCTGTCACAGAGTCCAGTGTATATGTGTAGGTATTACAGATAGCTGTCACAGAGTTCTGTGTATATGTGTAGGTATAACATATAGCTGTCACAGAGTTCTGTGTATATGTGTAGGTATTACAGATAGCTGTCACAGAGTCCAGTGTATATGAGTAGGTATAACAGATAGCTGTCACAGAGTCCAGTGTATATGAGTAGGTATAACAGATAGCTGTCACAGAGTTCTGTGTATATGGGTAGGTATAACAGATAGCTGTCACAGAGTTCTGTGTATATGGGTAGGTATTACAGATGGCTTGTCACAGAGTCTAGTGTATATGTGTAGGTATTACAGATAGCTGTCACAGAGTTCTGTGTATATGTGTAGGTATAACATATAGCTGTCACAGAGTTCTGTGTATATGTGTAGGTATTACAGATAGCTGTCACAGAGTCCAGTGTATATGAGTAGGTATAACAGATAGCTGTCACAGAGTCCAGTGTATATGAGTAGGTATAACAGATAGCTGTCACAGAGTTCTGTGTATATGGGTAGGTATAACAGATAGCTGTCACAGAGTTCTGTGTATATGGGTAGGTATTACAGATGGCTTGTCACAGAGTCTAGTTTATATGTGTAGGTATTACAGATAGCTGTCACAGAGTCCAGTGTATATGAGTAGGTATAACAGATAGCTGTCACAGAGTCCAGTGTATATGGGTAGGTATAACAGATAGCTGTCACAGAGTTCTGTGTATATGGGTAGGTATTACAGATAGCTGTCACAGAGTTCTGTGTATATGTGTAGGTATAACAGATAGCTGTCACAGAGTTCTGTGTATATGTGTAGGTATTACAGATAGCTGTCACAGAGTCCAGTGTATATGAGTAGGTATAACAGATAGCTGTCACAGAGTCCAGTGTATATGGGTAGGTATAACAGATAGCTGTCACAGAGTTCTGTGTATATGGGTAGGTATAACAGATAGCTGTCACAGAGTTCTGTGTATATTGGTAGGTATTACAGATGGCTTGTCACAGAGTCTAGTGTATATGTGTAGGTATTACAGATAGCTGTCACAGAGTCCAGTGTATATGAGTAGGTATAACAGATAGCTGTCACAGAGTCCAGTGTATATGGGTAGGTATAACAGATAGCTGTCACAGAGTTCCGTGTATATGTGTAGGTATTACAGATAACTATCACAGAGTCCAGTGTATATGGGTAGGTATAACAGATAGCTGTCACAGAGTTCTGTGTATATGTGTAGGTATAACAGATAGCTGTCACAGAGTCCAGTGTATATGGGTAGGTATAACATATAGCTGTCACAGAGTTCTGTGTATATGGGTAGGCATAACAGATAGCTGTCACAGAGTTCTGTGTATATGGGTAGGTATAACAGATAGCTGTCACAGAGTTCTGTGTATATGGGTAGGCATAACAGATAGCTGTCACAGAGTTATGTGTATATGAGTAGGTATAACAGATGGCTTGTCACAGAGTTATGTGTATATGAGTAGGTATAACAGATGGCTATCACAGAGTCTAGTGTATATGAGTAGGTATAACAGATGGCTTGTCACAGAGTCCAGTGTATATGAGTAGGTATAACAGATAGCTGTCACAGAGTCTAGTGTATATGAGTAGGTATTACAGATAGCTGTCACAGAGTCCAGTGTATATGAGTAGGTATTACAGATGGCTGTCACAGAGTTCTGTGTATATGAGTAGGTATAACAGATAGCTGTCACAGAGTTCTGTGTATATGGGTAGGTATAACCGATAGCTGTCACAGAGTCTAGTGTATAAGGGTAGGTATTACAGATGGCTTGTCCTTTGTCAGGTATTGGACTTGTACATGCTCCTCAGTGTGTTCTGTTTCAAACATTATGTTTTCAAAAGCTTGGTAAGCATATATATTAAAATAACATTCTCAGGTATGTTAGTTCTTTTCAAATCGGACAGTTGTGATGTTGTGACATCAAAGGCTGCCGAGTTACAAGTATCTTCACTGCACTCCCAGGGGAACTGGTGGCCCAGTCGTCTAAGGCGCAGCGATTCGCTGTGCAGAGTTGCGTCCCTTGGGCACGCCAGAAACCTATGATTGTGGGTTCGAATCCCGGTTCGCCCCGATTATGTTTCTAGGTTTGTCAGCACCATACCCGTGCTCGTGGGTTTCACCGAAGTGGTAAACATCTGAGACCTGCATCACTTCGGGCTTACCTCCCACATTAAGCTGACACGCCCTGATATAACTGGAATACTGTTAAAAGCGGCGTTAAACCCAACTCACTCACTCACTCACTCACTGCACTGCCTCTACTGTTGGTGATGCTGGCAACGTTTCCCTTGCAGCAAGTACGTGATGGAGAGGACGGCGCCTGCTGAGTTCATGCTGCAGCCTGTGAAGGAGCAGGGAGGTGAGATGCTGATGAAGAAAACGGGGTGTGTCCGGGATGCAGGGGGGGAGAGAGGAGACTTAGAAAGGGGGCAATCTCATTCAGTTCTAGAATACCACAGAGTCTCGCAGAGAGGTATCACATTGTCACCATGGGTTGCTGAAGACCCTTTCTAGCCCAGATCTTCACTTGTCGTAAGAGGCAACTAACGGGATCGGGTGGTCAGGCTCGCTGACTTGGTGGATGCAGGTCATCGATCCCAATTGCGTGGATCGATGCTCATGATATCAATCACTTGCTTGTCTGGTCCAAACTTGATTATTTACAGACTGCCGTCATATAGCTGGAATATTGCTGAGTGTGGCGTTAAAAACAAACAAACAAACTCATTCAATTCAATGAGGTTGATGGTGTCTTTGTCTTCTGACAGCATAGATCGGTGCTCGCAATATTGATCACTGGATTGCATCATCCAGACTTGATTATTAACACGCCGCCGGCGTATAGCTGGCATATTAGTGAGTGCGGCATTAAACAAAACATAAACAAACAAATCTGTCTGCATGAAGGTCTGACAACAAGAGATCTCGTCAGGCGAACTTTTACACTTTTACATGAATGATTCAGAAGCTCTTGAGCTGATTGGCTGACCTGACATGACGTCCTATGGAGTGTTTGTCAGATCTGCACACAGACAGGCACTGTTCGGAGTAAAAGATCTGATTATGATGAGATTGAGAAAGCAGGGAGGAGGGAAAGGGATGAGACAAAGACAAAATCACTCTGATTATGTTTCTAGGTTTGTCAGCATAACCATAACCTTGATCTTGGTGGTAAACGTCTGAGACCTGCATCACTTTGGGCTTTCCATCAACATTAAGCTGACCCGTGAAGAACCGGGGTAGAATAGGTCTTCAGCAACCCATGCTTGCCGTAAAAGGCGACTATGCTTGTCATAAGAGACGACTATCGGGATCGGGTGGTCAGGCTCGCTGACTTGGTTGATGCATATCATTGATCCCAATTGCGTGGATTGATGCTCATGATGTCAGTCACTGGATTGTCTGGTCCAGACTCGATTATTTACAGACCGCCGTTATATAGCTGGAATATTGCTGAGTGCCGCGTTAAACAACAAACAAAGAAACAAACACTCACCCACCATGTCCTTGTCAGAACTTGACCAGAAGTTGCTGCTGACCAGCACCACCCCCCTCAGTGACAGCGTGCTGAGCAAGGCCCTTGACCAGAAGATAGCCAGTCCCAACAGAGCCGTGCTGACCCCCGGGACCTACGCCACCGTTCTGCTGGGCTTCCCCGACCTGGTGAGAGATGAGGGGGGTTCAGCCTCGATTATCCAGCGTATTGTGTTGTCATTGAATTGCTTGATAGGCATTACTTAGAAGTTGACGGATGACCAAGTAGACACAATTTATAGATAACAACTTCTTTATTTACTGTTTGCGTATGGATCCTTATTCCGTATTCGACGTAATAAGCGTCCCGCTCTAATAAGCGCCCACGGCAATATTTGCTAATATATTTGCTTGTGAACAATCCCAATTAGCACCCCTTCAGATTGATCAATGTACACAAGACTTATTTTTTCCTGTATAATACGCACTCGTGTGTTATATGCACCCTTAATTATGGGCAATTAAATTTTTGAAAAATATATCTGTCGTGTGTAATACACCCAGACTTTTCTTTTGTAACATTTCAGGCTGTCAGCATAAAGCACGAAATGTACGGTCTTTCAACTCTTTCACCAAAATTATATTCAGATAAGAGCCCCCTATTTCTAATTTTGAGAGCGCCCTGGGCGCTTATTACGTTGAATACGGTACATCAAGCAAGGCTGATGTTGATTGCCACGTCTCCACGTAGATGATGGATGAATTGCTTGATAGGCATTACTTAGAAGTTGACATATGACAAAGTAGACACAAATTATGGATTCCAACTTCTTGCTTGACAACGGATTTAGGATCTTTACTGAAATATCGCCTTTATAGTAAATAAAGAAGTTGTTATTCTTAAACTGTCTACTTTGTCATTCCATTGTTATGTCTACCCTGGGCCCATTCGCCACCATGACTTCATTTCAGAAGTGATGTCTTTTCCATCTCTTGTGTCTCTTGCTTAGCACATGCTTAGCTTTAAATTGACAACCACTCGATTACCTGACTCTTCTGAACACAAGTCCGACGTAGATCTATGTTCAAACTTGCATCTACGAGTGAGGCCTTGATATATTTATTTGCATTAAAAGTAAAAACCAAATTTCTCTGTGTGTCTTATGACGGGAGGTCGTTTTGTTGCAAGACACACCCAGTTGTATTTTAGACATTACACAACAAATCGAATACTGGTTACATCGCTGCTAGCTTCAACCATGGAAGAACCGAGTACTTTGATTGGATGGCTATGTTTAGTGCCATCAGAATCTGGCATAAGACGAGGGAGTGGTGGCAAATGGACCGGGTTTAAATAACAACAGAATGGAGATATGAAGATGTAGGCAGTATAATCAATTTTATTTATATTTTTTTCTGTAATTTCGTTATTTGCCGTAAGGTTTAGGAGGCAAAATAAGAAAAATATGTCATGGGTTGATTCAAGATTAACTACAAAAAGAGTTCACAGTATTTCTATTTAATTATCTGTTACTCTCCCTTTTTTGATTTCTTAAAAAAAACTCTAAAAAAAATAGCTAAAAAACAAGACAAATTCAAACATAAGGATAATTAAACAGGTAATTCTTCATATATATTATTTTTAACCTAGTTATCTTTTAAAATACCTAAAATACCTTTCCTGTTAAACACACTAGGAAACCACAGAAGTTCACGCCATCACACGAGAGCCTCTCCCTACATCCAGCTCCGAGTCCAAGACTGACCCGTTCCTGAGTCTGTTGTCCAAACCCACGGCCCCCAACCCAGCCTCCACCAACGTCTTCCTGCCAGAGTCCGGCCAGATCATCCGGGCCCTCCCCACGTGGAAGGTCGCGAAGGAGATCCTCCCTAAAGGTCAGTGGTGATTTCTTCACTCTGTAATGATAACGTTATGATAATGCTACAACTATAATACCTCTCTATCTTGGTACCCCTCTCAATCTGTTGACTGACATTGGGAGAGTACCTGGGTTTGCTACCAGGAATGCAGCCCTTCTGACAATCTGGGTAATGCAGAAGGCTGCAGTGTTGGGGAGTCTTCACATTCTCCGAAACGTTCTGGGTGGGTTTGACTGGGCAGCGCTTCCTAGGAAAAGTCCCATTCGCTGTCTGGGGTGCGTGTAGAGGGGGCAAGGGCCCTGAGCTGATGATAAGCCTGACTGTGCCAGGATCACCCAAACCATCTTTGCTGCATTTATTTATTTTAATCTGTATAAAAATAATAATGATACGGTCAGACAAGACTTTTTTACCATGTTAGGGAAGACAGCTAGTTTCTGAAACATAAACAGTAAATTTGGTCAGATATATTTCAAAAAGAAAGACACCATGAAGATCCGGGGTAGAATAGGTCTTCAGCAACCCATGCTTGCTGTAAAAGGCGACTATGGTTGTTGTAAGATGTTGTTCATGTCGATTACCTGTACCTTTTCTCCCAATACCGATTGTCATGTCTCTCCTGCTTTTGGATGTGATTATTCAGCCATTGCATTTATCTGTGCTGCCCAGTTACATCTATGGGAACAACTCACTAGGCACTTTCCTCTCAAGTTTAACTTCATCCAATATATGACGTCATCAAGTTGCGAGAGCATGATTGAATCTCCAGAAATGACGTCATGATAGAACAATGTTTTATCGTGAAATAAAACATGCTTCATTCTTCATTGTTCTTTTCGATTTATCGCATAGCTATCATGTTAATATTTAAATGTCTGCTGATGCTTTGTATTTTATTTGTTTTCAGATGGTTCTGCGAGAGACTTGAGTGGCTACCTAGAGGTGGCAGATATAGCCAATCACAAGCTTCGATACATACCGGTGCCTGGGTAAATAACAGACTATTCCATCCCTTGTAACAAGACCTACCATTGATCCTCTGTCACTCTTCACTCAGGGTATCTCTGGGTATCTCTGTATTTCCTCTTGAAATGAAAACAAATGAAATGTGTTCATGTGTCAATGGAAGGTTGCTGCACATTAGAAACTGAGGGAAACACGTCTATGTACAGGCAGTATCTAGACAGCCTATGTTTAGCCATTGACACACTAAGTAACCAGATAATGGTTCCATCTGAAGCACCGCGTCATACCTAAAGACGTTAAAAGATGGTACTTGTTGTTACCCTGTCTGGCGCTCAGCATTAAAGGGCTAAAACAAGGACTGGTCGGCTCGGAGTCAGTATACTGTGTCTGAGTGGGGTATTCATGTTAAACTGCGGCATGGTATCTCAGTGTGCTCGCACTATAAATCGGACTAGTACAAGCAGACACACACAAACACACACACACACACACATACACGTGCATGCACGTCGCTATATAAGTGCAATAATCTTGGACGCGACGTTAAACCCCATTTCCCCTCACCTCCATCTGAAGCAGGGAGCAAAGAATCATAGAATAGAAGTCAGATCTTTAAAGATGCAGTTATGTAAGGGACCAGTCATTTTTTATAAGGGTGGCTGGGTCAGAGGGAATCCGGTCACCTACAAATATGTCAGTCTCTCGGGGAGGGTTATAAAAAATAATACACTTTTTGGGGGAGGGTAATGAAACAGTGGGCATTTTAAAATAAAATATATAAATAAAAAATATAAAATGTTTTTGCAAAATGGCCGGTCCTTAGCAGCATGTATTTATTTGTTTATTTGTGAAACAATATACTCACTGACATGTAGATATCATGATGTTTTGTTAAAGATACACATTTTGTCCACATGAGGTAAAACTATTTTGAAAAAGTTGAATGTATTTAGTGATACTTTGATGCAAAATTGTAGATAAACATTTAATCCATATGAGGTAGAAATGGTTTGAAAAAGCTGAATGTTATCAGTGCTACTTTGATGCAAAACTGTTAACACAGTGAATGATTTCCCTATATGCCTCTTTAGTAAACTGAATTATATTTAAGGCTTGAAAAAATTATAGAATTGGCTCAACAGGCAATTTTTTAAAAAATTATTGCATGAGGGGCGTTGGTATTTTTTGGTCGTTCAACCTAGTATGTAACCAAATTCTGTTTACAATAGTTTCGGAGAAATCAGTATTGTAGCATTTAAATGCCAGGGTTGTGTGTTCGAGATGCATAATATTTAAAGATTGTATATTTTTTTGAAATTGAAATAAAAATGAATCGTGCGGCAGACTTTGTGATGATGCGGGCGGTGCCTGAGAACCGAGACTATTATTTGTTTTAGCCTTACTTTCTTCTTTTTATTTGGATAGTTAGATTTAATACTAAAGATGTTAGAAACACCTATTTTAGGAAAAGTTAAGTATTCTAAATAATGACCAGCATCCTTAACCCTCATCACCCACCCACTCGCTCACTCATCACCCATCTCCGCCATCCTTCCAGAGCTACAAAAGTTTCCCCCTATGCTTCCTGGCTGTTCAACGCGGCGGACGTGAACGTGTTTATGGCTCCATTGAGCAACGACGGTCTGGTGACGGTAGACATGGGTGGGTGTGTCCGGACATGGGAGACAACTCTCGTGCACCTGGAGCGATCTTTGCAAGAATGGAGGAACATGATTGGCTATCAGGAAGACAAGCCACTCCAAGTATGTTCCAGAGATTTATTATGTATATTCTTTCCAACTTTACAGAGTCTTGCACAGAGAGTTGTTTTAGACCTCTTCCTTCACAACCAGGAGCATCCTTTAAGATCGGAGAGAATTGGTCCTCAGCAACCCATGCTTGTCATAAGAGGCGACTGTGCTTGTAACCAATTTGCATAGATCGATGCTCATGATGTCAATCACTGGATTGTCTGGTCAAGACTCGATTATTTACAGACAGCCGTCATATAGCTGGAATATTGTCAGTCAGTCAGTCAGTCAAACAAACAAATACACCACACTTGTCACACCAAACACCCGATTCATTTCCCCACATGGCACAGTGTGTGAAGCCCATTTGTGATTGAGTGAGTGAGTTGGGTTTACGCCGCTTTTAACAGTATTCCAGTTATATCACAGCGTGTCAGCTTAATGTGGGAGGAAAGCCCGAAGTGATGCAGGTCTCAGACGTTTACCACTTCGGTGAAACCCACGAGCACGGTGCTGTCAAACCTAGAAACATAATCGGGGCGAACCAGGATTCAAACCCGGAATCATAGGTTTCTGGCATGCCCTAGGGACGCAACTCTGCACAGCGAATTGCGGCGCCTTAGACGACTGGGCCACCCGTGCCCCCTGATGATGATGATGAGTCACTCACTGACCTTATTAATGGATCTTTGTTGGTTGGTTGGTTGGTTTGTTGTTTAACGCCGCACTCAGCAATATTCAAGCTATATGACGGCTGTCTGTAAATAATCGAGTCTGGACCAGACAATCCAGTGATCAATATCATGAGCATCGATCCATACAATTGGGATCGATGTCATGCATCAACCAAGTCAGCAAGCCTGACCACCCGATCCCGTTAGTCGCCTTTTACGACAAGCATAGTCACCTTTTACGGCATGCCTGGGTTGCTGAAGACCTATTCTACCCCGAAATCTTCACGGGTTTATGGATCTTTGTAATGGATCTTTGTAATGGATCTTTGTAATATCATCACGATGTACTAACTGACCTTTCCTTTCACTGCAGTTGACAGTAGAGAAAGAGAGTGGGCGTGACCACGAGGACATCGACCCCAAGCACGGCAAGATTGACCCAGATAACCAGCCCCATGTCGGAGGCAACACATGGGCCGGCGGGGTCGGTAAGTCCATTTTATGAACAGAGGGTTGGTTAAGTTTGGTATTTCCTGTGTATTCTTACAATCCTAACGTTGATTATCTGTACCTTTATTCCTAGGTGGCAGTGGCACAGCGGGTCTGGGTGGTTTCGGTGGTCCATACCGTCTCGATGCGGGACACGATGTGCAGCAGGTGCCGCAGTGGGAGAAGGATGCTGTTCCGGAGGCAGTCAGTACATTTCGCCACACTCCTTGTTTCATATCAGATCTGTTATTAGGGAGTTGGGGTGGGGTCAGCTGGGTGGGGTCAGCTGGGTGGGGTCAGTTGGGTGGGTGTCAGTTGGGTGGGTGTCAGTTGGATGGGGTCAGTTGGGTGGGGTCAGTTGGGTGGGGGTCAGTTGGGTGGGGTCAGTTGGGTGGGGTCAGTTGGGTGGGGGTCAGTTGGGTGGGGTCAGTTGGGGTGGGGTCAGCTGGATGGGGTCAGTTGGGTGGGGTCAGTTGGGTGGGGGTCAGTTGGGTGGGGTCAGTTGGGTGGGGTCAGTTGGGTGGGGGTCAGTTGAGTGGGGTCAGCTGGGTGGGGTCAGTTGGGTGGGGGTCAGTTGGGTGGGGGTCAGTTGAATGGGGTCAGCTTGGTGGGGTCAGTTGGGTGGGGGTCAGTTGGGTGGGATCAATTGGATGGGGGTCAGTTGGGTGGGGTCAGTTGGTTAGGGTCAGGTGGGTGGGGTCAGTTGAGTGGGGGTCAGTTGGTTGTGGTCAGTTTGGCAGGGGTCGGCTGGGTGGGGGTCAGTTTGGTGGGGTCAGTTGGGTGTGGGTCAGTTGAGTGGATCACTATGCACTCGGTCTTCATTCTCAGCTCCCTGAGGATGATAAACCTATATGAAGGGACCTGTCATTACTCAGGGGAAGAAGGGTAGAGGGGGTAAGGGATCAACCAAATTGTGTAGGGAGTAGGGTGGGATTTGAAGTCATGTCAAAAACTGAAATTGCTATTTTGTGCCACTTTTCATGATAACAAATTTCTTTTGCCAATTACTTCAACACAGACATTGTAATAGGGAACATGGCCCCTAGATAATTTTGCATACCGAACTATGGCATTGTCTGTATCAAGTTGAATGATAAATTGTTCTTCTTGTGTTTTCTGAAGTATATTTACAATGGACCTCTGTGGGGAATCAGAACTAGAATAGGTACCGGCTTCAGATGCTTGTGACCCGTGAAGATTCCGGGGTAGAATAGGTCTTCAGCAAACCATGCTTGCCGTAAAAGGCGACTGTTTGGCGTAAGAGGCGACTAACGGGATCGGGTGGTCAGGCTCGCTGGCTTGGTTGATGCATGTCATCGATCCCAATTGCGTGGATTGATGCTCATGATATCAATCACTGGATTGTCTGGTCCAGACTAGATTATTCACAGACCGCCGTCATATACCTAGAATATTGCTGAGCACGGCGTTAAACAACAAACCAACCAACAACCAGCTTCAAGATGCTTGTCATACAAGCTGACTCAGTGGATTGGTTGATTACAATGGACAGAAATATGACATCACTTTGTGCTGTGTTTCACACCATGTGTTTCTACTGTAGGTGAGGGAAGCTGCCAAGCAGATGAAAGAGAAAGCGTTCAAAGAAAGGTAGGAATTTACACATACTGATTTTGTTCTCAATGTGTTTAGGAGTTCGAACTGGGCAGTGTTGTGCCCCTTGTCCGCCTGACCAGGATGCTATAATTGTGGGTTGGAAGCTTTGCCCTGATTACCGGATGGCCTGACCGCCGCTGTGGTCTTGTGCATAGAATCTGTGCCCAGCAAGTGGAAGGTCGTTGGTGTGATCCCCAGCCGTGTCGTACCAAAAGACGTTAAAAGATGGAACTTGTTGTTACCCTGCCAGGCCCACACACGCACATCTTGAACGTGCATCTTTAAATGCTATCTTGATATTGCATTTCGCCTCACCTCGTGTCAATGGATTGTGTATTTTTCATTCTTTCAAGTAAAAGGCTGTGTAAGATAGAATCGTAGAATACAATGATATCTTCCCCTTTATATATTGTTTGATCTCACAAACGATATTTATCTTGTGAGAGCGATGTAAGATAAAGAAATCAGAGTTTAGAAGTCTGATGTCAATTTGTGTTGCTAGGTTACGAGAGATTCAGATGAGTGATTATGACGGAGAAACGTACGACAAGTTCTCCAACAGTGTGAAACGACAAGTCCAGTCCCTCCGCGTCATCCTGGAGAGTTTGCAGGTGAGGAGACATGTTGACCTGATGTTTGCAGTTGTGGAGGAGGTTGTTTGTGATGTTTGTTTGTTTTGCTCTGCAATGGTCCAGCAATGGTCCAGCAATATTCCAGCAATATTCCAGCAATGGTCCAGCAATATTCCAGCAATATTCCAGCAATATTCCAGCAATATTCTAGCAATACTCCAACAATATTCCAGCAATGGTCCAGCAATATTCCAGCAATATTCCAGCAATGTTCCGGCAATACTCCAACAATATTCCAGCAATATTCCAGCAATATTCTAGCAATATTTTCCAGCAATATTAGGCAATATTCCAACAATATCCCAGCAATGCTCAACTATATTCCAGCAATATTCCTTTAATATTCCTGCAATGTTCCAGCAATATTACAGCAATATTACAGCAATGTACCAGCTGTATGCTGTAATTCAGTGTTGAGAGTTGTGTCCCTTATCACACTCAGACATCTATGGTTTGAATCCTGCCTCGCCTCTATCATGTTTCTGTGTTACTGGAAGTTTGCAGAGAGGACCTAACTGTGGTGACTCTGTAGGCCCAGGTCTGTTACAACCCGTTTTGTAATAAAGTACACAGGTCACCACAGTTAGGTTGTCTCTGCAGGTCTCATACACTAGGTCAATCAATGGCATGGGTAGTGCTAAATGTTGGAATCTGGTGCAGCAAATGAAATTGGAGTTGAAAAAAAAAATTCTTAATAGTGCTTAGAAATTCAAAGAAATGTGTTTTACAAGCCTAATACATCAGTATTTCTGCTGCACCTGAATACATTCCTCTTTATTTTTCTCTCACTGTCTGACTGTGGATGCTGAAAATACCCATGGCTTTGTTACTGCTGTGTGTATTCCAGGGCTGTGTTTGTTTGTTTGTTGCTAGGCGAAGGGCAAGGAACGACAGTGGCTGAAGAACCAGAGCTATGGAGATCTGGATGATTCCAAGTTGATAGAGGGGTTGACAGGGGAGAAGTCCATTTACAGGAGGAGGGGGGAGAAGGAGCCAGAGGTAAGACGATGTAACAGAACGTCACCAAATACAAATACATTGTTATTGTAACAGGGAAATGTGATCCCAAAGATCACATCCTTATGGGTGAACTCTCTGGTCATGTGGACAAGGCATCGAAAGTCAGATCAGAAGGTCTGAGGTTCAACTTACTCACTCACTCAACCACTCACTCACCCAACAACACGCCCACCCACTCACTCAACCACTCACTCACTCAACCACACACCTGCCAACTCACTCACTCAAATCACCCACCCACCCAATCACCCATTCACTCACTCACCCACCCACCCACCAACTCACTCACTCACTCAACCACTCACTCACCCAACAACACGCCCACCCTCTCACTCAACCACACACCCTCCCACTCACTCACTCAAATCACCCACCCACCCAATCACCCATTCACTCACCCACCCACCCACCCACCCACCAACTCACTCACTCACTCAACCACTCAACCACTCACCCACCCACCCACCAACTCACTCACTCACTCAACCACTCAACCACTCACCCACCCACCCACCAACTCACTCACTCACTCAACCACTCAACCACTCACCCACCCACCCACCAACTCACTCACTCACTGTTTTGACTGTAGCTGGGCACGCCACAAGAGAAGCCGAAGCGACTCCGTGTGGTGGTGGACGTGTCCGGGAGCATGTACCGCTTCAACGGCCATGACGGCCGCCTGGAGCGTGAGATGGAGGCTGCACTGATGGTGATGGAGGCCTTCGAGAAGTATGAAGACAAGTTTAAGGTGGGCAGATCTAGCTGTGCTGTAACAGTGCTGCAGAACACATCACATTCACTTGTGGACAAAATATCAGATTTCATCATTCTGTTACTTCAGTAATAGGGGATATTTTGAATCTTTCTGTTGATTCTTAATTCATGTCTGGTTTAGTGAGAAAAAAGAATGTACAGATTGGTTAGATTTTGGTTTAACCAATGGTTTGTGACAGATTGTAGAATCTGATTCAGAGGGAGCATGTGAGCATCATTATCTTTTGCAGCAGAAATTCTTCTATAGCAGTCCATATTGGCCATCTTCCCAAGGCAAGAGAGTTAACTTACTTTAACTGACTGACGAGTCTATGCATAGTCCAATCAAAATCGCGCAATGAAATCAAAATCCGGTTTGTAAACTGTCGGTCGATTGCAGATTTCAATCGATTGCAGGATTTGCAAAGCATGTGCACCACCAACTCGTTGTCAACAGATATTTTCCAAATCTTTTCATGTTTTTAATCAATGTGCCCGCGTGACTTGATGCACTTCGCGTTGTAAGACCCATTTTATTACAATATAGATCTTGATTATCAGTCAGATCGTCTTGACTGGGTCGTCGCCATTTTGTTTGAAACAAATGCAAGTGATGGAATCAGATTGTCAATAGGAGAGGCTTAGAAGGGACATAACTCATAATAGCCACTGGTGGCGCTACAATAGAGCCCAGTTATTACAGCCTAGTTCGGCAAGGGTGGATACTGGACTTTTATAGTCAGTTAACTCTCTTGCCTCAGGAAGATGATATTAGCCAGTATCGGCTCCCTATTCCAGTATGCTTTCCTCCCACATGAAGCAGACACGCTGTGATATAACTGGAATACTGTTAAAAGAGGTGCTAAACCTAACTCACTCACTCACTCATTCACTATTCCAGTATGACATCTACGGCCACTCAGGAGAAGATTACAGGGTCGAGTTTGTGAACGCTGATAAACCCCCCACCAACAACAGAGAGAGACTTACAGTGTTGAAGGTGGGTTCATACTACCAGACATACAACTATCTGGATACCTTTTTATGAAAATCCTGATTATTGTTTGTATACTGCCAGACGGACAACTATCTAGATGCCTTTTTCTAAAAATCTTCGTAAATAGCTTACTGCTGGATATACAACTAAATATAATTGATAGAGTATTACCGGACATACAAATATCAAGATGTCATTTTCTGAAAATCATTTTTAATATAGTATGATATAGTATACTGACGGCCATATAACTAGCTAGATATCTTTTTCTGAAAATCCAAATTATGGTAAGTATACTCTGGACATACAGCATCTGAATGCCATTTCTGAAAATCATTTATAGTATAGTGACGGCCATACAACTGTTTAGATAAAAAAAATTTCTGAAAATCCAAATTATGATAAGTATACTCTGGACATACAGCATCTGAATGCCATTTCTGAAAGTCATCAAAAATAGTATACTGCCGGCCATACCACTGTCCACATGTCATTTTTTGAATATAATTAAAGGTATACTACCAGCTATACAGCTATCTCGACATCTGTTTCTGTAAGTCATGTATAGTGTACTGCCGGCCATACAACTATCCAGATATCTTTTTCTGAAAATCATGGTTAGTATACGGCGCTATACAACTATTTTGATGTGATTTTCTGAAAATCATGGATGTATTACTAAAGTGTCCCCTGGACTAAAACAAAGATAGACCCTTGAAAATCCCAGGAAAGTGATGCCCATGTTGTGTATTGAAGCCCAATCTCATTAAAATCAGACCTCAGTTCTTGCTACCGCTTAACAAAGATCTGAGGACATCCCATTAGGGGTCACGTCAGAACGACCTTTCATCCGTGCGTCGCTTACCAGATCATGAAAGTGACAGTCGGATTGCGATTTCTAATCATGCAACCTCGAAAACTTTAACTTGCATAATTCCGAATGATAGTTACGGGTTTAACGACTGAATCCATACAATCTAGACTATCTATCAGCCATTCCAGAATGTTCTTTTGTTCAGGTTTCAAATTTGTAATCAAGAATTTGTCAAAATATGTTTCAAAGCATAGTCGCCAATTTGAATTAGTGCCGTAAAGCATGAGAAAGCTGCCTTCTGATTGGTCAGTAAAATTGGTCGGTCAAAGTTAGCGCAATTTTGGTCTGACGTGACCTGTAATGGGATGTCCTCAGATCTTTGTTTAGCGGTAGCGAGAACTAAGATGTGATTTTAATGTGATTGATTGAAGCCAGACCCTTGTTTACTGTTTGTGTACTCCACCAGCTGATGCACGCCCACTCCCAGTTCTGTCTGAGCGGAGACAACACGCTGGAGGCCACCAAGAACGCCATCGAGGTCATCGGCAAGGAAGAGGCTGACGAGCACTTCGTCCTCCTCCTCAGTGACGCCAACTTCGACAGATACGGCATCCGACCTTCGCGATTTGCAGAGATCCTCAACTCCAATGAAGACGTCAATGCCTACGCCATCTTCATCGGGTCACTCGGCGATCAGGCTGCCAGGTAGGAAGATCTTGTTTGGTGGATTCTGGGGAGGGATAGGGCTGATGACTGCAGCGAGGGTGGATTGCTGCAGTCTGTGACTTCACTGACAAAGTAGGGTTGCGTTCGAAAACAGCCAATCTCATACTATCTTTCACCCGTTTGCAATCGCTGCCAAACCAAAATGGTGGTTGTGTTACGACGTAAATTGTAATAAAAAGGTAAATTGTAATACTTGCAGCAAATTGTAATAATTTTGACGTAAATTGTAATAACAACGTAAATTGTAATAAAAGTTGGCGTAAATTGTAATACGCAAATTGTAATAAAATTTGACGTAAATTGTAATAATCTCAACTTGCGGTAAAATGTAATAACCTTTTACGTAAATTGTAATAACCTTATAAGTTTAGTGTCAAAGGCATTAAATGACTAGAACCTATCCTTGTCAGGGTTGGTACAGGGTTTATCGTACAATCGTCATTAAAGTATGTGTGTGGGAGAGGATTGAGGTCGTTATCGTACATTGTTGTATAATTATATGTATATATATAAACGCATTGGAATTTCATTTCTATGGTTCTCCAGAAGAGGATTAATTACTAGAATGAACTTAGTTTTCTTATTTATTTGAGAAATACTCTGTGTGTTTTGTATTATATTTTGACGAAGAATTCAAATACAACAAATGATTGACAGATCTCCTGTGCAATGTCAAATGAAAAAAACCGGTCGTCAGCAAATGCAGCATAGATTTCCCATGCATGGGAAAGGAGAATACTTAATACATAACATTATATACGATGTTTTTATTAATATCAAAAGAGGGGCGTAGATATTCTTTACCTACATTGCATATACTATTAGATATTGCGTATTCTCGATCTCTGTGAACTTCTCACAGAAAAAGAAATAATAATAAATAAATGCAAACCATGTTAACTTATGCAATATTTGTAGCAATGTATTATTAACATATGAATCATTAATATAACATAAAATATGTCCTTTCATAAGAAGAAGTATATTTAATGAAATAAATGAATAAATGTACCTGTCTGGATTCCTTTCATATGTCATGAAAAACTAACAACAACTTACTGACAACTTTTGCTGGGATAATAACTCCTTGCCCCAACAACAAACACAGAATCCATCATGATAACGGCACGAAATCATAATTCAAAGCATACACAAATAATATCCGGTATCTTCGGGCATGTCTTGTTGAGTTTCAAAGAGCATCAGAATGTATAATACATTTGTTGCAATCAATTATTGCTGAAATAAATCTGTTGTGATCAAAATTGAAAGGATGGAAAATCTATAATGAAAAGGGTTTTGTCACTAACATAAATATTCTCTTTGACCTTATACGAAGAGTATTCTAAGATCATTAAACACGGCAATCGTTGGTGGATTGCGCCAAGCAACCTTGCTACCAAATTTGGTACCTCACGTATAATGCGGCACATACTTTTCGGAACCGATAATAACGTTTTTCATAAGTTATCACTAATTTGTGACATATATACGGACAAAAATTACCTCAGAGGATAATCTTCTCTGGGGGTTTAAGAGGATTAAAATAATTCCAGCTAACATCAAGCACTGTAATAAAGTATTGAAATTATAGCATACCTTCTTAACATTCCAATGAAAAGAATAGTGACTAACTAAGAAACCAAATTATATTTATCTCCGATACTATGCCCTCATCAGTATACACACACACATAATACACACATACACACCAACACACATATACACACCAACACACACATACATACAAACATAGGTATGTATGTGTGTGTTTTTGTGTGTGTGTGTGTGTGTGTGTTTTTGTGTGTGTGTTTTTGTGTGTGTGTTTTTGTGTGTGTGTGTGTGTGTGTGTGTGTTTTGTGTGTGTGTGTGTGTGTTTTTGTGTGTGTGTGTGTGTTTTTGTGTGTGTGTGTGTTTTTGTGTGTGTGTTTTTGTGTGTGTGTGTGTGTGTGTGTGTGTGTGTGTGTGTGTGTGTGTGTGTGTGTGTGCGCGCCAGTAAATACGATCTCTATATGTCATTGGTATCAGATCTATGACTACACTTCTACATATAGTTCCAAGTGAAAAATAAGTGACACTACTTTGTGAGAGGTCCCACAAAAATGCTGATATGAGCAATTAAAGGTTCTACAAAATGTAACAAATGAACAAAGTAAGATATTTTAAAATATAAAATAGAAACACAAACCTGTAGATATACGATTTAGAATGTAGCAAATACATTAGATAAACGTGTCTTCTACGTAGATAAAAGTATGTCCAACGAGGACATAAGTATATTCTTCGTAGATAATACGTTTTTCATTTTTTATCACTAATTTGAGACGGACAATAATCCCCTGAAAGCATAACCTCCTCTGGGGGTCTAAGAGGATTAAAGTAATTCCAACAAACAACAAGCACTGTAATGAAATTACAACATACTTTGTTAAAATTCTGATGAAAAGACTAGTAACTATCTAAGAAACCAAATCATACTGTTGCTGAGATACTTGGGCCTCATCAGCATAGACACGCACGCACGCACGCACGCACGCACGCACGCACGCACGCACACAAACACACATACACACAAACACACACACAAACACACACACACACACACAGATACAGACACAAACACGTGTTGCACACACTACATACCCATACACCCCCACACAAACACTATATGTGTGTATGTATGTATGTATGTGTGTGTGTGTGTATGTGTGTGTGTGTGTGTGTGTGTGTGTGTGTGTGTGTGTGTGTGTGTGTGTGTGTGTGTGTGTGTATGTATGTATGTATGTATGTATGTATGTATGTATGTATGTATGCTTGTGTGTGCGCGCATGTAGGTGTGTATGTAATGACAGTTAATGTGAGCTCTATGTCATTGGTATCACATATATGACTGCACTTCTACATACTCTAGATGGCAGTATCATGTACGTAGATGAAAGTGTGTAAGTGGACGATAATATCTAGATGGCATACTATCATCTACGTAGAAGATACTATCATATACGTAGATGAAAGTATCTTCTACGTAGATGATAGTATTTTCTATGCAGATGGTAGTATCTTCTACGTAGATGATAGCATGCCACAAACATCACATCACTTCCAATAAATGTCTTTCACTATGTTGACACCACCCTTTAATGACGAGTGTACGATAAAGCCTATACCAACCATCCCTAACTTAACAGTTTTGTACGTTTGTCATCATACACAGTATTTCTCGAATTGTACATGTGAAACGCTAGCTCAACTGACAAAGATCATTTCTAGTCAATTGGCGTCTTGGACACTACGGTAGTAAGGTTATTACAATTTACGTAAGAATTTATTACATTTTACCGCAAGTAGAGATTATTACAATTTACGTCAATTTTTATTACAATTTGTGTATTACAATTTACGTCAAATATTATAACAATTTACGTTGTTATTACAATTTACGTCAAAATTATTACAATTTGCTGCAAGTATTACAATTTACCTTTTTATTACAATTTACGTCGTAACAGGCTGACTGAAATTTGAGTTTGACAGCAGGACAAGAAATTCTTGACTGTATTAACTGCGACATGGGCAAAGGCAGCTAACATCCCAGCATCCTCAGTCTGCTCCATATCTTTTAAGTAGTCATCAATAGTCATAAACTCATCTGCTCGTCACCGAGCCTCTTCTATTACGCTCTTCATACGGGCAAGGCACTGAAATTTTGGAAGAGTGCACAAGCTCTTCAAGCTGTTGCAGACCCTGGGGTGAGCGATTAAACTGCTTACTCTAAGCAATTTGTGGCTGACAATGGGCCCTAGTTCACCTTTGCAGTTACTCTGCTATAAGAATAAATCTAGGCCTGCATAGTGGCCGATATATGGCCCCAAGTCTGCAGCAATTGTTAGTAAATTCCAAAATTGGAATTCAACATTTCCTAAATGGTTATAACTAATGTTATGGATTTGTAGAGGTGACTTGTATTTCACTGACAACTAGAGCACTATAGAGTCTAGAATGATTAGTTTGACATTAATGCTTTGAATAAAGTTTATTTTCCTCTGAATTTAGAAAGTAACTAAAAAGCATCCCCAATTTTGAACAACATAACAATTCTTCCTAGTTTGGAATCCTAGATAACCTTTCTGTTCAAATCTGGGTGGGGCGGTTGGGCAGCCTAGTGGTTAAAGCGTTCGCTCGTCACGCCGAAGACCCGGGTTCGATTCTCGACATGGGTACAATGTGTGGAGCCCATTTCTGGTGTCCCCCGCCGTGATATTGCTGGAATATTGCTAAAAGCGGCGTAAAACCATACTCACTCACTCACTCAAATCTGGGTAAGGGTCATCATTTGGGAGATTGCTTGGGGTTATATGTGAGGTGCATGTATAAACCCTGTAGAGCCCCTAGGCAGCTTGGGCTGTATACTCCCCAGGGAGTCGAGAATGATAACTGGAATGCAAACGGATCCACTGGTCGGGGAACAAATAAAACCGCATTTGATCAGATACTATTACCTGGATACCTGTGGTATATGAATGTATAATATTATAATATTTAGCAGAGTGTGCGTCTCTAACTAGGCCAATAGCACTGTACATACCCAGTACGTTACCAGCACAAACTGAAAGAAACAAACTTGCAGATGTTGTATTTAAATGAGAACTATATACTGTAAATCTTGAAATTAACGTGAGCGTGAATTAAATGCGAAAAAATGCGAGTTGTCTTTCCATGCAATAATTAGCCTTAATTAGCGCCCCGCTCTAATATGCGCCATCGGCGATATTTGCTAATATATTGGCTAGTGAACAATCCCAATTAGCACCCCTTCCGATTGATCAATGTACACAAGACTTATTTATTCGTCAATAATACTCACTCGTGTGTTACATGCACCCTTAATTATGGGCAATTAAATTCTGGCAAAATATATCTGTCGTATATAAACAGTCAGGTCATCAGCATAAACCATGAAAAAAATCTTTCAACTCTGTTTTTTCCACCAAAATAATATTCTAATAAGAGCCCCCAATTTTTTATTTTTAGAGCGCCCTAGGCGCTTCTTACGTCAAATACGGTATGTCTCTAAAATGACTATCAGCAATAAGACGGCTTCACTGCACACTTTGGATAGCGGAAATACAAACTTGAATATAAACACAAATGGTTTTTTTTAACAGCAGTTGTAACAAGTATATAACAATATCATTTAAAGAATAGGAATTACACAATGGGCATCCAGTGAGTTATCACTGCTGGGGTCAAGAGTTCTACCCAATCGTGACAAACTTGTTGACACCTTCTCCGCATACCAATCAGTGAACTGTTGTTGGTTCAATTATTTTATTGCCTTTGAACTTTCTTAATGCCAGTCAACAGAGTAAACATATAAACTGTGTGTTGTTTTTAGGAAAACACTGTTTAAAGTTTTTACAAAGTGCTCTACTCAGCGCTAGTAAGCGGTGCTATTTGTGTTTGATTGGATTAAGGTAAGGATGTGTATCATTCCACTGGGGATAGGGTGGGGGAGTCGCACAATCTCATTAAAATCAGACCTCAGTTCTCCCTACCGCTAAACAAAGATCTGAGGACATCCCATTACGGGTCATGTCAGAACGACCTTTCATCCGACCAATCAGAGCATCGCTTACGAGATTATGAAAGTGACAGTCGTTATGTCATTTCTGATCATGCAGCCTCGAAAACTTTAACTCCGAACGATAGTTACGGGTTTAACGACTGTATCCATACAATCTAGACCATCGATTAGCCATTCCAGAATGTTCTTTTGTTCAGGTTTCAAATTTGTAATCGAGAATTATCAAAATATGTTTGGAAGCATAGTCGCCAATTTGAAATCAGTGCGGTAAAGCACGAGAATGCTGCCTTCTGATTTGTCATCCCATTGGTCGGTCAAAGTTTGCGCTAGGTTGGTCTGACGTGACCCGTATTGGGATGTCCTCAGATCTTTGTTTAGCGGTAGTGAGAACTAAGATCTGATTTTAATGAGATTGGGGAGTCGCATTGATAATGAGTCGCATGTTTGGAGATGCATTAATTTCAAGATTTACAGTGTACATTGTTGGTATATTGCAGACTGACGAAGCAGCTCCCGATGGGTCACGCCTACGTCTGTATGGACAACAAGAACCTGCCTCAGATTCTCCAACAGATCTTCACATCCACCATGCTGTCTTCATGAGGAGAAAGTCCGTAGTCAGCAATGTACCTTTCACATCAGGATAATGTGCTCTCTTGCCATAATGTGTACAGGAGTGATACAAACAAGAACCCATTCATTCAGTCAGTAAAAGGCAACTAACGGGATCGGGTGGTCAGGCTCGCTGACTTGGTTGATGCATGTCATCGATCCCAATTGCGTGGATCGATGCTCATGACATTAATCACTGGATTGTCTGGTCCAGACTCGATATTTTACAGACCGCCGTCATATAGCTGGAATATTGCTGAGTGCGGCGTTAAACAACAACCCAACCAACCAACAAATCAGTGAGGTGATGGCTGCTCCACAACATGATGACACCTAGGAAATCTGAAAGAGACATTTAAATATTGTCCTCAGTCCTTGACCAAACTTGTTACTTTTGACAATTTGGTTGATTTTCAGAAACAGGATTAATACTATCCTCAAACTCGAATCATTCAGTCAGTAATCAGTGAAAAGATGGTTTACTATCCTAATTAAATAATAGGTTTGTATACTCTATGTTCCTCAATCCCCTGTGAATACACATGGCGGTTTCGGAGTGAAGTCTTTGTTTTTAACCAACAAATCAAAGAGGAGTCCTCTGACTAATGACTTGGGTGACATCACACAAACATTGTATCATGTGTTACAGCCTTGTGGCCAGCTGTTCTACACACTGCACATCAGACAGGTAGAGTTTACATAAAGTCTATGCCGGGAGCTGAGCATGAGTTAAAAAAGGCCTTGTTTTGCTAACTAACTGTTTGTTTGTTTAGTTGTTGTTTGACCTCGCACTCAGCAATATTCCAGCTGGATGGCAGTGGTCTGTAAATAATCGAGTCTGGACCAGACAACCCAGTGATTGACATCATGAGTATCGATCCACGCAATTGGAATACGATAACATGCATCAACCAGGTCAGCAAGTCTGACCACCCGATCCCGTTAGTCGCCTCTTACGACAAGCATAGCCATCTCTAAGGCAAGCATGGGTTGCTGAAGACCTATTCTACCCAAGATCTTCATGGGTCCCAATACCTTACTGAAAATAGACACGGGGCACTACTACGCTGCAAAGCATCCATATGTAGGAAATCATGAATATTTGGGCATATTTGCTAAGTCCTCATGATAAACAAAATAGAAAAATATCCCCCCAAATGTTCATGCTCCCTAACTTTTTTTAATTCAGTATATAAACGAACCCATGCAGAATTTACAATGGACTAACACAACTTCACATAAAAAAATAATATTATTGTATTTATTTATTTTAAGTTCTTGTCATTGGTACCATGATCGCCATTGTCAATCAACTTTTCAGCTTTTAATATTTTAGTGAGGGGCCACCCAACACAAGGGCAGAGTGCTGGCTGATGTTGGAGGTGTTTTGTCATTCATAGGTCTGAACAAATGTATATTGGTGTAATTGTGTGTATAATGGATGTACGGGTCAGGTCCGTGAATGGAAGAATATTAATGGAATATTTCTTTTAACATTAATATTGGTGTTTGTGTGATGATTTTATGTTGACCTGAATGTTGGTTTGAGATGTGACTGTTATAGCAAGCCTGTTGCTAATGATCTAACACATACCACTGAGGAGGAAACAAAGTTAGGGACAATCAACTCATCTCTGCTAAGTGTTCATATATAATATTCTTAATCACTTGATTCAAATGACTCCCGAATCCGCTGGTCTAGAACTCCATTTTGATTATCTGAATTGCGTCACTACATATTGGGAGCACGGTTGGTCCAGTTGTCTGGGGTCCACAATTTGCTATGCAGAGTAACCTCCCTTAGCTTCCAGGATCCGCTGATCAATGATTCAAATCCCAGTGATGCTGTTATATTTAATCTCACTCACTCTCTCAATTCCCAGACTTCCCAGGCAGAGTGAGTGAGTGAGTTGGGTTTAACGCCGCTTTTAACAGTATTCCAGTTATACCACGGCGTGTCAGCTTAATGTGGGAGGAAAGCCCGAAGTGATGCAGGTCTCAGACGTTTACCACTTCGGTGAAACCCATGAGCACGGGTATGGTGCTGACAAACATAGAAACATAAACGGGATTCGAACCCACAATCATAGGTTTCTGGTGTGCCCAAGGGACGCAACTCTGCACAGCAAATCGCGGCGCCTTAGACGACTGGGCCCCCCGTGCCTCCCAGACTTGGCAGATTATGATCCTTGCCTAGTCTGACTGCAATTTGCCCTGTAGACTCTGCTGTTACGGTTCATCTATACAGATGATACACATCTTGTTTGTGTACATGTAGAGTATATGATACTGAGGTAAGATGTTGGACATCTTTTTGTGATTAGGCGGATCCAGAGGTGGGGTCCAGCGGGTCGCGACCCTCCTTTTGAAAACCAAATGCATTATGTTGTACTGCTGAGAGAGGAAGAGAGGATTTTGATATTTAGACCCCTTCCTTTTAAAAAAGCTGGATCCGCCCTTGCTGTGTGTGTATTAGTTTGGATATCAACCTTTCACAAATATGGAACTAAACAGAGTGTGGACACTATTTTGTTAAGCTTCCATCAGTATTTCATACAGGTCGATTGCTGAAGGCAGTTCTAATCTCTCTGCTGTGGTGGCAGTATTGTAATTTGATAGCAGATGTGAATTAAAACAGATGATAGCAAGCCGATGTAGAGTTTGTTGTTTTGAGTGTATATAGTGGCTAACATTCGTGACCAACTCTTGTTATTCCGGGACAAGCCGAATAGCGACTCGTGCCCCGCTCAAGGCCATTTTTGCGACCGGGTTCCATCTTGGCGCAAACGGGCATACCTAAAACAATTGTCAACTCTTAGTGTTATGGTTCACACATATTTCCCCATATATTATATATATTTCAGATGCAATTTAAAGCAGATCTGGACATGCGCAATTATACAGTATGTTTGAACACATTTAACTGTGTCTTGGGTATATTTTTAGATGCAAGACATATGTAAAATCAAATATTATTTCTGAGGGATTCTTTGACGAAGAATTTGAAATCATACACACATTCTGATTGGTTTGTCATATTTTCGCACATAACATTCATCGATAGGGGAACGAGTCTTCTTGCAGGTTACGGAAAGGGGCGAGTAGTGACAAATGAGTGGCTAAATGCCCTCGTCCTTTAAGAGATGTCATGTCAATGACAGATAATCATCCAGAGGCAAGACAGTCCACTAGCCTTTTTATCAAAGTCTTGTTGCCACCCTTGCCACATCCAGCCCACTTTCCTGTGCTAAATATCATTCGACTATCGCACATATCCACAGTCCAATTAGAGAATGTTTCACAAAATCAACATCCTACTGGTACACCTTTGTATGAAAGTGATTTACCACTACCTGTATTTGTTGACATGTCTTTTAAACCCCCCAACGATTGCCTATGTTTGTGTCAGGAATAAAATCGCGAATGTTTTCGTTATCTGAAAACTCTCAGCAGTCCGTCTGCTGCTCGTTTGTCTGTTGTCCGTCGGCTGTCTGTCTGTCTGCTGTCCCTGCAAGCCACCTCCACACACACACACACACACACACACACGTACATGCACGTCGCAATATTAGGGCTGCAACGATACACATAGGTCACGATACAATACGTTTCTCGATACTTACATCACGATTCGATACGCTACGATACAGTGACAATAGAAGACAAGAGATAAATGAATTAAACTTTGTTTATTTAAATGAAAAATTAAATGAAAGTGAATGAATGTTCATGAGTCATAAAATATATGGAACTTTATGAATCATCTGATATTTCCATGTAATGGCTAGCAAACACAAAAGTAACAGTCCAACATATTTGTGAGTTGTGAGTAGATAGGAGTAAATACTAAATGTTCCAGTGTCCAGTAACTAATGATTTGCCATTTTCATGTATAAAGGCAAAAAAACAAAACAATTAAAAACAATTGTTGCAACCAACAGAACAGTCTATGAGGAGATGACTGCCACTAATAAAATAACGTCACAAAACTTCTAATCATGTATGATACATGATACAAATAAAAGGAATCCAAATAAAAGATTTTTTCAAACACTTAACAGTTTTCATTGACATTTCAAACACACAAAGGTCTGCAGTATTTTGAAATGCCATTAGACAGACATAAAAGTAACAGTCCTACATGGACTTTCGTATCTGGGCTCTGATGATTTCAGCAGATTTCGGAATCCAACATTCTCCACTACATTTGTTGTTTGTTTGTTGTTTAACGCCGCACTCAGCAATATTCCAGCTATATGAATGATGTCTGTAAATAATCGAGTCTGGACCAGACAATCCAGAGATTAATATCATGAGCACCGATTCACGCAGTTGGGATCGATGACATGCATCAACCAAGTCAGTGAGCCTGACCACCCGATCCCATTATTCGCCTTTTACGACAAGCATAGTCACCTTTTACGGCAAGCATCGGTTGCTGAAGACCTTATCTACCCCGGAATCTTCTCCACGACAGAATATAGTATCATAACAAGAGCCATATACGTGTGGACTCCTAGTAATGGCTCGTTCACGTGTTGGCATTGCCGGCAATTTGTGTTACAAAGCCTCTTGTAAACGAAGTTGGCTGATCATTCATGTTAAAATCCTTCTGGGATTTAGTAAAGTTGGTTACAGGCTTTGTCTTTTTCCCTGAACGCGCGGCACCACTGATGTCTATATTTGGGTGATGGCGGCGTATGTGTGTTGTCATGTTTGTCGTGTTGCCCGTGTATTTCAACCTTGCGTGACACATGCGACAGCACGTTTGATCTTTGCACACGTGTTTCATTCCATCTTCAAATGTTACTGGGAACACGACCCGAAATGTTTTGTGAGTCCCTGGTCGTTTCTCTAGCAAAGGACAAGCGTCTGCTTTTTCCAACATGTTTGAGTTAGAGACCGCTCAGCCAATCAGAAGGCTTGAACTGCTACTGATACACAAAGCTAGCATAGCCGCTGTATTTTCGAAGACGAATGTGTGTGTAGTGAAAATTATATTGTCCCTTCGTTTTTTTACTCAGTTTGAATTTGAAATTCATTTAAAACTCATTTAAAACGTATCTGTGATAAAAGTTTATTAAAAATAACATCCTGAAAAATCGAGCACCTCACAAATCGCGCACCGTATCGTATGTTATGAATCGCGATGCATCGGTGTCCCGGGATATCGTTCCAGCCCTACGCAATATAAGTGCAATAATCTTGGACGCGACGTTAAACCCAATTTCATCTCACCTCAACAAAAAATACTTCAATGCCTTCAAGGACTTCAATAATTGTTTGTGCACCTGTATTTGTCAGACACTCTCCTACCCAGAGTTCCATGCGCCGGAGTGTGTAGACATGTATAGCAGTACATGGTAAACCTGTCTTTGGTGGAGCTCCTTGCTTTGAACCTTGTACTGGTTTGACATTCCAAAGTTGCCAAGTGAAAAAAGTCTACGAAGGCGACACAACCACTGTTGTACATATGAGGGGCCAGGATGGCTCAGTTAAGCACTGCAATTGACTGTGCCTAGTTACGTCCCTTAGGGTTGCCTGGATCTGCCGACTGTGGGTTCGAATCCAAGATTTGCCCTGATAATGATCCCTGGTTTGTCAGTGCTGTACTGTGTTTGCAAACATGAGATAATGATCATGGCAAATCTTGGATTCGCAGGCATACCCATAAAGGGTAGCACTTTAGCACAGCAATTTCCAGCGTCTGCTTAATCATATGTAGCAAGCTTTGGATGTCTTAAGACCGCCTCCGTGGTCTAGTGGTACAGCATCCGCCCGGAGAGCAGAACGTCCATGGTCCGATCCCTGGCCGCGTCATACCAAAAGACATTAAAAAATGGTACTTGTTGTTACCCTGTCTGGCGCTCGGCATTAAGTGGCTAAAACAAGGACTCGTCGGCTCGGAGTCAGTATGCTGTGTCTGAGTGGGGTATTCATATTTTAAACTGTGGCATGGTATCTCAGTGAGCTAGCACTATAAATCGGCATCAGTCCGGACTAGTACACGCAGCCACACACACACACGTGCATGCACGTCGCTATATAAGTGCAATAATCTTCGACGCAACGTTAAGCCTCATTTCACCTCACCTCACCTCACCTCACCTCACCTCACCCCACCCCACCCCACCCCACCTCACCTCACCTCACCTCACCTCACCTCACCTCACCTCACCTCACCTCACCTCACCTCACCCCACCCCACCTCACCTCACCTCACCTCACCTCACCTCATCTCACCTCACCTCACCATCTCTTTACTGAACAGTGAGTATGGGTTGTCCAATCGTCTGGGTCGCCTCCCTAGACGTGCCAGAAACAATGGTGGATTCACTCTGTATATTAAATGTCCCACGCAACCCCACCCTACCCAAAATCTCCCATATAAAAAATTACCAGTCACGATACATTTTTCTTATGTTTAAATATGTTGACCTCAGGGGAATTGCCTAAAAGTCGGACCAAGAGAAATCGGGCCGGGCCGGGCCAGCGGGTAATACTAAAAGTGGATTGCAGAAATAATAAAACGAAACGTGCCTATCTAGGCAGATTTCGTATGTCCACAAACGTACAATTTTTATCTCATTTAATTGAATTTGAATCAAAATGCATCTTGAACAATGTAATAAACTGATAATTATAACTACATACCGAGAGTCGCCGTAGAAAAGTCAGAGTCTTGACTGTGTGTTTTCTTTCATGTGGTTTCTCACCGACCTAAGCATATGGGGGTGTGATGCCCTGAGCAGGAAATGACAGTGTTTTTACTACTCTTCTTTCATTAATGAACGTGTTGGGCATCCCTAATTAACCTTTATTAATTCACGTTAAACAAACACAGGATATTTTCTGGAAGTGGATATTCGCGAATGTCATAGGGCTGACACAACACGTGTTGTACTTCTATTAAATATAGTTTACATCTATAGATTAGTATTATATCAACCTAAATACCACTTTATAGTGTCTCAGACCGCGGTATTTAAAGAAAACAAGGTGCCCAAAGTGAAGCCCTTTTCCCTCTACATTCTCAACATCGTCTCTATGAAATGTGTTTGGCTTGTGTTGGGTCCGACTAGGCCCGGGATGTCAAAATCCACTTTAAACACACAGATGTATCATCAAATGTCTTTACATCTATAGATGAGTATTATATCTACCTATATACCACTTTATAGTGTCTCAGATCGCGGTATTTAAAGAAAACAAGGTGCTCAAAGTGAAGCCCTTTTCCCTTCCGCTTCCGTGGTATAGTGGTAGAGCGTCCGCCCGGAGAGCGTAAGGTCCGGGGTTCGATCCCCGACCGCGTCATACCAAAAGACGTTAAAAGATGGTACTTTTTGTTACCCTGTCTGGCGCTCGGCATTAAGGGGTTAAATCAAGAACTGGTCGGCTCGGAGTCAGTATACTGTGTCTGAGTGGGGTATTCATGTTAAACTGCGGCATGGTATCTCAGTGAGCTAGCACTATAAATCGGCATCAGTCCGGACTAGTACAAGCAGCCACACAAACACACACACGTGCATGCACGTCGCTATATAAGTGCAGTAATCTTGGACGCGACGTTAAACCCCATTTCACCTCACCTCTATCAAAAGTGTTTGCTTTGTGTTGGGTCCGACTTGGCCCGGGCTGTCAAAATCCATTTTAATCACACAGATGTATCATCAAATGTGTTTACATATATAGAGTTGTAGGTAACTTACATGTTTAGAGGCCTCCCAATTTTAAATCCTCAGTAGAAAACGAATGCTTAAATGTATAAATTTTACAACTGTCAGATGAATATTAGACGTCACACATCGTTCGATCATTGTAATGGTCAGTTTACAGACTATAAAGTGGTATATAGGTAGACATAATACTAATCTATAGATTTAAAAACATTTGATGATACATCTGTGTGTTCAAAGTTGATTTTGACAGCCCGGGCCAAGTTGGACCGAACACTTATGAGACTGTTGAGAGTATGAGGAGAAGAGGTCTACTTTAACCAACGTGTCTGCTTAAAACACGATGAACAGTGACATTAAAAAGCCGTATTTACTTAGATATAGTACTATCCTATACATGTAAAGTCTATGCCGACAGATTGAAATTTGTATCACGACGTTTCTGATACGTTTCAAATCCTATTTCGTTGAACGATTGCTCTTTTACATGTTACCTAGATCAGCGACGCTTCACACAGCTCCACTTTCTGGAGTGATTTACTCCGAATCACTTAATAATGGTGCACGTTTTTGGTTTGTGATTGTTCCTTAATGTCATGTGTGTATGTTGCTTAAGTAATATGTTGGTATGGTCACCGATAATGGAGTAAATAGTCAATAAAACTTTGGCCCGTCTTGGCCCGGCCCGGCCCGACTTTTAGGCAGTCCCTCAGAAAACACATCCCGACTGTCACTTTCCCGATCTGGTAAGCGACGCTCTGATTGGTCGGATGAAAGGTCGTTCTGACGTGACCAGAATTGGGATTTCCGATCTTTGTTGAGTGGTATCGAGAACTAAGGTCTGATTTAAATGAGATTGGGATTATGATTTCTAACTTTCACCACTGGTGATATGAACTAATAACAACGCTTTGAACAGACACATAATCATTTCTTTGCCTTTTCTTCCATTTCTATGATCGAGTTTCACCCGAGTTTCACCCACTCATAAGTATCGTAGGCAGTTTGGCAGGGTATAGGTTTTAACAGGGAGTTTATATATGTCTTATATATTCCCTGCGTTAAGTAAGTTAAAAGTATCTATCCAAATATTCACAGTGCTGCCCAATACAAATGTCTACATGTCTGTCTAGCAACCATAATCATGATCATATAGGGGGGTACGGGTGGCCCTGTCGTCTAAGGCGCCGCGATTCCCTGTGCAGAGTTGCGTCCCTTGGACACGCCAGAAACTTTTGATTGTGGGTTCGAATCCCGGTTCGCCCCGATTATGTTTCTAGGTTTGTCAGCACCATACCCGTGCTCGTGGGTTTCACCGAAGTGGTAAACGTCTGAGACCTGCATCACTTCGGGCTTTCCTCCCACACTAAGCTGACACGCCGTGATATAACTGGAATACTGTTAAAAGCGGCGTTAATACCAACTCACTCACATGATCATATAGGCGCAATAGTTGTCATATCACAAATATAGTGCTGTCGACCCAATGACGGACTCCTGGTTGAAGGACAGATATCCCGACAATTCAGCCCAGGATAGCAGCCTTGATCAGCTGTAATCTGTGTCTTGACACGCTTGCGTTTTGTCAACATACTGGAGTCTCCGCTCAGTTTATCTCTCCCTCAAACAAGACGTGTCAGCTGCAAAAAAGTCAAATACACCCACTGGAAGACATACATCGCTCGCTACCCGCTTCATAACGCTGGAGGGTGGGATTGTCCCTCATATCCATACCCCACAGTGACAGCACGTTGAGTGTGTATTGTCTACGACTGATTGACGTGAGTATGTGAGTTTGGTTTGCATAATCATGTGCATCAGGCTTTGTTTGTTTGTTGCTGGACGCCGCATCATCAATATTCCAGCTATATGACGACGGTCTGTAAATAATCGAGTCTGGACCAGACAATGCAGTGATTGACATCATGAGTATCGATCTAGGCAATTGGGATTCGATGACATGCATCAACCAAGTCAGGGAGTTTGGTGTCTTTCTTGTATCCCGGACAGTATGTGTGTTTCCAATGCATGTAAAACGGGCTCTTTGTCTGTAGTGTGGTCTAGTGGTATAGCGTCCGCCCGGAGACATACAGGGGCTAAAACAAGGACTGGTCGGCTCGGAGTCAGTATACTGTGTCTGAGTGGGGTATTCATGCTAAACTGCGGCATAGTATCTTAGAGGGCTAGCACTATAAAATCAGCATCAGGCCTGACTAGTACAAGCACTTCACACACACGTGCATGCAGTAGTCTTGAGTGAGTGAGTTTGGTTTAACGTCTCAGACGTTTACCACTTCGGTGAAACCCACGAGAACGGGTATGGTGCTGACAAACCTAGAAACATATTTGGGGCGAACCGGGATTCGAACCCACAATCATAGGTTTCTGGCGCGTCCAAGGGACGCAATTCTGCACAGCGAATCGCGGCGCCTTAGACGACTGGGCCACCCGTGCCCCCGCAGTAGTCTTGAACGCCACCTTAAACCCCATTTCACCTCACCTCACCTCACCTTGTTTGCATTGTCTTACAGTAACAGGTGCCGAGGCTGAACACTCGACCCTTCGGTTCAGAACTTTTGACATTTTCAATTTTACAATTTCATTCCAAATATTTGGTGTACTTATAGATACATGGAGTATTTACAATTCCCTGATTCTCACTCACATTATGCGCCCTGGCCGAGCCAACTCACCAAAGGGGCGGTGGGTTAACCTAGTGATAAAAGCGTTCGCTCTTCACGCCGAAGGTCCGAGTTCGACTCCCCACATGGGTACAATGTGTGAACTCGTTTCTGATGCTCCCTGTCGTGATACAGCTGGAATATTGCTAAAAGCGGCTCAAAACCATATTCACTCAATCACAGAAAAAAACCCGGGCGATTGCTGCCGACTTCACAGAAGCATTCATTGTTTCAGAACCAGCAACAATGGAGGTCGATGACATGGAGATGAGGACACCCGAGAAGAAATCGTCTTTTGTCAAATTTAAGGAAAATTTCGAAGACCCCGTCTACAAGAACAAGTTCATATGTACAATGTTCCTGTTCTGGGCGTTTATTGTTCTGGTAAGTTCAGTGATCAATTATTATAGATTCAGGGGAACTGTCTAATCGACCAATCAGCATCAAACTGTTGAATTCTGGGTACGAGCGGGAGAAACCAAAATTTACCTCAAAAGCAAATTTAATCGACTTCTGATAGCAACAAAACCATAATCTGTTTTGGAAATTTAATACATCATGTCCTATGAGCGCCTTTTTATCGACACCTAAAGGGGGAGTACTATCGGGAACATGTTGTTGTTTGTTGTTCGTGTTGTTTTGTGGCGGTTTTCTTTTGTTAAAATGGAAATATCCAAATTGGATGGTAAAGAAAGAAGGCGATCGTTTTAGAAAGATGACAACAGATTAGTTCAAGAACCAACACATCCTTCATTAAAATGAGAGTTAACATGATGCAACCCTCTCTTTGGATTGAGGCACGGGTGGCCCATTCGTCTAAGTTGCCGCGATTCGCTGTGCAGAGTTGCGTCTCTTGGGCACCCCAGAAGCCTATGGGTTCGAATCCCGGTTCGCCCCGATTTTGTTTCTAGGTTTGTCAGCACCATACCCGTGCTCGTGGGTTTCACCGAAGTGGTAAACGTCTGAGACCTGCATCACTTCGGGCTTTCCTCCCTCAATTAAGCTGACACGCCGCGATATAACTTGAATACTGTTAAAAGCGGCGTTAAACCCAAACTCACTCACTCTCTGGCAGTGTGGTCAGACTTTTATTCAGTGAGGGATGTATCGGGGTGAGATCAGGGCTCAAAGCGATCTTAGCGCAAAGGTGATCGTAAGTCCCATACTTTAACATTGAATTATGATCATCGTAGTGCTAAGATCACTTTGTGGAACCGGACCCCGATTATAATGACACTGACACGCCGTCATATAACTGAAGTAGTGTTTAAAGAGATCTGCCCTGAGAAGAGAAGGTCCGGGTAGAATAGGTCTTCAGCAACCCATGCTTGTTAGAGGCGACTAACGGGATCGGGTGGTCAGGTTCGCTGACTTGGTTGATGCATGTCATCGTATCAGAATTGCATGGATCGATGCTCATTGTCTGGTCAAGAACAATTATATACTTTAATAGACTGTGTTTGTCTGCCTGTACAGACCGCCGTCATATAGCTGGAATATTGCCGAGTGCGGCGTTACAGTATGTGTTTAAGGTGACACGTCATGCAAACAGCCCTGGATCGATGCTCATGATGTCGATCAGTGGATTGTCAGGTCCAGAACAGTTATATAAAGACCGCCATGATATGGCTTGAATATTGCTGTGAGTGTCGTCAAACAATAAACAAACAAACAAACGATCAAAGCGATCTGAAACCCAACTCGTTGATTCCCCCGGGAGATTACGGGTCACAGTGAGGGTATGTAATGGCACTCCATGGAAACGGCCCTTGTGAGTTCAGGGGTAGAATAAGTCCGCAGTGCCTAACGCAATGCTTGTCGCCCTGTGGGGTTCAATTTGGGTTAGAATATTGGTCCTCATGGAACTAATGGAGGCGACCTAATGAAGCGGGTGGTCATGCTTGGTGACTTGTCTTTTTTTTTTTTTTTTTCTATTTTAATTAAAATTTAATTCACATTATGTATCACGATTTTACAACAGACCCTACAGGACCACGTTACTGGCCTAACGGGTCGTAGTATGTGCATATTTAGTAGACATTATTTTGGCAGAGCTTCTGATATTTGCTCTGTGGTTTCATGGTGCATTTTCTGATGTTTGTTAATAGTTGGTACATGAAACATTGGCTCCTTAACATAGTTATGAAATGTACACATCATTGAGACACATTTATACACATAACATTTTGCTATAAGAAGAAGATAATTGAGTATCGTTTCGTCGGTGGATACTCTTTTTCACTCCAAATAATACTGTATCTCTGTAACCTACAAATACCATATCATTTATATTCACATTTATCCATTAAAAAAAGACCCAAAATGGAAGGACAGTTGGACAGTTTAACAAATAACGTTGTACTGTCACCATACACCGATCGTTCTTCACAATATCAATCACTGGATTGTCTGGTCCAGGCTCGATTATTTACACGCTGGCGCCATATAGCTAGAATATGTCTGAGTGAGACGATCAACAACAAACACACATACATTAATTCACTCTTTCTGCAGGGTTTTTCTGCTGGCCAGGGCGGCCCGTCGTTCCTTGACCTCATGCTGATCACCAACACGAAGGTGGAGCAGGCCTCTGCGCTGTTCACATCAGGAGCTGTTGGCTACATGATCGGCGCGTTCTTCAGTGGGTTTCTGTACGACAAGTGTAACAAGCTGCTGTTGTTGGCGGCCTGCCTCGTCGGTAGCAGCATCTTCTCCGTCGTCATCCCGCTCTGTACTCCGCTGCCAGCGATGATCGCCATGTACTTCCTCAGATCCTTCGTGGCTGCTGGTGTGGATACAGGTAGGTATATTTGTTTGTTGGTTTATGGCGCAGTTAGCAACAACATGGCTTTGCCAGGGCGGTCTGTAAATGCTTCGATCCTGGAACAACGTACAACGCAATCTGGGCCTTTTTGTTTTGTTTGTTTGTTGTTTAACGCCGCACTCTACTAATATTCTAGTACATGACGGCGGTCATGGTTGGTTGGTTGGGTTGTTTTTAACGCCGCACTCAGCAATATTCGAGTCTGGACCAGACACTCCAGTGATTGATATCATGAGGATCGATCCATGCAATTGGGATCGATGACATATATCAACGAAGTCAGCGAGCCTGACCACCCGACACTATAATGGCCACCGGTTCCAGACAATCCAGTGATTAACATCACGAGCATCAATTTCCGCAAATGGGATACGATGACATGCATCAAGCAAATCAGCGAGCCTGACCACCCGATCTCGTTAGTCGCCTCTGACCACAAGTATGGGTTTCTGAAAGCCACAATTGAATTATCAACGTCTAATACAATCTAGGTACGATGACCCACAATCAGCTATGACGCAGAGCATGACCACCTGGTGACCCTTAGTCAGCTCTCATGATTAGGATTCTCTGGCATCCACCTATATGACGTTGATCTGTAAATAATCGAGTCTGGACAAGACAATCCAGTGATTGACATCATGAGCATCGATCCACGCAATTGGGATACGATGACATGCATCAACCAAGTCAGTGAGTCTGACCACCCGATCCTGTTAGTCTCCTCTTACGACAAGCATCGTCGGATGTGGAGAATCTAACCCGAGTGTCTTTTGAAATCATATATATATATATACACGAGCCGATAAAACATCATCCAATATTATTCTACAGTTGTTTCAGTTTTAAAAAGTAATAAGCAGGGTCTTAAGTGCAGAAGGTACTGCCAGCCACCATGAGTCGCAGAGAGATAAGTGATGCCATTTGATTGCGACATCATGGTAACCGACAATTTCATTAATATCAGATCTATAAGTTCTCGCTGCCCCTAAGCAAAGATCTGAGGACATCTCACTACGAGTCACGTCGGAATGACCTTTCGCGAACTTTGACTGAAACGACTAACAAGAAGTCGACATCAGCCAATTTGAAAGCAGCTTTCCCGAGTTTTGCGGCAATCGTTTCAACCCGGAGCTTTCCATTTCAGACTGCGCTTGCAAAAATATGTTGACACATTTCTCGATTAAAATTTTGAAAACTGAACAAACGAACATTCCGAAATGTCTAATATATGGCTGCAATTGTATGGCAGTGCTTCCCACGTACTGTGCAACGCCTCCTCCGTTCAAATGTTTATCCCACGGAAGCGAGAGACAGAGGATAATTTTGACGGAATCAGTCGTACCGGCCGTAACTGTCGTTCGGAATACTCCGTCTTAACGTTTTCGAGGTTGCATGATTAGAAAACACATTCCGACTGTCACTTTCATGATCTGGTAAGCGACGCTTTGATTGGTCGGATAAAAGGTCGTTCTGACGTGACCCGTAATGGGATGTCCTCAGATCTTTGTTTAATGAAAGCGAGAACTCAGATTTGATTTTAATGAGATTGTGGTAACCAATGACGACACAAGGGTCCGTAAAGCATTGGCATACAGTTGCTTGATTGCTGGTGATTGCTTGATGTTACCAAGCAATAACTCCCGTGGAGACTAGTTTTCGATGATAAAACTTGTTTCACACCATCAGCCAGTCACTGATGTGTTGTCACCAATGTAACTTTCATTTTTAACATAAAATCAACAAAAAAAGTAACATGCAACAACTGATGAGTCTCTTTTACTTGCAGGTGGCAATGCCGACTTACTCCGACTCTGGGGCAAGGATAGTCGTGTTTTCATGCAGATTCTTCACTTCTGTTTCGCCCTGGGAGGCGTCATAGCCCCTCTGGTAACAGAACCCTTCCTAGCCCCAAAGTCCGCCCAACCCATGATCACAACGCACTCGGCCAACGAGTCCAATATTCTTGAGTATGGATACAATTCAACCAGTGCATACGTCCAGGACCTTTTGGGATTAAATGGCACCAGTAACAAAATGACGACTGCTTCTACTGAAGACGCTCCGAAATCTCAAATCCTTTTTGCTTTCATAATCACAGCTGTCCTGTTCCTCTCTGCGTCCGTTCCCTTCTTCGTGGAGTTCTTTCTCCGTAAGGTTGACAAAAACCGGAAGCCGGAAGACGATCAACAAGATGACCGACAGCGCATACCACTTCCGGTCTATGTGATAACTGTGGCTTTGATCGGGGCATTCTTTTTCTGTTATTGCGCTCTAGAAGAGACGTTTATGTCTTTCCTGGCGGTATTTACCGTGGAAGGGATGGGCTGGACCAAGCCTGATGGAGCTTTGGTAACGTCTGTGTTTTGGGGGAGCTTTGCTGCCTTTCGGTTTCTGGGGATCTTTTTCATTAAGATGTTGGCTCCATCCTCAATGATAATTCTGTGTCTTGTAATTTTGTCAGCGAGTTTGGGCGCATTCCTGATCTGTTCCCTCTTTGCGGTAAATATTGGAATTTGGATTTCGTCTGTGGGGATTGGTCTGGCAACATCTATCGTATTTCCAACGACATTCACATGGGTCGAAGAGCACGTCATCAAGGTCACGGGAAAGGTTACGTCTGTTATTATGATATGCGCAGCATCCGCGGGAATGGCGACACCGTTGTTGCTAGGATACCTGATGGAGGAAGTGACGTATATGTGGTTCTCGTATTTGCTCTTTTTACAGTCAGTTATTCTGTTAATTATACATATCGTGCAGCGGTTGCATGCGGTTTTTGTGTTAAAGAAATATCACAGTGCAGCTGAGGTTGAATCAACCAATGAACTGGCTATACCACAGGAAAAGGGGGAAATGTTTGATCCAAACGCTTGACGTGCAAAAGCACTGTTTCAACGCACATTTGATATCTGATATGTGATAAAGTTGATATGTAATAGCATGATGAAAGAGTTAAAATTACATTAAAATGTTTTGCCAACCATGTGTTTTGCCCACCTGAAAAGGGGATTGCGTAAAAGACAGGCCGGGCCGGGCCAAGACGGGCCAACGTTTTTTTGGCTTCTTACTCCATTATCGGTGACCATACCAACATATTACTGATGCAACATACACACATGACATAAATGAACAATCACAAACCAAAAATGTGCACCATAATAAAGTGATTCGAAGTTAATCACTCCAGAAAGTGGAGCTGTGTGAAGCGTCGCTGATCTAGGTAACATGTAAAAGAGTAATCGTTAAACGAAATAGGATTTGAAACGTATCAGATACTCCTAGCTGTCGTGATACAAATTTCAATCTGTCGGCATAGCCTTTACATTTATAGGATAGTACTATATCTAAGTAAATACCAATGACACTGTTCATCGTATTTAAAGCACACACGTTGGTAAAAGTAGACCTCTTCTCTTCATACTCTCAACAGTCTCACAAGTGTTGGGTCCAACTTGGCCCCCGGGGTGTCAAAATCAACTTTAAACACACAGATGCATCATCAAATGTTTTTAAATCTATAGATTAGTATTATATCTACCTTTATAATGTCACAGTACACCGCATTGAAAGAAAACTGATCCGTTAAATTCGAACACTTTTACTGTATTTTTGTTAAAGAAATCTCTGTCAGAAGTGTTGGGTCCGACTTGGCCCGGGCTGTCAAAATCAACTTTAAACACACAAAATGTGTCTTCAAGTGTATTTACATCTATAGAGTTGTATTATATCTACCTATATACCACTTTATAATCATTATTGGGTTTTGGCACGACCAAGGGTCATTACTTTGCCTTGTTATTTTTTTGGGGTTTCTGTGGTGTTGAAAGAAACCATGCTTCTCAACAGTAATATCTTATTTCCATCTTTAATGATTCCGTGTTGAAAGTTAAATTGTATTATAATACGGTGGACGAGAGCCTTTCCTGGTCTTGTGCTACCGCTTTGTCGCCTTGTTATGGCTAACGTTACGTGGAGAGTCCATATACCGATATCTCGATATCTCGATATATGGTCTTGGTCTCGTGCTATCGCTTTATCGTCTCGTGTTATCGCTTATAGGGGACGTCCTTACTCGGACACCATAATTGGAAGAATGTCAATATATATTTGAGTCATAGACATAATCTGAGAATAAAACCAACGATCAGGGGATCCGGGCACAACTAATCCACGCAACTCTGCACATAACTGTGCGACGTATTGGTCCTCACGTGGCCCGCAAAGTTGAGAGAAACATCATCATTTTCTCTTCTGAGAAAACAGTATTATTCTAAGTGAATCCTATATATACCTGTATATGATCAAGGGATCAACCTTTTCTGATTTAGACCTTAATAGAGCGTCACCCAGGAAAGCGGAAGATCAGTGGCTCTATCCCAGGCCGCGTCATACCAAAAGACGTTAAAAGATGGTACTTGTTACCCTACCTCACGCTCGGTATTAAAGGGATATCACAAGGACTTGTCGGCTCAGAGTTAGTATATTGTGGTGTATCCATGTTAATCTTTGGCATGGTATGTCACGTGCGTGCAGTTCGATAATATTGAACACAATGTTAAACACCATTTCACCTCATCTTATCTATGCTGATTTGCGGCCCGTAAGATTCCGGGGTAGAATAGGTCTTCAGCAACCCATGCTTGCCGTAAAAGGCGACTATTCTTGTCGTAAGAGGCGACGAATGGGATCGGGTGTTCGCGAAATATTTCAATATCGCTTTAAAATAGTTGAATTAAGTTAAAATGAGTTATATTATGTGCCACAGAAATTGTAAGAACACCTGCATGTTTTTGTTTCGCAGTTTTGAGAAAAGGGCCGGCCCATATGCAAAACCCTTCCCTCCATGGGCGAAATATTTTAATAACGCTATAAAATCATTTAATTAAGTTAAAATTAGTCAAATTTTGTGTCATGATACTTGAAAGAAATAAATTTATGTATTTGCGAAACAAAAACATGGATTGTGAGTAAAGGAACATATTCTTGCCAAGGGGCCTACCCATGGGCCACTCTTCACCCATGGGCAAGCCATGAGCGACAGAGTGTAAATATTGAGTTTTTGAACATTTTTTTTTTCATTTTTTCTTCCTTGGTATGTTCCCATGAATATAGCATGTTTAATTTTCTAAATACCTTTGATCGAGACTGGGTACAGACCGTAGAGTTTCTGGACTATTAGGTTTCAAGAATTAAAATGGGACGTGTTTTTTTCGTTATTTACGCTATTTTTTGCATTGGATGTATGTTGTTATACATACGCATATAACACTATTTGATATGTAACTATGTCGTTCAGATATTAGGCAGTATTTTGTTCGCTCACAGTTTCCGTAAAGCTTCTAAATGAAACAAATCGTCGCACAGTACTTTTGTCAGTGTACGATAAAAAACGGAGAAATTTACTTTTTCTTTTTTTAAAAAAAACCGGTTTAATATTTGCACTTAAATTTACACCATCAAATCGGAAATTTAATATTCCCCACCTCTGCGTAATTTTATAGCCAGAGGTAGATCCAGTGCCGCGTAAGAGCACTTCTCGCACAACCTTCACTTTTCCGATCTTAGGAAAATGTGCGTCAGAAAAAACAACTCGGCATCAAGATGGTTAAAGCGGGAAAACTAAAAATGTTGCCGCTTCCACATGTATCTAAATGTTCACTGAGTGGAATCGTGCGGTTGTGTGGCTGCTTTATTTGTGAACGGTGACGATTCATTCTTCTTTTTAATTTAAGTTCTGTCATCCTGATATACTTTTTATTGCATCCACTGCAAACAATCAAGTAAATATCATTTCTAGTATCATAAGTAATATTTTGTTTTACAGTAAATTTAGTGTCCTTTGTAATTTGGACTGAACAGCCTTCAATTTTATTGCTGCAAGTAAGGCAACGTTTGTCACCGCACTCAGAAACCTGTGGAGTGATGAGTCCGGGCTACTACAAGCTCATACACACACACACACAAACACACACACACACACGTACATGGACGTCGCTATAGAAGTGCAACGTTACACCCCAATTCACCTCACTGATTCTGTAACGTCATCTAAAATCTTTGACATGAATTGTGAACATGAAAAAAGGCGTTTCCCAAATTGAACAGCTGCTGTATACATAAACGTATATTGTATTGCATGGCTTCTCGCATGCAGTGACATCTGCAAGCTTCGTGTCATCATTATATCAATATCAATTTTTCCGCAGTCAATTTACACCCAGAATTCAGCACTTCTTGTGAGGACGATGTTTGCCAAAGGACACATGTCAAGGTCAATGCCGTACTAATAACCTAACTGTCAATCTGTCTGCTACAGCTACCATACCATCATCTCTTTCACAACTGGCGTATTAATTTGATGGTGTAAATTTAAGTGCAAATATTAAGGATGCGGGAATGGATACAGGTGAGAGAGTGTGTGCGTGAGGGTAATGTGTGTCAATGAGGGTTCGGGCCAGGGTTTGGATGTGATTGAACGGATGTCAATGAGGGTTTGGATGTGTCTGAATGAGCGGGTGTGTTTGCGTGGTTTGCGTCAGCTGCTGTGAGTGAAGGCCTGGAGGTGGGAATGGATGTGGTTGTGTGTATATAGGATGTTTGTACGGAGGATAATGTTATGAATCTTATTTTCATAATTACTATTAAATGTGTGTAAACATATAAAATATTGTTTCTATGAGTCTTTTAGTGTCTCGTAGGCCATTTTAGCTGGCCGCTGAATTTTTACATTATTGCCTTGTCATTTTATATGTACAGCGGGTGACACTATAATAAAATATTCTTCTTCTGCTTCTTCTTCTTCTTCTGTATCAACGAGACATAGAATGGGAAATGAAAAAGAAACTAACTAAACTTTAATGTTGTGGAAAATAACTCGAATGAATTGGTGTACAAGCGCAAGAATTCGTATGACAAACTGTCTAAACGTTTGGAGAGGTAAGGCCGGGTTCATTACAAATCGTTACAATATGTAAAACAGGTGAAATTTGTAAAACTTCTATAAAGGAAACATCCAACCAAAGGCACTTTTTAAATAGTAATGTAATGATATGGTATAAAGTATATTTCCGAAGATACATAGAGGTTATCACGCGAGTGTGTTTGGGGATGGTAAATATCCTGCATTAGGAATAAACATTGTATTTAGCGAGCCTTGGCGAGCTAAATACATAGTGTTTATTCCTAATACAGGATATTTACCGTCCCTAAACACACAAGCGTGATAACCTCTTTATCATATAATGTCATTCTTTAATTCTGTGCTTGAAAATAGCTCTCCCTCTCTCACAAACATTACCGAAACATTGCGAGTTTTCCTGGAATGCGCGCATTAATATTTATTACGTCACAGGGTAAGTGATGTGTCATTCGGACTGTGACAGTAGCCAATATAGCTCCAACTAAAATCTGTTTCTTATACAGTGGCGAAGCAACATATATGCAAAACAACAATTGTTTTTACTTGCATTTCGCGGCAATCCATCGGTCTGTCCGCTAGAGTAACTGCCCTTTGTCAAAGGGAAGCTACTCTAACCCTAGTCTATGAGACGTCACGGCCACGTTCAGACGTTGTTGACAGTCGGTCTGTCCTGTCATAACGTCAAGTACAGTCAGATGCACACAGAGCGACAAAACGAAACAAGGTAACCATTCAAACATATTTCGGCCAAATCTAACTATTTTAATTTGTGGAAAAGGTTTCAAGTCGCAGAGGTCGACAAGCACAGATATGGCTACTGATCCCGCTTGGCTGGGCCTAGTGCAATGGCAAAATTGTTTCGAAATTTATATCTCAAAAGTTGCCAAAAGTTATAAAATGCCTTAGCTACATCACAGTTAGACACTGATTTTCAGTATGTTAGACTGTTCTTTTGATAATGATAGCAATTATCCCTTTAGTTTATCCAGATTCACGATGGTTAATTCTGACTCGATCGCCAAATTACAAGGGCGACGCCATGTTTGTTTGTAAACACTGAAAGTAGTCCCTACTTGACCTTTGATATTTGCATCTCTATCCGCATATGACCCCAACGGATATCGTTTTTATCCGTTGGCTTTATCCTGCCGAGAAACCTACCCATTATATGATAAAATATAGTTTGTACACAATTAGTTGATGCTTTAAAGGGACTGGCGAAAACATGGGCGAAATATTTCAATAACGCTATAAAATAGTTGAATTAAGTTAAAATGAGTTAAATTATGTGACATGAAACTTCTAAGAATACCTTTATGTATTTGCGACACTAAAACACAGGTTTTAAGGAAAAGAAAATATTCTCGCCCTTGGGCCAAACCTTTTTCTCGCCCATTGGCGAAATATTTCAATATCGCTATAAAATCAAGGAATTAAGTTAAAATGAGTTAAATTTTGCGTCATGATACTTGTAATAACATCTGTATGTATTTGCGAGTTTTGAGCAAAGAAAAATATTCTCACCCAATGGGCATGACCATGGGCCAAACCTTTTTCACGCCCATTGGCGAAATATTTCAATATCGCTATAAAATAGTTGAATTAAGTTAGAATGAGTTACATTATGTGCCATGGAAATTGTAAGAACACCTGCATGTATTTGCAAAACAAAAACATGAGTTTTGAGCAAAGGGCCGGCCCATGGGCAAAACCTTTTTCTCCCCCATGGGCGACATATTTCAATAACGCTATAAAATCGTTGAATTAAGTTAAAATGAGTAAAATTTTGTGTCATGATACTTGAAAGAAATGCCTTTATGTATTTGCGAAACATAAACGCGAGTTTTATGTAAAGGAACATATTATCGCCCATGGGCTTACCCATTGGGCACACTTCACCCATGGACTGGCCTATGGGCGACATAGTGTAAATATTGAGTTTTTAAACAATTGTTTTTTCATTTGTTCCAATGAAAATAGCATGTTTAATTTTTTAAATACCTTTGACCGAGACTGGGTAAAGACCGTAGAGTTTCTGGACTATAGGGTTTCCAGAATTAAAATGGGACGTGTTCTCATTAAAATCAGATCTTAGTTCTCATAATCGCTAAACAACGATCTGAAGACATCTCATTACGGGTCACGTCAGAACGACCTTTCATCCGCCCAATCAAAGCGTCGCTTACCAGATCATGAAAGGTAAGGAATGTTCAATTGTTAAGTTTTCAAAATTTTAATCGAGAACCGTGTCAACATATTTTTCTGAAATGGAAGTCGCCAGGTTGAAACGTGTGCCGTAAAGCTCGAGGAAGCTGCTTTCTAATTAGCTGATGTCGACTTCTTGTTAGTCGTTTCAGTGGGAGGTTAAGGTTCGCGAAAGGTCGTTCTGATGTATTTTAATGAGATTGAGTGCATTGCAATACAAAATGCCCTTTTAGTATAAAGCAAATGAGTGCTTTATTGAAAGAATTTGATTTTGTGTTTGAAACTTTGTTTGAAACCATATTGTAGAGCGTTTTTTGTCAAATTAGCGTTGTAAATACAAGTGTAAATATAGATATGAGTGAGAAAAGGAATATATATATATATATATATATATATAATGATAGAGACGAATCAATGTGTGAAAAGTGTGTAGACATGTATAGCAGTACATGGTAAACCTGTCTGGTTCCTTGCTTTGAACCTTGTACTGGTTTGACATTCCAAACATGCCAACTGAAAAAAAGTCTACGTAGGCTCACAACCGCAGAGGGGACAGGGTGGCTCAGTTGGTTAAGCACGGCAATTGGCTGTGCTTAGTTACGTCCCTTGCAAACCAGAGATCATGATCATGGCGAATCTTGGAATCGCAGGCATACCCATAAAGGGTAGCACTTAGGCACGGCAATTTCCAGCGTCTGCTAAATTATATGTAGCAAGCTTTGGATGTCTTAAGACCGCATCCGTGGTCTAGTGGTAGAGCGTCCGCCCGGAGTGTTCGATCCCCGGCAGCGTCATACCACAAAAGACGTTGAAAGATGGTGCTTGTTGTTACCCTGTCTGGCACTCGACATTAAGTGGCTGAAACAAGGGCTGGTCTGCTCGGAGTCAGTATACTGTGTCTGAGTGGGGTATTCATGTTAAACTGCGGCATGGTATCTCAGTGAGCTAGCACTATAAATTGGCATCATTCAGGACTTGTACAAGCAGCCACACACACACACAACGTGCATGCACGTCGGTATGTCAGTGCAATAATTTTGGACGCGATGTTAAACCCTATTTCACCTCACGTCATCTTTGGATGTCTTTAAATAACATAGAGCATAGGTGGTCCAATCGTCTAGGGCGTCACTGTTAGCTGTGCAGAGTTGCGTCCCGTAGGCGTGCCAGAAACAATGGTTGATTCGCTTTTCATATATAAAATTACCCGCCCTCCCCAATATAGTTGTGTTTGGCGACCCCTCTTCCACTGTGTCCCGTCGCCCCTTCCCCCTCAACCCCACCCAACCCAACACCTCCTGTATAATACATTACCAGTCCCGAAACAGTTTTCTTTTGCTTAAATGACCTTTCAGGTTGGTAAAACACATGGTTAGCAAAACCTTTATATGTAAATTTATCGCTTTCATCATGCTATTACATATCAACTTTATCACATATCAGATATCAAATGTGCGTTGGCACATTGCTTTTGCACGTCAAGCGTTTGGATCAAACATTTCCCCCTTTTCCTGTGGTATAGCCAGTTCATTGGTTGATTCAACCTCAGCTGCACTGTGATATTTCTTTAACACAAAAACCGCATGCAACCGCTGCACGATATGTATAATTAACAGAATAACTGACTGTAAAAAGAGCAAATACGAGAACCACATATACGTCACTTCCTCCATCAGGTATCCTAGCAACAACGGTGTCGCCATTCCCGCGGATGCTGCGCATATCATAATAACAGACGTAACCTTTCCCGTGACCTTGATTACGTGCTCCTCGACCCACGTGAATGTCGTTGGAAATACGATAGATATTGCCAGACCAATCCCCACAGACGAAATCCAAATTCCAATATTTACCGCAAAGAGGGAACAGATAAGGAATGCGCCCAAACTCGCTGACAAAATTACAAGACACAGAATTATCATTGAGGATGGAGCCAACATCTTAATGAAAAAGATCCCCAGAAACCGAAAGGCAGCAAAGCTCCCCCAAAACACAGACGTTACCAAAGCTCCATCAGGCTTGGTCCAGCCCATCCCTTCCACGGTAAATACCACCAGGAAAGACATAAACGTCTCTTCTAGAGCGCAATAACAGAAAAAGAATGCCCCGATCAAAGCCACAGTTATCACATAGACCGGAAGTGGTATGCGCTGTCGGTCATCTTCTTGTTCGTCTTCCGGCTTCCGTTTTTTGTCAACCTTACGGAGAAAGAACTCCACGAAGAAGGGAACGGCCGCAGAGAGGAACAGGACAGCTGTGATTATGAAAGCAAAAAGGATTTGAGATTTCGGAGTGTCTTCAGTAGAAGCAGTCGTCATGTTGTTACTGATGCCATTTAATCCCAATAGGTCCTGGACGTACGCAATGGTTGAATTGTATCCATACTCAAGAAGATGGGACTCGTTGGCCGAGTCCGTTGTGATCATGGGTTGGGCGGACTTTGGGGCTAGGAAGGGTTCTGTTACCAGAGGGGCTATGACGCCTCCCAGGGCGAAACAGAAGTGAAGAATCTGCATGAAAACACGACTATCCTTGCCCCAGAGTCGGAGTAAGTCGGCATTGCCACCTGGAAGTAAAAGAGCCTCATCAGTTGTTGCATGTTACGTTTTTTGTTGATTTTATGTTAAAAATGAAAGTTACATTGGTGACAACACATCAGTGACTGGCTGATGGTGTATAACAAGTTTTATCATCAATATCACAGGAGATATTTCTTGCAAATTGCATCCCAATACTTTGCGGACCATATGTCCTTCATCGGTTACCATGATGTCGCAATCAAATGACATCACTTATCTCTCTGCGACTCATGGTGGCTGGCAGTACCTTTTGCACTTAAGACCCTGCTTATTACTTTTTAAAACTGAAACAACTGAAGAACGATGGCTGATAGCGCGTCGTCGTACCCAGATTGCAATGCACGTTGTTCCAGGATCGAAATATTTACATACCGCCCTGGCAAAGCCATGTTGTTGCCAACTGCACCATAAACCAATAAACAAATATACCTACCTGTGTCCACACCAGCAGTCATGAAGAATTTGAGGAAGTACATGGCGATCATCACTGGCAGCGGAGTACAGAGCGGGATGACAGCGGAGGTCATGCTGCTACCGACGAGGCAGGCCGCTAACAACAGCAGCTTGTTACACTTTTCGTACAGAAACCCACTGACGAACGCACCGATCATGAAGCCAATAGCTCCTGATGTGAACAGGGCCGAGGCCTGCTCCACCTTTGTGTTGGTGATGAGCATGAGGTCAAGGAAGGACGGGCCGCCCTGGCCAGCAGAAAAACCCTGCAGAAAGAGTGAATTTATGTATGTGTGTTTGTTGTTTATCGTCTCACTCAGCAATATTCCAGCTATATGGCAGCAACCTGTAAATAATCGAGCCTGGATCAGACAATCCAGTGATTGATATTGTGAACAGCGATCGGTGTATCGGTGTATCGGTGTATCGGTGTATGATGACACCCATTCAAACCCGGAATGGGTGTCACTATTTGGAGTGTTAGATAAGAGTAGGTCCACCCACAAAACATTTCTCAAATATCTTCTACTTATAGCAAGCTATAATGTTTATAAATGTAAAATTCTTGAAATGATGTGTACATTTCATAACTATGGTAAGGAGTTGAGTTTCCGGCACAAATTATTAACCATCAGAAAATGGACCAAGTAATGTCAACTTAGTTTGAACAGACCACGACTGCACGTGGTCCTGTTGGGTCTGTTGCAAAATCGTGACACCTAATGTGAACTAATTTGTTAAAAGAAGAGCCAAAAAAAGACACGTCACCAAGCATGACCACCCGCTCCATTTGGTCGCCTCCATTAGTTCGATGAGGACCAATATTCTAACCCAGAATCGCCACGGGGTTTCATTTAGTTTAACGACAAGCATTGTGTTAGGCACTGCGGACTTATTATGTCAGTAATGACATCATACCCCGACACATGCCTCACTGAATGAAGATCTGACCCAATCTCATTAAAATCAGATCTTAGTTCTCGCTACCCCTTAACACAGATCTGAGGACATCCCAAATTGACCTTTCATCCGATCAATCAAAGCGTCGCTTACCAGATCATGAAAGTGACAGTCGGAATGTGTTTTCTAATCATGCAACCTCGAAAACGTTAACACGGGGTATTCGAACGACAGTTACGGCCCGTACGACTGATTCCGTCAAAATTATCGTCTGTCTCTCGCTTCCGTGGGATAAACATTTAAATGGAGGAGGCGTTGCACAGTACGTGGGAAGCACTGCCATGCAACCGCAACCATATATTAGACATTCCGGAATGTTCGTTTGTTCAGTTTTCAAAATTTTAATCGAGAACGGTGTCAACATATTTTTCAAGCGAAGTCTGAAATGGAAGTCGCCAGGTTGAAACGAGTGTCGTACAGCTCCTGAAAGCTGCTTTCTAATTGGCTGATGTCGACTATTTGTTAGTCGTTTCAGTGGGAGGTCAAGGTTCGAGGAAGGTCGTTCTGACGTGACCAGTTATGGGATGTCCTCAGATCTCTGTTTAGCAGCAGCGAGAACTGATCTGATTTTAATGAGATTGAGGTCTGACCACACCTCCAGAGAAGGTTCCATCAGGATAATCTTCATTTTAATGAAGGATGTGTTGGTTCTTGAACTAATCTGTTGTCAGCTTTCTAAAACGATCTATTTCAGCAGAAGAAAACCACCACAAAACAACAAAAACAACAAATTCTCGATAGTACTCCCCTTTAGGCGTCGACAAAATGGCGCGTATAGGACATGGTGTATTAAATTTCCATAACAGCTTTTGTTGCTATCGGAACTGATTATATTTGTTTTCGAGGAACAGAAATTAGACATTCATGTCTGAATGTTTCTCCCGCTCGTACAGAGAATTCAACAGATTGATGCTGACGGGCCGATTAGACAGTTCCATCGATCACTGAACTTACCAGGACAATAAACGCCCAGAACAGGAACATTGTACATATGAACTTGTTCTTGTAGACGGGGTCTTCGAAATTTTTCTTAAATTGGACAAAAGACGATTTCTTCTCGGGTGTCCTCATCTCTATGTCATCGACCTCCATTGTTGCTGGTTCTGAAACAGTGAACACATCCTTTGAAGTCCGCAGCACTTTTCTTTTCTAGGAGTGAATATGAATTTAAGCCGCTTTTAGCAATATTCCACCCATATCACGACAGGGAACATCAGAAACGGGCTTCACGGATTGTACCAATGTGGGAAACCGAACCCGGGACTTTGGCGTGACAAGCGAACGCTTATACCACAAGGCTACCCCACCGCCCCTCTTAAGGAGTGAATGAGTTGGCTCGGCCAGAGTGTATAGGGTGAGGGAATATCATGGAATTGTAGTGAGTGATTTGGGTTTAACGCCGCTTTTAACAGTATTCCAGTCATATCACGGCATGACAGCTTCATGTGGGAGGAAGGCCCGAAGTGATGCAGGTCTCAGACCACTTCGGCGAAACCCACGAGCACGGGTATGGTGCAGACTAACCTAGAAACAAAATCGGGGCGAACCGGGATTCGAACCTACAATCCTAGGTTTCTGACGTGCCCAAGGGACGCAACTCGGCACAGCGAATCGCAGCGCCTTAGACGATTGGGCCACCCCTGCCCCCTCATGGAATTGTAAAAACTCCATGTATCTATGAGTACACCAAATATTTGGCATGAAATTGAATAAAATTGAAAATGTCAAAAGTTCTGAACCGAAGGGTCGAGTGTTCAGCCTCGGCACCTGTTACTGTTAGACAATGCGAACAAGGTGAGGTGAGGTAAGGGGGTTTAACGTGGCGTTCAAGACGTGTGTGTGTGTGTGCGTGCGTGCGTGCGTGCGTGCGTGCGTGCGTGCGTGCGTGCGTGCGTACGTGCATGTGTGCGTACTAGTCCGGACTGATGCCAATTTTATAGCGCTAGCCCTCTGAGATACCATGCCTCAGTTCAACATGAATACCCCACTCAGACACTGTATACCGACTCCGAGCCGACCAGTTATTGTTTTTGCCCCTTTAATGTTCCCTGGCTATTACCACTAGACCACACTACAGACAAAGAGCCCGTTTACATGCATTTGAAAAACGCATACTGTCCGGGATACAAGAAAGACCCCAAACTCACTGACTTGGTTGATGCATGTCATCGTATCCCAATTGCGTAGATCGATGCTCATGATGTCAACCACTGGATTGTCTGTTTCAGACTCGATTATTTACAGAATATAGCTGGAATAAGGCGTTAAACAACAAACAAAACAAAAACAAAACATGAAGCACATAATTATGCAAACCAAACTCACATACTCACATAACTCAGTCGTAGACAATCCCACCCTCCAGCGTTATGAAGCGGGTAGCGAGCGATGTATGTCTTCCAGTGGGTGCATTTGACTTCTTTGCAGCTGACACGTCTTGTTTGAGGGAGAGATGAACTGAGCGGAGACTCCAGTATGTTGACAAAACGCAAGCGTGTCAAGACACAGATTACAGCTGATCAAGGCTGCTATCCTGGGCTGAACTGTTGGGATATCTGTTCTGTAAACACAGGAGTCCAACAGTGGTTCCGCAACCCATTATTTGTGATTTGACAAATACTGCATCTTTATAATCATGATTATGGGTGCTGGACAGACATGGCCAGACAGCATCTCAGAGGCAGAGAGCTAACCTGCCTAGCCGTGGTCCGGTGGTCAAGCCTCGACCAACATTAAGCATTCTGACCAGTCCAATCGCCGACCAGCTGCCACGTATTGGATACAACAGCTCTCTCGTCATCCTGAAGTATCCCGCATCTCATTCGCAATGTAAAGCTTCTCTAGGGTGAATAACAAACCACTGATCGATCCGCACAGCTGCTGGTCATGGTAATAACAGCACAGCTGCTGTTAATAAATTATAATTTGTTATAACGAGCACTGTGAACATTTAGATATATTTAATTTACCCAACTCAGGGAATAGTTCAGACATATACTCTTCAAAAAGATGAACGCAATTCGGATATTTTGGGCCATAAAAGCAAAAGTAGCGGACCAAGAGATGCAAAATGAAGAGGTTTAATGTGTTATGGTGTCAGTGACAAATTTCTCGGATCAAAATGATCACAACGAGGACATGCACAGCTGGCGCTTCACTGCCCCAGGCAATGAGTGCACAATGGCCGCCTCCACTCGACGAGCAATGTGAGTGAGTGAGTGAGTGAGTTTGGGTTAACGCCGCTTTTAACAGTATTCCAGTCATATCACCACGTGTCAGCTTAATGTAGGAGGAAAGCCCGAAGTGATGCAGGTCTCAGACGTTTACCACTTCGGTGAAACCCACGAGCACGGGTATGGTGCTGACAAAACCTAGAAACATAATCGGGGCGATTACAATATAGGTTTCTAGCGTGCCCAAGGGACGCAACTGTACACGTCACAAGAATAACGTCCATTGTTACTTTTAGTGAAGGAAAACATTGAAGCTGTTTCGAGACTCGAAAGTGGTCGTCACATCAGTGAATTGTGAACAATGACACACACCCCATCTTCAACAGTGATAGGTGCGTTAATATTTCGTGTCAACTCACTGTTGTCACGAAATTGTATACATAATACATGGAATTAAACGACCACCTCAATGAAATACCGTTAGCATCTTTATATCTGCAAATTTGATGGCGCAAATGTCGCCGATTATGCCCCGTTTTCTCCCATTGTAAAGTCGTGAAACCCACGAGCTCGGATATGGTGCTGACAAACCTAGAAACATATTCGGGCGAACCGGGATTCGAACCCACAATCACAGGTTTCTGGCGTGCCCAAGGGACGTAACTCTGCCACCCGTGCCCATGCCACATAGCGAAAATGCACGTCCTGGAAACGTCCCTTTTGAGTTCCAGGGCAGAGTCAGTCCGCAGTGCCCAACACAATGATTGTGTAAGACTAAATTTAAACCCTGTGGATATTCTTGTATAGAATATTGGTCCCCATCAACCCTTGCTGGTCATAAGAGGCGACAAAATATTAATCGGGTGGTCAATCTCGATGACATGGTTGATTGTGTGTCATCGAACCCGACGACGTTGATCATTGTTCACATTATCGATCACTTGATTGTCTGGTCTGTATTCGATTTTTTACAGATCGTCAAGAAGCTGGAATATGGAGTGTGGCATTAATTTATTCTAGAGAGCCTGGGATTTCTTTGCCTCCCCGATATATAGCAAATGTTATATTTGGGAAAACACTTTCTTGGTTAAGTACAGATTATCGTACTTGTTTGGGTTGAGTCCCGTCCGGGTGAGGCAGAGTGAGGCACCTAATCGCCAGCACACAAAGTCAGCGATCTAATATAACCCACTCAGCCTCCGACGCTTCCACAGAAAATGAAAGTCGGATAATTGGTAGTCTAGATCACGTGCATGATCTGATAGCTGTCACGTTGCTTACTAAACAATATTCAACCCGTGAAGATCCGGGGTAGAATAGGTCTTCAGCAACCCATGCTTGCAGTGAAAGGTGAGGTGAGTTGAAATGGGGTTTAAAGTCGCTTCCAAGATTATTGCACTTATATAGCGACATGCATGTACGTGTGTGTGTGATTGTGTGGCTGTTTGTACTAGTCCGAACTGATGCCGATTTATAGTGCTAGCTCACTGAGATACCATGCCGCAGTTTAACATGGATACCCCACTCTGACACAGTATACTGACTCCGAGCCGACCAGTCCTTGTTTTAGCCCCTTAAGCCGAGCGCCAGACAGGGAAACAACAAGTACCTTCTTTTAACGTCTTTGCGTATGACACGGTCGGGGATCGAACCCCGGACCTTCCGCTCTTCGGGCGGACGCTCTACCACTAGACCACGGAGGCGGCCTGCAGTGAAAGGCGACTATGCTTGTCGTAAGAGGCGACAAACGGGATCGGGTGGTCAGCCTCGCTGACTTGGTTGATGCATGTCATTTATCCCAATTGCATGGATCGATGCTCATGTTGTCAACCACTGGATTGTCTGGTCCAGACTCGATTATTTAGAGACCGCCGTCATAAAGCTGGACTACTGCTGAGTGCGGCGTTAAACACCAAGCAAACAAAATACTGAACAATATTCACCAGGTATTCAGAGCACGTTTCGCCGAATCACGAACCATGCATTCAGTCGATGGAAATGAGGTAATGTCATTGCAATCTCATGTATCAAGTGGATGAAGGCTGAACTCATTGTATGCATACTCGTCTGTCGGATATTTATAACCAGTGTCGACTTTGGTATCAGAGGTAACTATGACTCATTTATTCGCTCTTATAATTATTATACAGTGGTATTATACTCCATTCACATGACCCCCGTGGTGACCCAGGGTGTCCTTAGCACCCTATTGCTGGTCGCTCCTGTGTTTGTTTGTTTGTTTGTTGTTTAACGTCACACTCAGCAATATTCCAGCTATATGACGGCGGTCTGTAAGTAATCGAGCCTGGACCAGACAATCCAGCGAGTGATATCATGAGCATCGATCCACGCATTTGGGATAGGATGACATGCATCAACCAAGTCAGCGAGCCTGCCCACCCGATCCCGTTAGTCTCCTTTTACGACAAGCATTGTAGCCTTTACGGCAAGCATGGGTTGCTGAAGACCTATTCTACGCTCCTGTGTCGGTGGTTGAGGGCACTAGAGCCAGGAACCGGTGTTCCTTTTGCCCAACACACCATTTCGACCCTTACTTCGCCTAGACGGGTGGTAGGATAGGCCCGGTCCTATCAATCCGCTCTTTTATGCCAAGCCCTGTGTGTGTATTTGTGTGCACATTATTGCTTTCCACTTGAATATTGTTTTTGTGTGTGCTATAAATTGCATAGGCGGTGGCTCATGGGCCAATCTGGTGATATTGTATGAGGTTAATGTATGTCTGCAATTTTTGTCATGGACCGAACAAGTCTGGCATAGAATTGATAGATAAATATAACTATTCGCGGCATATTTGCTGGAGTATAGGACTCCTGTATCCCTGGTGTTTGCATCTTTATATCCGTTGCAATGTGACACCGTCCTTGTTGACGCTCCATGGCAGCAGGATTTCTGAATTATTTTCTGTCATTATGTCTCTCCAAAAACCTGGTTCAAATCGAAATGAAAAATGAGACTTCTTGAAATTGACACTTCACAGACAATGTATCTCAGAACATAGATTCGTGGGCTAGATTTCTTGTGATTGAGGCAGAGGATCAACTACCCATAAAACACAATCCATTTGCGATTTCAAAAAGCTGTTTCTGGGATTTGTGGCGAGGTTAGGAATGTCACTCGTCCCCGTTGTGGTTACCTCCTGGTGGAATGTTTGTGGAGACAGCAATCTCTTAATCTTTTGTCGATCCATACGTTTGCAAATGTAGAGGTTACTGTGTTCTGACACAGGACATTAAACTCCTGCAGAGTTATTATTCGAGACACGGCTCGTTGCCTGCCTGACATGTCAGAAGGTGAAATCACTGTAGAGTTGGAAGATCAGGCTGTCACGGCTGTTTAACGCTTTGACGTCAGGAAAGAGAGCGGCATTGAAAACACAAATGCATGTCTGCTGACCTTTGCACGTTCAGCTATTCCCTAATCTATTAAAGCAGGTTATAACAACATCAGAGTGGAGGTGTATGTCCCCAATCCACTCCGACGCTTCACTTAACACTTTGGTCATGTCAAAATGATGTCGTTACTCAGTGGTTTGTTATCGCTGTGGTGGCGAGCATGATGGCACCAGTTGTACAAATGTTATCAAATGTGCTAACAGTGGCAATGACCATGTCGCTTCATCCAAGTCCTGCCCTGTGTGGCAGACACAATCTAAAAAAAATAAAATTATATGTGAACAAAACATTTCCCACACTGAAGCAAACCACCGTGTAAACAACTCCCTCAACCTTGAATTATTCTGCAGTTGTTTCCTGCCCTGTCCCTACTTCTTCTATTCATTGTCAGACTGATTTGTCCTGGCTTACGTCTGACCAGCCTGTTCCAAGCAAATATGTTGCTCAGACGAGTTCATCTGACAATCAGTCTACAGACATGGTGTGTATCTTGCATTTGGTTATCATTTATATCCATTTGGTAAGTGTGGTAGCTTTTGCAATTGTTTAGTTTATTCATTTATTTGTCATTGTAATGGTCATGTTTATGCCATGCATGAAATGTGATTGTGTTATATTAGCGCAGGTAAAACATTAGATGATGCAAGTATTTCACCCTGGTATGGCCAGGTTGCATGTCAGTTTGAGACACCTGCTGACCGTACAGATTATTTTGGGGTATGCCATCTGCTTTGTTCACTGCTGGTACAGTTCTGTTATCTCGCCTGCCGTATTGTGTGTTCATCTGTAAGTCTGGTTGTGTTAGGTAAGGGCAGATAATGCTTAGCAGCTGAGCAGTCGGTCCTCTGGGGGACGATATCGTTCACTTGGTTCTGGTTTGTGAAGCCTGTTAGTCCGGTTGCTGACAATATGCGTCCACTTTTATGCTCAGTCCTTCATATGAACGGCATCATTCTAATGGTCTGCATCACTATATTCGGCAAAGTGGAACATTCTTCGACTGGCGCTCTATCCTTCTTCAGACGATGGGCTTCACAGTCGGCTGCCACTGCCTCAACCTAATATCAACGTGTAGCACTATGTTGTTTGGGTTGGTATCAGTTCTCTTCTGGTGGGGGTATAGTTGATTGTATATCTTGGGTTT